CTGGGCATCGCTTCGTATCCGGCATGACACTTGGTATCTCTGTCTAAACCGCTCCGTGGCATTCATTTCGTTACACGTGACAACATCCAAGACTCGTTCGTCATTCCATCATCATCATGGCTTGATTTCTTTTCCGTCTCTTAGAGGATCAATCGTGTCTCCTCTTGTGCTCGTGATCAGCGGAAAAGATCTCAGTCCCCGTGTCCGCTAATGCATGTTCTTCAGATGCTCCACCAAGGCCTGCACCTGCTCTCTCACTTCGTCTGTCAACTGTTCCTCCGGCTCACCGAGCACGCTCATCATGATCGGAGCCAGCTTCGGCGTGAGTTGCTGGATGGTTGGGTCCTGCTCGCGGTAAAGCTGTACGATCATCTTCCACAATGGCTCGTTCTCTTGGTAATCCTCCTTCAAAGGCAAGATGCCACTGTCAACAAGGGCCGGAAGAACCTGCTGAATGGGTACTTTGTCCTTGTGCTTCAGGATCAGGCGAGAGACGCATCCCGCAGCGTTGTCCTGGCAGCGTGCCTCGGTGATGTGCAAGATCGATTCGAGTTTCGAGAGGATCTGGGTGTATGCTTTGACGACGGTGCCGTCATCTGCGGATTTCTCAACCAGCCTGCCCACGGCATAGGCTGCATTGGACTTCGTCTGAGGGTCCTCGTCTCCCAGACGCTTGAGGAGAACCGTCATCATCTGCGAGGTATAGGGTGTGACTGCACCTTCCATGCCCGTGATAATCTCAGCGAGCACGCCACAGGCAGACGCACGCCCCAGAGCTTCTCCTCCGCTTGCATATCGCAGCACCTGTTTCTCAAAAATCTTCCATAGTTCCCCGAAGCTGGGGCCGAGCGCTGCTGCAAGACCCGAAATGACGTCCATGGCACTGTCTACAACAAGCCATTCCAATTCTGTAGACTCCAAGTCTTCATCATCCAAGGCCTCTTCGGCCATATCGATTTGGCATGCATGTTTCTTTGTGATCAGATCCGTCACTGTCTGTACGATTTTGGAGAGGACGTCAGGGTAACTGAGGAGAGATGGGCCCGTCATCTTGAGGTTCTCTGCGAGGGCTCTCGAGATCTCTGTGACGGTAGCACTAGTAATTCCACAACGTCAGCATTGATTCCATCAATTGTGGATGCACACTAGGGGTCAGATGACATCTTTCAGAGGGTTGAAGATCGCGTTCGCTTCATCCACGACTTGCGTGTCGGAGTGAGCTGGGATTAACGAGAGTATCTCATCTTGTGGATCTGCATTGCTTGGGGGATGCAACAAAGATGTCACTTACGTGTCCTCTTCCTCGGGCCAGACGTTCAATGTCGCAGTCATCAAGACCTCTCCAAATTTCTTCAGTACCGGCGTCGGTTCGACCTGAAGCGGAAGGCCCGGCTTCCATTTCTGAAGTTCACCCGATTCTTCTGAGATATCGTAAAGAGCTGCATACGCGCGATGCAACGTGCTGATTGTGGCTTTCCGCACATTCTCGTACGAGTGTTCCGCTAGGGGAAGGAGTTTCTCAATAGTCTTCTCAAAGAAGGGCAGATAGGCCGTCTTGGTGTTGGAGACAACGTCCCCGATAACCTCAATGGCGATTTCCTTCTCGAGAGCTATAGGAGTGACAGTTGCGAGATCACCCCAATCACTGTCGTCGTCGCCATCAATCTCAACATCTTCGATGTCTCCATCTTCGTCATCGTCATCTGCTGCGGCGACTTTGACCTTTTTTCCTGCGATCGTCACCTCCTTGCCGAGAAGGTCCCTTGCACTGTCGCCGAGTTCAACTTCGAGGTCGGCTTCTTCTTGGTCAATGCAATCGAAAAGACCCTTCACCACTCCATCCAGGAAAGGCGCAAAATCCGCTTCATAGACCTTGGCGAGAGAACCCCACAGAATGTACGTGCTCTCCTTGAGTCTTGAGTGCTCGAGACGTAAGGCCTCTTCACTGGTCTCCATGAGCGGACGTACATAGTCCTTAAACTCGGCTGGGCCGACGGCAACAGCCATCTCACCCATGGCATCAGTGCAACTAGCACGAAGGTCAAGTTCTTCTTCGCTTTCCTTCTTCGTGATATATTCTTGCATAGCGTTCATTGAATCGCGGAGGTAGGGCAAGAATGGTGCTTCGACCGTTGAGGCCAAGGAGCCTAGAGCGCCCGCAGCCAATGCCTTGATCTTGAAATCGGGGTGCTTAAAGAGTCGTTGAAGCAGTGGAGCCAACTTATCCAGGTAGGGCACAGCATCGTCCGCATCCATTCCGTCCACAACTGCGTCTATGGCACTTGTCGCAGACTTCATGATGTCGACGGTGGGCCCTTCCTCCTCACCCTTGTAAGCACCCATGGCCGCGGTCAGATTCTTGACGAGGAGCGGCATCAATTTCTCATGCGCCTTGCTGATGTCTTCTGGCATATCGTCCGCCAGCCTGGCAGTTGTCTGTAGGGCAGCTTGTCTGACAACCACCTCCGAGTCCTCCAAAAGTGTGAAGAGAATTGGCATCACGGAGGGCAGCTGGGTGCTGAGGAAATCTGGAGCTCCTTCAACCGCCATACCAAGAGCTAGGATACCGGCCTGGCGATGTTTAGGATCGGAGCTCTTGGAGTACTCAGGGAGTGCATTCAACAACGGGACGACGACTTGGTTCGCAGGGAGACTCTGAGCCATGGTATCAATCAGACCTAGAGCTGACCGAGCAGGCGTGATATCGTCGTCAGCGGCGGAAGCATCGTCAATCTCCGTGACAACCTGTAACATGCTCTTTGTCAATGGCTCGCCCATCTTGGCACCCTGGACCCGCAGCCGCCTATAGATGACGCACTGCATCAGGAAGCTGATGGCTTGAGTTCTGGTGTCATCGGCCATGTTTGTGTTGGTTGCAATCTCGTTCATAAAGACGACTAAATCTTGGAAATGTTGCGACATTAGCTGATATTCCGCAGTCAGAAGCGTGTTGAAGACCTCGAAGGCGAGCATGATCTGGTCTTCCTTGCCCGAGTCAATTGTGTCTTTCAGGACAGCAACCATGGAAGGGAAAATGTTTTGGAATGCCCTAATGGAAGCCTGGTCTTCTTCGGCATCGATCACGAGCGCCATCTTGGAGATGGCCAACAGGGTGTTGACTCGGACTTCCAGGCTCTCTGGGTCTTTGATTGTATTGCTGAACAGTGCAAATAACTCTTTGAACTTCGAACTGAAGTCGTCTCCCATAGTTTCTAGGATGCTGTATAGCACGTGCACGCCAACCACGCGCTCAGCGGCTTTTGAGCTTGTGGCAGCCTGCTGCAGCATGCCGGGCAGTTCGGGCCATTCGCCATCATCGAGATCAATCTTTGCAATTGCACTTATCAGACGGGATGAGGCGTGTCGGACGAGCGAGGAATGCTCAGCAAGAGTCACTTGAAAGAGTTGTGTTCGGGCTTGTTGGCGCTGGTTGTTGGGGATTTTGGTCCAATGTTTAGAGACCAGCGGCTTGGCTTGGGTCGCAGCCAGTTGTTTGAGATCTGCGCTTTCGTGCGAAATGGCGAGGTGGATCAAGGCCAGGAGGGACTCTGGCCGTTTGTAGTATTCGTTTTGGAGCACACTTGTTGCAGCCTTGACGTTGCCCTTCTTGGGGTCGAGGACGATGGAGAGCTGCTCAAGGAATTTCTGTTCGTCCATCGTTGCAGGGACAGCCTGCGCCGCTGGCTGCGGTGGGTGAATCAATCACGGCAGAAAAGTCGAAAAAGGAGAAAATCTATAGGATGTGAAGACTCAGAAGTATCGAAGCCAATGGACCGAGCACAGAGACCTGGAGAACACAAACGTACAGGAGAATGGAACACAGAAATTTTCGGCGCAGTCTCGAGGAATTTTTTTGGGCTCCAAAATCCGAAATGGAACCCGAAATCAACATCATAGCGCTACAGTTTAAGCTTCACGCTAGGCCTCGAAAGGCTTGGTTCGGGTTCGGCGTGCCCCGCCATGCTAAGCACGGTCACGTGAAGGGCCGGGTGTTGACCACGTGACGCATTTCGCAAAGCTGAGCCATCACCTCTTCATCGAGCTGATGATGGTGCTCCAGGTTGTCCAGCTAACCTACCAAGTCCCTAGGCCCGACTCATCAATACCCCCATCTGGCATATGAAGCCCCGGCTCTTCATCAACATCTTGCATTCTGCAGAACAACCCTCAGGGAATCAAGAAAACTTGTACTGAGTATTTGACCGGTCGGTATCTTTTGTTCAGTCCTCTGGACCGGTTCTGATATTATCCGCACCCCCCAAAAAGTTCGAAGTTCAAGGATTGTGCCGATCGATTTTTGGCCACCCCCCCAAATTTTTCCTTTATGGATAGAAACGGGCGTGGAGCCCGGAGAAAATTACCGGCGAGGCTAAGGAATGTATGCCTAGAAGGTCCCTAATCCTAAATCAAGTCCCTCCCCCTGAATATTGCAAAACAGCGGACATTATGAACCAATCTTGCGCTAATCGAACTCGCCCGCTCTCTGGATGCAAAAAGAAAGCATCCATTTCTTGTGGATCACCTTGTAAAGCCAGCGCTCGAAGTGCCCCATCGCTAGTATACATCACGCTGGCTGCAAGGGCAAAAGGCAAGGTCTCCGGATTCGGAGCGACCGATCTTCCCAGAGTAAAAATATCGAATGCCATTATCAGACATCTACGGTTTGGTTGGATCGTTTTTCCGCATTCATGTCCTTTGGAAATGGGGAGGGTTGCCATGTTCCTCCGAGGAGCGCCTAGTATAAGTATGTCGGGGCCCAGCAGCCCACCGCGCAGAATTCGGATATCTTGTCCGCCAAATTCTGTCTCACCAGCTTCAGCTGTTCCACCGACCGAACTTTGCTCATATTCTTGAGCCTCCTCGAAATACGCAAATTCACGCCCTTTCAGGCAACCTCATCCGATGTCACGCCCTCTCTAGCATGAATTATCGAGTAAATTGTCACAACGAAGAGAGTTTCTCGGCTTCCCAGATGAATTCACGGGAGCCACTCCATTTCCATGTCTCAACTGCTGGCACCGCGGCCATCCCAAGGCGACGAGGGCCCGCCGGAGCCTCCATCTTCTCAACGCCATCGAAAAATATCCACCGCTTGCGGTGCCTGCAAGCAGAGGAAAACAAAGGTATATAGCGCATTCGCAGTGTTCGTCAGCTGTCTCTGACCCGGACCAGTGCTCTGGGGGTAATCCTTGCGAGGCCTGTGCGGCGAGAAGAAGTCTATGTGTGTACGACGCAACTTCAGATCAGCGTCGGAAAATTGCGAATCACCGAACCGTCCAAGAACTCGCAGACAAGCAGATCGCGCTCGAACGGCATCAGCAGCTTCTGGGAGGAATAATCGCAACTGTGCGAGCGGGCAGTTTCAACGCAACCGACGACCTACTCCGTGTCATCCGCTCAGGCGTCGAGCTGTCACAATTGGCGGCCCATGTCCGGAACGAAGTCCGGACGAATATCGCAATCCAGCAGGCTTTCGAACAGATTGAGTTCATCATCGACGGGGGCCTAGAATTGCCCTCACCAGCCCAGATGCAGGTTCTCCCAAATGAGGAGTCTCGTGGATCAGAGGACCAGAGCGACGCAAGTTCCAGCAATGCTTTATTCAGCGAGCAACAAATTCGAAATCTGGACAAATTCAAACCGCCACGTTGAAGGAAATCATTCATGGCGAGGGAACTGAGATCGAACGATATGCAAAAGAGCTTGAAAATCCCTTTTCTCAGGGAATTTTCTATATGTCAACTGGTGTTGGATGCTACTACCGAATGTGTTGATGATGGGTCAACATCACGGTATTGAAGACCACCTTGTCCGAGTATAGCTTCCTTCCCTGTGCCGGTGGATCGATCAAGCTGACCCAACTGCTATGAGCAGAAGCAAAATTGGTTATTCGAGCTGTTTCGCTCCCACACAGGAGGCCTTGCAGAGGCCCCTTCCCACGTTAATCAACTTTGCAGCTGGATTTTGTCGGGGACGATACAGTCCGCGGCGCATACCCGTTATCAGTCAACGATTGGCGAATGAGACTAGAATTTGCACATGCGATAAAGAAGGTGAAAAGAGCACGGCGGCGAGAGCTAATACACATGCAGCGGTGGCCTTTCAGTTTGCGCAACCTTGGCTGGGGGGATATTAGCCATGATGGACAGAAGATGGCGGACCCAGCAGTGGAATCTGACCGAGTGGCCAATATTCGTCCCTCTTGCGCTCGAAATCTTCGATGTAACCATCCAAAGAGTCCAACCATGGGGAAGCAGTATCTTGACTATGCTTTCGGCGTGCGAGCCCAGTTTTATGATCGCTACGAGTACACACCATTGTTGATTGATTCCGGTGCTCTTGCCCGGATGCTGATAGAGATACGCGAAAATACGCTCGTCAGCCGGATGTCATGAAAACAACATCAGTCAGATAACTTTCTCACCGCAGGGGCCCGACGGACTCTGACCATCCTAGCTACAAAGTCACTTCAATAGCATATAAGAAGAGTGAGTGTTTTTGGCTGAGGACTGGTCGAGTTCAAGTTGGTGAACATATATCTGAAGGAGACCTCGGAATTGTTACTTCTGCCCCGCCTGAAAAAGACCTAAAAAGCCCCTCATTCCGAGCATGAAGCCTGTCCGCATGACTTAAGAGAACAGAGGGGCTCATGTTCAAGGGGCAGATCTACAAGTGTTCTCTACCACACTCTGTGTAGCCAGGCCATACCAAGACGTACCTAGCTCTCGGCTCGCTAGGTGTGCTAGCTGACATAGCGGACCATTTGATTAACCCTCAGTCAGACGGATCAAAGAATCCCGCTTTGCTGCGTATCAATGCAACCTAATCCTCGTCTGACCAAATACGTAAATTCTGCTATTGATACCACCAACACTAACCCCTTCGATTTCCCCCCCCTTCCCCCTCAAGTCTATCTCACCCACCTGGCCACCCATTCGCCGCCATCACCTGTCCAGCAGCCTCTTCGCTTGTATTTTCCGGCTGGCTTGTGTACAAGTCATAATCCGCCAAGTCTGCTGCATCCTCCTCACTTCGAAAGACGAGCTGATCAACCGACCATGACCCGTAAAATCCACGAACAAGGACCCGTGGCGAGAGGCCAAGTGGCTCAGGGCCACGCCACTGCTGATTCCCCCGACGTCGATGCACCCTCCAAATCGAGGCGAAACCAGTCATCAGCGCTACGACCAGCCTGGGAAACACTCCTGGTGATGCACCCGCGTTCCAAACTGAAAACGCATCTTGTCCCCGCTGCCCACGGCCACGCCTTCGAGGTGAAAGCTTCGTCTCACTTCCGCATCGTTGACCTCCATGGCCAACAGGTAGTCGACTTCATGGCCTGGACCTTGCCCTACTCACCCGCCACAAATCCGGAACATTTTTCCACGAGCTACACGCGATATGCACTGGGAGGCTCCGCTCCTCCACAGGTAGGCGAGGCGCTGTACACGAACCAAGACCGCAAAATGTTTACCATAGTCGCCGACATGGTCAAGACCCACGATCTGCTTTTCATGGCTTGTAACCCGGGCTTTTACGCGCGCCGCGGCCAACCTGTCCACCGCTCCTGTGCCACCAATGTTGCCGAAGCGATGAAACCCTGGGGCATGAAGCACTGGAGCGAAGTAGTTGATCCGTTCAATATCTTCCAGAATACTCCCTATTACACGATCAAGGCATTGAATTGTTCCAAGCCAGGAGATTTCATAGAAATGCGGGCGGAGGTGGATGCTGTTTGCGCGGTGAGCAGCTGTCCCTTCGAAGGAGACGGGTTCAATGGTGGGAGAGCCACAGACATCGCGGTTGTGACCGAGGTTGATGAAGAGGACGATGAAGGGAAGGAATGAAATCACCTCATTGCTGAGCTCGCAATTTAGATAGCTACACCTTGATTTAGCCCTCCCACAAGTCTTCAACAATTTTGCTTCATCGGCCTGGGCTAGATATTGCTGAGCCCATTCCGAGCTGCACTAGATTGTACATGTTCCTAGACGACCCTTTAGCATATTGAAAGGCCCCCCCTCCCCCGCCTTCAAGCTGTGAAAATGGAGCGCCGCAAATTCGACAAGACGACCAACATGCAATGCACGCAGCAGAGCTGCATCCCTTTTTCTGCGGTGGCCTGATAGAAATCCGCCGCCAGTGAAAGTCCCCTGATTCGAGTGTTGAACTTCAGCCTCGTCGAGGGACAAGGAGTGCCAGGAAGAAACAATTTCGCCTGACCGGATCCTTTTTCGTGTCTTTCGCCGTCACAACCGCCAGCTACGCTTTGAGAGGCGAATGTAGACCGCTTGTGTCCCTTCCTCGAACTTGATCATGGGATCATCTCATTACATATCTGGTATTTCCCTGGTCTTCTTCGACTTTCCTTGATGGTTCTAACCTTGTCTCAACAACAGATGCCGATAAATTCCTGAGTGGAAAGGGCACAACGTCTGATAGTCCAGTGGTATGCTAGGCGTCGAAGTCCCACCCTGATTCTCTCATGATGGTAGCTGACGGTGGCTATGTCCTCATCTTTTTCTAATTTGCGGATATGCTTCGGTGTCAGGAGGACCTTTTGTTTTGGCAGTAGGGTCATCGGTGTGATGCTAGCCGAACCCACCTTCGTCTTCTTGTCGTCGCTTTTCCTCGTTCCTTTCCTCCAGTTCATATGTTTCAATGATTTCCCTTCAGAAATCTGAGCGTGGATGACAAGTTCCACTTGAGACATCTAGATTACCACCAACACCTGCCCTGTAAGCTCGATCCGCAAATCGCACAGTTGAACTGGGAATCTGAGATTGACTTGATGAGTTCGTGAGACAGGCAGACAAAAGATTGCTCGAACATGAGGAGATTCTGCAGGTTCATGGAAGAGCTTAAATTCTGTCAGCCGAATAGTTGTCCTCGGTGACGCTTGCCAGTGTACAGTTCGGAATCCTACGTTCGCCTCACGGCCTTCTCGGGATCCATAAGTTGGAAGCTCAATGAGGGCCACATTCAAGCTGTTGATGGACTCGAATCACGGGTATTTTGGAAGAATGCTCAACAACCGACAATAACGGGGCTAAGTACCAGCCTGCGCTTTGCCTGCGGTATGTATTCTCCCGGAAAAGACTTCCAGAGACGCCCAACATGAGCCTTAGCCGGATTGGAAATGCGCAAGTTCTCCTCTTTCACAGCTACTATGCCTTTCTTCAGTCTGCTTTGATTGTGTCATTATTCACCATGAAGATGCGCAGGTTTTTCTGCTTGGAGAAGGAGCGTGCTAACCTCACAAAAGCATTCTGTTCAATACCATGCTTCAAGACACGCACTCGTCTCAAGGACCTTTACTCCGCAGTTGGTCCCATTTTCTCAAATCAAACATGAACAAATCCCTCCTCGAGCATGTCCGGATAAGCCGTCAATCCTATACGACTTCGATGTCTTCGTAAAGTGACTTGCAAGCAAGCATTAACGCTGCCTGGAAAAACAAGAGCATGGGCGTCTACTGCTTTACACAAGGCTTCGATAAACATTCTGGTGCAGACCACGAGGCTCTCGATTCCATCGACTGTATCCATTCCCGGCCTGTCACCGTTGCGTGGGTCGCGTGCTCCTTGAACCACGAGTATCCGAGACGAGAAAGCATCAAACAGCGTCTAACCCTCAGGACCGGTGCCGAAGCAAGAACCGACCGGAAAGTCGGCTGGAGGTTCCCATACGATAAACACGTTGTTGACCCACACCGTCCTTTTCTATCCCTGGCTGGGCGTTTCTCCCTGCCATGACTGATACGAATTTTCCCAATTCATCGAAGAGGCGGACCCTCAACGCCAGCAAGTACACAAGACGGTGGGCGCATACTATCCATGAGTGAAAAGGAATAAAACGCATTGAATGAGCCCTTTGGAGTGACTCATGCCCCCTTTATGATCCCAAGATCAAAACAAGACATTGGCTTTCGTTCAAGTGCTTTCCGCCGATGTTCTCTTGTAAAGGGTATCTTCGCGAGCCTTGTCTCATGCCTGCACGAGAGGGGGGCTTTGACACGGGCTCGAAGTTTCTCTCGTCTCTTAAAGGTAGGATCCGGCAGACTCTGAAAAGAGCAAGGTAAAATGAGGTCATCAGCTCGTTCCTTGGCCATGGAATCTCGAGGATCAAGCTCAATACTCGGCGCTATACATTGTAGAGAGCGGACTATCAGTATTTCCGTCTCCGACTAAAATGGGTCCAAGTGGGTCTTCCCTGGATGGCGAGGTGGTCATATCAATATTATGAGCTATCATTCTAAATGGCCGTCCCGCAACATTTCATCATGTACTCGGTAGACACTGGACCATCGCGGGGCTTCTGTATATCAGTAGGCTTCGTGACGCCCTGATCTTGGACGTTTGTATTCCTGCGGCCATATTTTTGGATGATATTGTTCCTTTAAGGAAAGCTCTCTACTACGAGGAGGCTCAGATGGTTAAGTGGGTATGGAAAGGAAAGATAAACAGCGGAAAATTCTCAGACCAAGACAAGTCAGCTCGTGGTATCACACTTCACAGCCTCGTCGACGCTCAGCCCCGCCTAGTACGGTCGCCCAATCATCCCACGTCGGGCCTCGTTCAGAACTCTGCAGGAGATATTAACATCCCAGCTTGGAAGATCCGGAAGAAGTCTCGCACTCCGCCCGCGCATTTCCAGATTTCGGGGCTAATTACCACATCCCCATCACTCACCGGGCCTGGAAGGCACAAGGAGTCTCGGCCCGTGTATGCCTTGGATGAGATTTGGGGGCGTGAGTGGGTATTTTATTGCCTCGTTCTATATATCCCACCCTCAAAATCTCAAGTCTGGTGTGCGCAGCGGTTTTTACGGTCTACATCCTATGGGAGACATAAAGCAAAAGAACATCATCTTTCAATCCTCACCCCCGGCTCCCCCGGGCGAGGTGATTGATTACCTGCGTTTCGCCTATCGCGTCTTTCTCATACTAACTCTGGACTGGCTGTCCGCCCTTTATCGCCTCCATTTCACTACCAGCGCGTGCTAATTAGATTCCGGCCGTTGACGACGGCTTAGGATTTATATTGATCGAGGTAGACCTCTATCGTCCTCTACCGATCTCTTCGCCGCTGCTCTCATTGTTCCAGCCCAAACTTCTCGATAAATGTCTCCGCGGCAGTCTCGGCGATCATGTATGCCGTACTCTGCGTCATGCAGCTGTGGGTAGCTTATCAATACAATACACCTTCTTGCTTTGTTTTCCCCCGGCCGGTTCCGTAGGGAAGGGGGTGAGTGAGTGAACATACCATGGAGTGGTGGGACAGACGCTGAGGTCAGCCACGTAGAGATTTTTGACCCCGAAGATCTGAAAGTCGGGCCCGACGCAGGCAAGCTTGTTGGTCTCGGGCTTTCCCATCATCACTGTCCCTGTGGCGTGGTACTGCGGGCCCGAGACTGCCCTCAGCCATGTCTGGACGAAAACGCGTGCGGGTATTACGTCAATAAATAGTGGCCGATGCTACAAACAAAAAGGGAAAAGCAGAACAAGAGAACGAAGAAAGAAAAGTCGGAGTCAACAAGGAGTGGGAGAGTACGACCTACCTCAATATCCTGGTCCGTCTTGCTCGCGGGGCCGTTTATGTAGCCTTCGAAATACGCCGAGTTGGAGTCCCCTTCGATGAACTCCATAACCTTGCGCGTGTTGTTTATGTAGGACCGCAGATCGTAAGGGTGGGAGAGGGCGTTGAAGTCGAAATGCGGAGGGTCGGCGGGGTTTGTGGATCGCAATCTCAACTCTCCCCGGGATTGAGGGTTCATTAGGCAGTTGACGTAAACGTGATAGTAAGAGACGCCTTCTGGGAAGGTTCTCCCTCGAGAGAAGAGAGGAGCTGCCTGGCACGGATCTGTTAGACCCCATAGCCAGACAGATAGACTTTGTTAAACCAGAAAAGAAGGAGAGGGGAGAGATGTGTATTGTTTTAGATGTGTCCTTACCATGCCGAGTGATAACTGAGGGACCGTTTTTCCCTTGAGAAAGTTCTGCATTGACGGGTCCAGCAGTTTGAATTCCTCTGTTTCGAGAATCTCGTCCACTTTGAGGAAACAGAAGGGCAGACAGGACCAGGGACCGGCCTTGTCTGGCTCGCCGTGCCGCACCACATCTCTGTCCAGCAACTTTATCGACAAGCGAGTTTCAATAAAGGACTGGATGTGGTCCTGGAGATTCTTGCCGACACCTTCAAGGTCGTGGACGACTTCTATCCCAAGGGGGACCAAGTCGGCCTTCGGGCCGACCCCTGAGAGAAGAAGTAGTTTGGGTGTGTCAAGGGCACCGGCACATAGAATCGTGGCTTTAGTCCCGCGAGCTATTTTGTAGAGATCAGTATCGCAACGCGGCTTCCTGATAAACGAGCCATACCGCTGCGACCGTCTGCCAGCCCAACCCCAACAGCGGTCCTGCCAGCAAACAATATCCGAGTGACAAAAGCATTAGTCCACACCATCAGGTTAGGTGGCCGATTCTCCAGAAATGCCGAGGCCGCGGTTGTGCGAAGACCATGAGAAACAGTGCTGGGTGACAGCCCTATTCCAATCGGATTGCCACTGTTCTGATCTGGGTTGATTGGATACTTTTCACACCAGTTAGTGCGATTGACGTTTTGCGAAAGCACTGTGTGTGCATACTCCATGAGCTTGAGCAATCTTAAAGACGGTCCACACACCGGACTCCCATACTGATGGAAGACTAACATCCACTGGACCCGTACTGCCATGATTTTCCGGCAATGTATGAGCGTATTTTCTAAAATCTGCCGGAGTATCGTCATGGAATCGCTCAATCTTTGGAAATGTCAATATGAAATAGTTTTCAGAGTTGGGAGTAATGTGCATTACCCGCCTGAATCTCTCTTTGGTTTCTGGCCATCTCCATTTCGGCAACCCTGTCACGTCTGCCCAGAAATCGTATTCCTCGGATGAACCGATGTAGTACACCATCGCGTTTATCATCGTTGAACCACCCAGGCCCTTCCCTCTCGGATAGGCCACGCTTCTGCCGTTGACGTTCTTCTGTACATGCGAATATCCGGTCCATCCCAGGCTCGGATCAGCGAGATTGACAAACTTTCGCCCAGTGTCACGGAGCCCGGGATCGTCGAGGACATCTCCAGCCTCAACGAGAAGAACAGATGGTGCGGTGGATGTACGAGAGAGCCTAGAGGCCAGGAGACAACCTGCAGCTCCCGCTATTGCATAATTAGATTGATGGTTCTGGTGGGCGGTTGCACATCCAACGTACCTCCGACCACAATAAAATCAAACTGATTGGACATAAGAGCCAGATTTAGCCGGAAATGGGTCGACGTGCTTGGTTTTCTGGTTTTTCTTCTTTCCAATGTGAAGAAGGAAATTGTCAAGTCGCTCTCCGCCGAATAGGCTTATATTTCTCTTTTCGCTCAGTGAGACAGGATTGGGCCCCACTTGAAGCAGATATTGAGATACTCATTTTGGCAAATGTAGGTACCAAACATGCGTATCCTCGGTGCTGACGAGTGCTGGTGAAGGACTCAAAATCGATACAGACGAGAATGTACATACTGCCTGCGGTGCGCTAGATAGTCTGGGTAACCGGATATGGTCTTCAACGTCAGATGCTTTACGTGTCCGACCCCGAGTCAGCATCTTAGTAGCTTCGACAACTTTGGAGCATGTAAGAGAAATTAGGAACCGTCGGGCGAAGCCCGATAGGTGCCCCAGGTCGGCCCGGGAGAATAAAGTGCCTGAAAGGGGTTCTTGCTACAATAGTGAGGTCAAAATAAGGCCGGGCACCCTACTTCTTATCATTGTACAGAAGAAGAAGGGTTATGTAGATGGGTGAACGAGAGTCGAGGGGCGGGTGGGCGTGGGCTGCCTTTAAAGCGGCAAGAAGGTCTAATATTTACTCGCTATATGACTAGAAGTTGACTTGACCAAGGGAGAGCCAAGAAGGTGGATGGATGGATATGTTGAATAACTACCATATAGAGTATGAAGTACTTATCTGCCTAATCCTCAAAGGCTAGTCCTACTTCAGGAGAAGTCTATCTTGGACCAAAAACAACAAACCTTGTGCATGAGCAATACAAGAAGGAATCAAAAGTACGAAAAGATGCAATCGGATAGAGAGGACATCCAGCCAAAACACCCAAAAGTGGGAAAGGGAGACATTCAACCAAATGCAATACCACATCCGTCCAAATTCTCCGCCAAGGTCCAAGTCATAGTCTAATCTGGAGAAGTCAGGGGAAGTCCCTCTCGAACGTGCCCACGATGCTCTACTGCTGTTCGCCGTAATGGCTCGGACGGTTGTCCTCGTCGTCAAGATAGACTAACTGGGTGTAGGGATGTGGAGGATTGGAGTGGAGGCCGCTACCAACGCAGAGGAGGATGGAGGATCCAGGTGAGAAAGACCCAACGTGCTGTGGGCAAGGACTGGGCTCCGGACTGGGCTCCCTCACTTGCGGAGGTGCATCCGAGATATGTGATCCAGATCCTAAACGCTCGTCCATTCGCTGTCCATTTTTAATGCTTGCTCCTGGCTCACTCATGTTGGCTTGAAGATTTGCAGGCTTGTCGGATGGGTCTTCGGATGTCGGTGACGTTCCTGCTTTCTCCCGTTAGTGATCTCTGGCGATGTGCCTGCAAGAGATTCCCACTCACTCGGACATTGGTCGTTCTCCTGTGTGCCTTGCGGACTGGAAGCAGAGACGGTTGAACCTTCTACTCCTGTTCTTGGGGATGGACCGGAAGCTGCCGAGACACAAGTAGATGATGTAGAAGAAGACTGAAGTGAGGCTGCATTCGGAACTTCCTTGGATGAAGCAAGCTTTCTATAATCATTTGACAGGCCGGAGCCATGAGAATTCCGTATCGAAGACATTCTGTAGCTAGGTGTGACAAGAATATTCAGGATCCTCAGTGACTTGACTGCAAAGAAATATATAGTGCCTGGCTCATCACATTTCAGCCATGCCGCTCCATCGTTGGACTGGACCGGAGGGCGTGCCCATGCCCAACGCAGTATTCTCTTCTTCAATTTGACTTGCTGACCCTGGGAAGGATGCCATGACAGCAAATGAAGAAGACCCTAAACACTGCCATATTTCAGGCTTCAAGAGGCTTAGAAATCGCAGTGTCTTTGGTCGACGCATGAGGGACTTAAGTCGGAGTGGTCGCATCGACATGGAGCAGCCAAAGCCAGTATGAATCACAAATCAGGCGGTTTGCTGAGCCTCTGTTCTTGGTCTGCCACCACAGGAGTGAGCAGGACGACGGGAAGGGGTGCCTGAAATGATCAACACGACAGTGCCCCCAGCTTCTGCGACAGCGTCCAGAGGGCAAGTAGCTAGTGGTTGCCTTCTCGCTGGAGCTGGAGACGAAGGGAAAGTCCCTTACCTTGACGCGACGCATAGCGAGGCAGATTCGCAGGCTCTGGGTCGGCTCGATTCTTCTCAATTAGCGGCTTAGGACAAGGTCCATAGTAGGGAAACATGAACGAGCAGCCAATAACATCCTGATGCCCTTCTCTCGGGTGGATGTATTTCTCAAAGTGAAGCTGGGGAGATGTTGAACATGGCGGGATTGGTGTTTATCCGCAGACTGCCATGCCGAGAAAAAGGGGTGCAAAGGACGGACCAGGGCAAAGGAGGGTCTTCGCTTCGCCTGCTCCTCACTGACCTTTGCACGCATCTGCACCTGCGCAGCTTCGTACCTTTCCGCATCATTTTCAGTTGCTTCACTGCAATTTCATCTTTGCATCACCTCACCGCCGCAGGTTTGATCACCCGGACCAGCATCGCTCAGTCTGTCAGCAAACCTTTGCACCGAGTACAGCTCCACACAGCCCTCTCGTCGCCGCCTGACCTCTCTGAGTACGCCACTTCCGAGAAGGCTTGCTCTGTAGCTTTGCGGCCCAACGTTGATGTCCGCCACGTCGTGTACTGTCACTATCACCCGCTGGCTGTTGTCGCTCTCGTCTGAGCCTCTCCTTGCCCCGTGGGTTGTTCACCTCCTTTTCAGTTGTCAGCCAGTCAAGATCTCAGCCATGTCTTCACCTGATCGCGACAGGCTGCGTGTCCTGCCGCGCGCATTGCTGCCCAACAAGACATTCAGGTTTCCTGGTCATTGACGGAAGATGAACGGTCTGAAAGAGAAGGAGAACCACACCAGAGCAAATCCTCATCAAGCTTTTACAAGCATGCTGTCGTACAACCTCGCGTGGAAAAAATTGCGCTCCAGTCATTGCCCTGTGGCACCTGGTGCTTCCTGCCTTGTCATTCCAGCTCTATCAAGCTCCATTCCTGTCAGAATGTAAGTCAAGCCAGAGAAAATCGTCGGAAATCAACCGTCCACCAAGGGCAGTGATTGGTACGGTTACTCGATATTTTTCCTCGCTCGCCATGTCGCCCCCAAAAACCCGAGCAAGCCAGTGCAAGAAACGGAGCCGACCTCTCTCAAGGGAGAATGGGATTTATATTTCAAGCAAGATGTTGTTCTACACTACGGCGAGATGGGTCTTGTGCCACGCGAAGCAAGCCAGCTACTGCGCGGTTACCAAGGCAAACGCTCATTTCTCACCATTGGCGTATCATTCCATCCGGCCACCCACTCAGTTCCGAGAGGTGGATATGCGAGTTTCACCAATGATGTCTGGATCTCCCAGGTACGCTGCTTGCTGCTCGAGGACTCTTCTATGGGCCGATGCTGTCCATACGGCACTACGGAAGTACCCTTGGCAAGAGAGGATTCCGTGGGGTGAGATCACAGGCCATTTCTGTAGTGCCCTTGTTTAGTTCGTGCATGCTGGACCAGGAATCGACTTCCGCAGAAGATATCCAAAGCTTTTTCAAGTTTCACACCTGCTCCCTGTTGAATCGTTTGAGTTCTGGCGGTCTAGCCCACTTTTGGTTGCGTTCCCTCTTCCTTCACATTCACCGCCTCTTTGAAACCGAATTCAAGCATCCTATTAGTGGCCCTGGTGGTTCTGACACGCTGCCTGCACTGTCCGACGTTGACTTTGTTCCAACTACGTTCTTTGGAGAACGGTTCGATACAGACCTGCTGTCTCATCCTGCATTCCAGAGTCGACCATCACAAGATGCCTTCAATGCAGCAATCTCCCCGGGAGCTCATCCGAACCTGCTCGAACCCTTCATCGATTCCTTTAGCTCTTCACCGGACCAGTCCTGGGTTAAACAATTGAGCAGCGATCAAGCGAGGCTCACCACATTGGAAAGTCCACAAGAGAGGGGATTTGAAAGTGACAATATGGGAAAAATTGGCGCATATCCATGTGGCTCAGTCAAACGCAATGCAGAGCCACGGGAGGACCGGTCAATTGCACATCGTGCTCCACAACAAGAGGCCGATGTTCGTCGACTGGTGGGCAGTTTCAATGAAAAGCCGGACAGTGGGTTGTGACCTGATTCCGCGATTACGCTACCCTTGGTCGGTCGAAAAGCTTGCTGTCGGTTCGCCATCGTCTGCCACGGAGAGGCCCGTCGCGGTCCAGTCAATGGTCTTCGAGTTCTCGTACACCGATACCACGAGCCTGGGATTTAAATGCTTCATCTTTGAAAGCGTGGAGAGGCCTCTCAGTACCATTTTTCTCATCAGCGGCCATTTGCGAGCCGCCTTGTACAATCAGTCGTCTTAGACGACGAGACTCGAACGAGAGCACAGCTAAGCTAACGTGGACAGGACCCAGACGAGCCCGAGTACAATGCTATTAGCTATACTACTTAGAATCGCGGCAATATCTTCGCCATAGTCCGCGAGGGCCATTCCTTCGCCTTGCGTCCATATTACAAGAAATGAGCCTTCCAGACTCGGAAATTGCGAAGTTCGAATGACAGACAACTTTTCAGCTTGGATTCTCATTTAAACAAATAACACATGGTTTCATGCTTGCTTCGCTCAACAGGATTACAACATCAGACTACTTTGAACAAACGACGTGATAATATGACCCTACATTTCCCCATGTATGTTGCAGTTTTCCTTCCTTCCTTCCTGGTACCATGGCCAGCCTTGCATCCGGGTCAAATTCCCTCCCCTCGCCCAATTTCCGCGGGTTATCGTATGACACCCTTGGCTTCACTGCCCCCCCTTCTTCCTTCATCTGCTCGACCGGCGTGGTTGTATGCTCCATACCCAAGTCTTAGTTGATGGGGATGCGATTGAAATGCGCAATGCTCCCTGACAAAGCAGCAAAAGTCGGTCAGTCCAAGACCCCTCGTCCTTTGGGACAATCGACAATCTTAGGGAGGTTGATACTCACGGCCTCTGCTCTTGTCGGCGATGTTGGCGAATCTCTTGACGTAGTCGACAAACCATTGCTGTGATTCACAAGCCTGTTTGGTCGGTCAGCTTTTGAGGAAAATTATCGTGAACGTCAATATCTTCATTCCCATCCGGCCCGCCCCCTGGGGGCGGGTGAATGGGAGGAAAAAAATTCCCTCATTGAAACGAGCAAAAGAATGGAAAAGCCTACACCCGTAAACCATTCCGTCCCTTTGGTCCAGCTGTGAAGGATCCTGATGTGTGCCGGGTCCGTGGGATCCTGGGAGATCTCGCAGCACAGGCACTCGGGCATGGCGCGCATCTTGTGCACCACGGGCGTCACGAGCTTGACGTACTCGTCCAGCTTCTCGGGGAAGATGTAGATGTCGGTGACCATGAGGGAGCCGTCCGGCCCGGTGGAGGAGATGAAGTTGTTGATGGGGATGAGGTTGCGGTGTTCTGGGACCGAGGCGGAAGCCATGGTGTGCGTGTGTGCTGCGACCAAGTGATGAAATTCAAAAAGGGAGGAGGCTACAATCAAAAGCCAAAAACTAATCTCACGAAGGACGCATGGGCTGAGCTCAGGGCATTCACACGCGGGAGAAGGAGATGTTTGCAAAGAGCATAACACTCCACGCAAGGTGCCGCTGCGAAGAGCTATCGTTATATATACATATTACAAAAGAACAGCACATGGAAGGGCTCAGTCCGCCATGCTGCACACGGGCATATTGCTCAGCGCAGCAAGGGGGCTGTCGCATTGAGCGAGCCATGTGTCCACCCGCGCACCGCTCACTCAAGTAATTGTATCAGCCTGGCAACAGGAAACACGAGCCATTCAGAGTCTAAAGAAAGCGAGAGCTCTGGACGCGTAATCGAATGCCATTTCAGCCCTGAACAATAACTCTCCTTCTCCTCTCTTCTCTTTGCTCATATGCCATGCGATGCAACGGCAATGACAGCGGGACAGCGGGACAGCGAGGGAACCACTACTAGTATTTGCGGCTGATTCAAACGTGGCGTTCTGGAAAAACGAAGCTGAGAACTTTTTCTCCTCAAAAACGGCCAAAGCACAGACCAGCCTCGTGTCTCGCGTCTGAAAAGGGCAAGTGTTCGAGGTGCGTGTGTCATTGAGTGAGTAAGTGACGGAGGAGGCTATATACTAACCAGTGTCCCGCTGGTGCTTGTGGTGGAGGTGCCCGTGCTGAAAAGGACCCCTCCCTTTGTGGGAAGTCCTACGAGGAAGGGAGCACGAGGTCGATCGAGATGTATTCCATGTAGCTAATAACTGGCTAACCAACTAACCGAATAGGGAGGAGGAAAACTAGAGGGGCGAGGGGGAGGGGGTGTTAAAGACCGGAAGAATGAAGGACAAGGGAAGAAGTACGTACGGCCAACATACGTATGTCACGGTACGGTGCATATGTAGGAGTCCAGATTCCCTTTCGCTTGGAGAAGAGAAAAGAAGAAGAAAAAAAAAGGCTTGACATTGTTTTGCCCCGGCTCAACGAGGGAGTCAAAGCGAAAGCGGCGGCTGAACACTGACCGAAAACTCCAATTCCTCGGGAGGGGAACCTCCGGGCATTGCAGTGTAGCTACGGCAAGGTACGGGTATTTGGTCGAAGTCAGGTCAAAAGTTGGAGACATGGACCCGTTGTCGTCGGTCAATGGGGGAGGGGAGGCACAGAGTTACAGGTATTCTGTCTGATATAAGCGGACTCCAGAAAAGGGGAGGGGGTTTGAAATTTGATGTGAGTATTATCTTGGTAAACGAGACGGCTTGACGCACCAGAGCCAGGGGCCTCAGCGATCCATTTGACTGGGGGAACATCGACATCGACATTTGATATCGGAGAACTAAAGAGCCATCTATTACTTCCGTACATACATACCGACCGAGCTGAGAACCTCACTCCCGCCCCTCACAGACGATGCCGTCCACCATCATCCCGGCGTCGCGCAACGCCTCAGCCTCCAGCAGACAAGCCAGCGGCACCTTCACGGGGACAGTGTGGATGGACCCGATCTACATCGACGCGGGGCCCAACATCAACATCAACCACGTCATGTTCACGCCCGGGGCGCGCACGTACTGGCACACGCACGAGAAGGGCCAGCTGTTGCGCGTGCTGGCGGGCTCGGGCTGGGTGTGCGACAAGGGCAGCGAACCCAGGCGTCTGAACGTCGGCGACACGGTCTGGTGCGACCCCGGGACAACGCACTGGCATGGTGGCGATGATGGCAGTTTCATGCTCCATCTCGCTGTCAGCCACGGCAAGACGGTCTGGCACGACGAGGTCACGCAGGAGGAGTATCAGGCCAAGAAGAAGAAGTGAATTTGAATGTGAGTCCCGACCCGGCAGGCTGGACCGAGGTGATGTGCTATACAAGAGAGGGAGAGCGACTGAGGGAGGAAAGTGAGAAGGAGAAGGAGGAGGAGAACCTAGCCACGCTCAGCGGCCGATCCCAAGGTAGACAAGGTAGACGGATACAGATACAGACCACGCAAAACAATGTCCAGCCTCATCGTCGATCCCGGCTAGCTCATTCTAAAGCTTACTCTTTATGAGCGGCACATCTAGGCCTCTTAGCTCTATCGAACCGTCGGCGTATGTATGCCCAGAAACGCTGCAAAATGCGGAGCGTCATCTTCAAGCCCTAACAAAGAAAAGAATCGCCCACAGGTTCGTTGTAAGTGAGGACGCCACGAATAGCAAAGGCTCCCGACAACTGTAAAGCCCCCCCCCCCCCCAAGCAGTGCTGATTGGTGTAAAAGAGAAAACTCGCCCGTCGACGGCTTTTACTCTAGTCCTTTGATGCTTTTGACCAGGTCCGTGGACGGCTGCCCAGATCGCCTCCAAATCGTCTTGCCATCACCTGGATCCTGCATGTCCAGTGCCGGCAAGATCTCCCTTAGCAGATCGTTGACATCCAACCCTCTCTCTCGTGCAACCTGCCATTGTTTGGGATACCCTAGGCTGACCTCCTCGAACCTCACTCCATCTCTCCAATCCGTCCTGCGAACGTGCAGATGCCCTGTAACCACTACTTTGGCATTGAATCGCGTATGCCAGTCCTCGGTCTTCTTGGTTCCACACCATAAGCTGAAGCGAGGGATCATGGGAATTGTAATGGTGTCTTGGCGCAACGGCCAGTGGTTGACCAGCACCAGGGGGATTCCTCTTCGGGAGGTGGCTTCGAGCCGCTCTTCGGCCTTGGAAACGAGCTCCTGGCACCACAGATCCCGCGACTCGTACGGGTCTGGGTGAAGCAATGCCTCGTCCGTGGCAACAATGTTCTCTTCCATCGCCCATTCCAAGGCGGCCTCTCTCGACACATCATCGGGCCTGAAACTGTAGTCGTAGAGTGTAAACAGCGGACAGATGATGCAAGGTCCGCCTTCGCCTTCCCACTTCACGTACTCGTCCTCTGGGGTGATGACTCCGTACTCGTTGGCGACCCGGAGGCATTCCTGATACTTGAAATCTCCTCGTAGATCCTCGTCGAGGCCGTCGTCTTCGTGCCCCTCGGCGCGGTTGCGATGCCCTGGTAGCGTATACAGCTCGTGATTGCCAGGCACCCAAAAGACCTGCTTGAAGAGCTTGGTGGTAATGTTGAAGGCTTCATGGAGGTGCTCAATCTTCTCTCCAACATCGCCGCAGATGATCAGGCTGTCGTCCAAATGAGGTCTTAGCTCATACAGAGCCTCGCGGTTGTGCTTGTAGCTGAGATGGAGGTCTGAAATGGCATAGAGTTTCATTATGACAGTTGGCTTGGGGCAGCTCCCGTTGCTTAAAGAGCTGGGTGAACCGCGAGCTTATCGGCCAGCCCCCAAACTTGGGATCACAACTCAGGTCTTTCCAAACAGATTGACAAAATGGTTGGGTAAGCCAAACACCAAATGACGGCGGCGAGCGCCAGGAGGTCCACGAGGAGTACAAGAAAGTTGGTCGGCAACGCGACTCATCGGGAGCCTTGCAGGACTGTCATCACGCGCAAGATTGAGTCCAACCCCTTTGACCTGCTCGCGCAAAGACTGCGGGATGTAGATGGGGGGAGGTGCTGGCCGAATGGGTGATAGTTGTTCTGATGTGCTCTTGGAGAATCTCTATGCAGAGTGACAGAGTACCGAGTACAGAGACCCCAGAGTAATAAGGCTGAAGCCTGGATTCAGTGAACGAGAACAAGGCAGGAGTCGATTGTGAATTCACTCTGCAAGGATGACCGATGTTTAGCGTGTCTGGTTCACCAAGCATAAGTCCCAGGCGGGAGGCGAGTCTTGGCTTCGGCAACATCATCTCCGGAACAAGATTATTCCGGACATGGCGTCTACAAGCATTTGCCCGCTCTGTCGACTCCATCCAAGATCAAATCTCCATTTGAGGTGAGTCGCGCCTGCTGCTCGTCGTTCAGCCTTCTGGAAACTCAGCCAAAGGGATACGAAGACTCTCTTACGTGGAGCAGGAAGTGCTCGGCCCCCTGTGTGATCAGAAACGCCAAGGTCCTGTTCACCGGCAGTTTGAAGAAACATAAGTAGTCTTCATTCAAAACACCAAAAACGTATTCTATATGCATTTTCTCAACACGGATTCATTCACCATCTAATCCTGGCACCGCACTGGGTGAACACCCGGCGAGCCGATGTTCACATTCATCACAAAAAAGTGGCCGCAACCAGCGCCGTTCCAGAAATGAAGTCAAAAGGCCTGCAAGAAAGTGGTCCTTGACACCAACAGCGGCGCGTGCCTAGACTCCTTCAGAAGCGCCAGTACATAGCTCGCTCCACACGTAGAGTCCGCCGTTTTCAAAAAGCAGATTATGTGCTGGTAAAACCCAACCCCAGCCCAGTCCAATCCAGTCCAGTCCGTCCCGGGCATTCCAGCCCGAGCTTTCGCCGACTCAAAATTTGATTCTTCGGTTTATCCAGAAAGCCCGTGGTATCATTCGAGGTACGTCAAATGCATTTCGTAAATCATAACTTCAGGTGTCTGGTGCTTGATATTGTTCTGTCTTGTGCAGTGATGTAAAACAGCTTCCCCTCAGCACGCGCTACCGAACCCAGTCCTCGTCTTCTCTTTCATCGTTCAAACTCAGTTCGGGATTGGTCATGTCTGGCGCGGCCGACCACGCTGGATCGTCTGCCATGTACGACGGTGGCATGGCAAGTCTAGGCTGCTCCGTTGGAATATTCGAGACTCCATCAGGATGTGCATACCTTTGTGCCTCACTTATAGTGTATGGATGCTCGCCATTGCCCGTGCTTCCTGGAGTAGAGATACTAGGTGTCATGCCTCTACTCACACTCGACAACCGGGACGGGGTTTGGGAATCTTGCGGATTCATCTGCATCTGCGCCAACTGATGTTGCAATTGCATTCTTTTCGTCTCCGCTTCGGCCTGCTTCAAGTAATCGTCGATGTCGAGACTCCCGAGGTTGTCATTGGCCAGCATGTTTGCTTGGGGCGTCCCAAAATAAGACGAGGCTGAACTCAACCTGAATCGATCGGAGGCGTCGTCTCCGCCGGCACTGCTGAAATCGTTGAACGCTTCCAAACTAGTCTGTCGATCATTACCTATGGCCCGCTCGTTGCCCCATTGGTTGGCATTGGATGGAGGGGACTGGTCCTCGACCTCTGAAGGCTCTTCGCTCGAGGAAGTGATTCCCACTTTATTAATTTGGCTCGTCAACTCAGAAGCCTGGAAAGCAACTTGCTGAGACAACATATACGGCGAGTTGTCCTTGTTCAAGCTGTAAAGACCATTATGACCGTCTAGATTGAAACTGGTCCAATCAGACGATGAGCCATCGTTGAGCCTTGCCCATGCTGGAGGCTCGTACTCATGAGCTTGTTCATAGGTCATGAACCAGGTCTCCGGGAAACGTTCTGGAAGCGTTAGATCTTGCAAGCTTGGGTTTTGGCTGTTTTGTAGACTGTTCGACTGTGTCGGCGGGGTGTCTGTGCCAAAGGGAGAGTACGCATAAGCGCGTGGATCGAATTGAGGTATGTTGAAATCCTGTATCGTGGATTTTGCTCCTAGCCTTGCTGGTCCAAGCACCGGCGAATTGTGTTCTGACTTAACCTTCCGTTCCACAATTTGCATGGCCTCCGTTATCGAGGTATGCAGGGGCGACTCATGGAAGGGTTTCGTAAACTTGGTCAGCGGAAGGCTGTCGGTAGAGCGTTGGGCAATCTCCCTATGGCCATGGAGCGAGTTTGATCGCGAAGGAATCTTGTAAGGGTTTCCGAGCTGATTATGAGCATCATTGAACTTGTGAACTGGCTTGTGATGACCATTTGTGAAAATCGTCGTCTTAGGGTCATGGGAGTTCATGTTAGGGCGATGTTTAGCATGGTCCTTCGGCTGATGGAGTTGTGAGATGTCTTCCGGCACCGGATCGAGGTGTTCTTTCTTGAGAGCGCAGGTACAGCGGGAGCCATGTTGACAGCAGCAGTTATGATCTAGGGACAGCATTAGCGCCGTGATCCTTTCTTTCCTAGACTTCCGCATACCAGATTTTCCCTCCTGCTTCTCATGGGGGCAGTTTTCTTTTGAATGAGACTTGTCATGGCACTCGCATTTCACATGTTGAGAGCGCGACTTCCGCAACCCTCGGCAGTGTTGGCATTGGGACACAGGTCGACCCTTCTTGTTGACGTGCACTAGAGGTCGGTCTGGAGAGGGGGGGAAAAAAAACAGAGGATTAGTTGCGAGTTCGATAACCTTTCCACAAGTTTGCGAAGATGCCCAACAAAACTCACCTTGATGGTGGCAAGAGCTAACACGATGGCCCCTCACACAGGCCTCGCAGGCGAACTTCTCCCCGTTGATGAGCATTTCGACTATGCAGGCGACCCGGAAACTCGATCGCTTTTGTCGCAGAGGCGAGCTTGTCTTCCTCAGGGAATAGGAGCAGGAGTAGGTTGGGACCGGGGCTGTCGGGTGGAGGACAATTTCTCGAGGCGGCGGGGCAGGCGGACTAGTCGTCGACCACCTCGGATGCTGAGGTATAGGAAAGGCTGGAGGGCGCGCCCCCAACGGTATATGACAAAGAATCAATCTTAGAAATATCCAACGCCAGATGATGCCAGGGTGGACGTTGTCGGCAAGACTATGGATGGGTGCGGAAGGGTTCCTGGGATAGGATCCGAAAGAACTTCGAGAAAGAACCGCCTTACGCCGGGAAGGGTGGACAGGGAAAAAGGAAAGATTGGCCGGTGAGCAGGGGAGGCTAGGATGGGTCGGGATCGGCCATGGTTCGAGGTTGTTGGAGTGTTCAGCAAAGGTGATGCTGTCTTGCTGATTGCTGATGGGGAGGATACCTTCAGAAGAAAATCAGGAGCGGGTGAAGATTGAGTGTCTGGTGAAGAGGATGAGCGGAAGGAAGACAAAATTCGAGAAAAGCGCAAGAAGGCAGGCGGCGTGGCCACGGGATTCCACTGGACGCGGGTTGGATGGAATCTCTTTTGGAGCCAGTGGCCCAGTGGGGTGGAAAAGACCCAAGGGTAGATGGCGGATGCGCCGTGCAGTGGCTGTTTTCGATTCGAGTTTGGTGGACCACAAAATTCGCAGGGGGGGAGATGGAGGGGGGAGGGAGAAGGCCTGGGATAAGGGAATCTCTTAGTAACCCGCAACTAGGTTGATTGTGTAAGGCATTGATTCGATCGAGTTGCCGCTGCCTGACCATGGGGTTGGTGGAAGCATGAAGGACCCCAGCTACAAGGAAGGACATTGTTATATCAAATATTACTACCTAGGTAAGGAGGCATCGGGAGGGGGCTTGGGGGCACCTGGAAGACCCTTGAAGGGCTCGTTCGGTAGCAGTGACATACTGTACTATAGGTAAACAGGTATGTAAACAGGTAGATAGGTTGCCCCTCACCCAGGTACTTGGGGCACCTTGGGCAACCTCGGGCTACCTGGGCTCCCACTGCACTGCCACGGCTTCACCTTCACCGTTGCCCGCAAAGTCTAAGCCTCCTCGCCCGACGGGCTCCCGTTAAGGCTAGCTACTCCTTTATCCACTACCGTTCTTCCCGCCTTTACCTGCACAATGCAACATTCGTCTCCTCCCCCCACGGCTGATTCTCACCTACCGACATCTGGGGTCCCATCTGCAGCATGTCGCATTGCCCCATGACATAGAGTACTCTGGCTGCTAGTTACAAGTACGCCCTAGTCGTCGTGCTCTGCTGCTGCTCACCCACGAGGTGCACGAGACACTACCCATTCAGGATCAAGTGAATGAACGGTCAGAATCCCCACAAAAAGGCAGAAACCGATAGAGAAAAGGGTCCGGAGAATTACCTTGACCATCCCTCTGACGCTATGAACGGGGAATGGGTCGCAAGGATTCCTTGTCCCTTCCCATCGATCGAAGGGAAAACCCCGTCGTCACACCCTAATGGCCTCCCCTGACTGGCGGCTTCTTTCCTCAGGTACTTTGTGATCATCCACATGGGCATTGATTCGCAGTCGTCATCCACCCATGGAACTTACAGCTTCCCGCTTCAGTGTTCCCGACGACTTGTCGTATAAGACAAGCGGGGCTGCGTTGCAGCGGTGAAGTGATAGTTGAATGGCGCACGTGGCCGCCTGCTACGAGGGATTCCCGCAGGAAAGGTACAGGTGATGAAAAGCTCGGTTTATTTTTGGGGTTTATTCAAGGAAAGCTATCAACACATGGTTGCTGAGTTAAATGATCATCCATCTCTTAGCTACTGTAGCAGGCATATCATGGAGGCCACTCGACTCCCTCCGCTGCCACGTCTGCAAGCCGCAATGGCGAGGGACACAGCAGGATGGGAGGGCGGCCATCATAAATGTTGTCCGTTCGTTGAAATCGTGATGCCTCTCGCGTCTCGCGTTCGTATTGTTGCTCCTTGCTCCAAACAATCGAACGCTACTTATCCAAACGCCCTTTCGATGCCACTTTGTACAGCCAAAGTTTTTCCCACTGAGAAAGCAAAACACAGCACGTCCAGCTTGATCCACCTCAACACCAGCTCTCTTCACCCAACGGTCGGTTCATTTACACGGTGGGGCCGGCCTTGATGACCTCCTCGGTGGCCTCATCAGAGTATTTCTTGAAGTTCTCGTTGAACAACTTCGCGAGTTTGGTCACTTCCTCGCCAAAGTTGGCAGAGCCAGTCCATGACTTCTTGGGGTTCAAGAGCTCATCGGGCACGTTGGGGCATGACTTGGGGACGCTGAGGTTGAACACATCGTATATCTCGTACTCGGCCTTGGCCAACTCTCCAGAGTGAATGGCGTCCAGGATAGCACGCGTGTACTTCAGTGGGCAACGCTTGCCCCCAGTAGTAGCACCGGCACCGACCCAACCGGTGTTGAGCAGCCATGCGTTGACATTGTGTTCGGAGATCTTGTCAGCCAGCATCTTCGCATAGCGCATCGGGTGCAGAGCCAAGAAAGGTTGAGCGAAGCAGGATGAGAAGGTAGCCTGAGGCTCCGTGACGCCATCTTCGGTGCCAGCCATCTTGGATGTATAGCCAGAGATGAAGTGGAACATAGTCTGTCCCGTGTTCAGCTTGGAGATGGGTGGCAGCACGCCGCGGGCATCGCAAGTCAGGAGGATGATGTTGCTAGGATGGTTGTCGCTGATACACGGGATCTTAGCATTGCTGATGTACTCGATAGGGTATGCGCAGCGAGTGTTCTCCGTCAAGGTCGCGTCGTCGTAGTCCACTTCTCGGGTCTCGGGGTCAAAGACCACATTCTCCAAGACAGAACCGAATCGAATGGCATTGAAGATATCCGGTTCCTTCTCCGCAGACAGACCAATACACTTGGCATAGCAACCTCCTTCGATGTTGAAGATACCTTTATCAGTCCAGCAGTGCTCGTCGTCACCGATCAACTTGCGGTTGGGATCAGCGGAGAGTGTGGTTTTGCCAGTGCCAGACAGCCCGAAGAAGACGGTCACATCGCCATCCTGACCCTCGTTTGCCGAGGAGTGGAGGGTCAAGACGTTGTGCTTGACGGGCATCTCATAGAAGAGGACGGTGAAGACACCCTTCTTCATCTCGCCAGCATATTCAGTACCAAGGATCACCATCTCTTTCTCAGCAAAGTTGATGGCAACGCTGGTGGCGCTGGTCATCCCAGATGTGTATCGGTTGGCGGGGAAAGACCCGGCATTGTAGATGACATAGTCAGGATGGAAATGCTCCAGCTCTTCACGAGAAGGTCTGATGAGCATGTTCCGCATGAACAGAGCATGATAAGCCCGGGCGCAGACAACTCGGACACTGATGCGGTATCGTTCATCCCAGCCAGCGAAGCCATCGATGACATAGATACGGTTGCGGGTATTGAGGTAGTCGACGGCGCGTTCTCGATTGATCTTCCAGACCTAGAGCAACACCATGAATGTTAGCTATCATTCACACGACAAACACGTGGTGGGGCTCAGGGCAGAAGAACGGAAAGATTCCATCGCGATGAGTGGCGATTGACCTAGGCTGGCCGAGTCATCCGCAGCCAAGACTCCTTAGCCGCGGCACAGGTTGGTGAGCCCCAGCACTGCGTCATGGGCTTGTCCGGGCAACGCGGGGCAAAACCACACAGAAACCAACACTTCACGTTGGAACAGTTGTGCTTCCTGCCGTCCGTAGCGCACATGCGAACCAATGCATCACCGTGCATTGCGGGGAAGGCCTTGGGTGTTGGCAGTCGAGCTTCTCGCTCTCATGACCGAGATCAATTGACTCAGGCTCTGCTAGGCACATAGTGCTCGTTGTTTCGGATTTGGGTCGGACAAGTCTCGCCAGGTGCAATGGATAGAACAGGAACACACACACACACAGATAAAGAGAGAGAGATGGCAATACTGACTTCTGGGCTCATAGGCTTGTTGACTGGTCCCCACCACACATCCTTCTCCGAGCTTTCCTCCTTGACCACACGCTTATCTAGCGGGGAACGACCGGTCTTGGAGCCTGAGTAGGCCGTCAAAGCTCCTGAGGAAGTAATGGCCGTACCAGTTTCGTAGACCAAGGCGTCTTCGTAGAGAGCAGACACTGAGGGATTGGCAACAATGGCAACGCGGTCGTAGTCAATGTGTGCGATGGTATGGAGCTCTTCTTCGAGCTCGGTGTGCTCGCGGCCTGGCCTGGGACATTGGGTGAGTTCAAAGTGTCTTTCAAGTTTTGGGCATCAAAATGACGACAAACTTACTCAACACCCCCAGGGTGGAGAGCGGTCTTGTTGACAGAATGAGAAACCATTCTGGAAGAAAAGGCTTGAAGTTGGACTTTGGCTAGTTCTGAACGTGCTGTGCCGGTTGCTGGAGAAGGCGAGTGCGGCCTGATCTGGTGAACAGCTTGGAGACGAGCAGAATATTCTGAAGCCATGACTTGGGGATCGACCTGATATTGTATCTTTCTGACGATGGGGCCAAGCCGACCTGAAGTGCTATTCCCGATGAACGCACGGGAGAGATCGGAGGGCGACGAGATGGTTTTGCCTACAGAGTCAATCCGACTCTGCCCGACGAGTGCTGATTGGAAGAGGCAAAGTGCCGTCGATATGCCGTGTGGTACTAATTGGAGATCAATGCTACAGGTGCGGAGCATGCGATAATGAACGCAAATGCCCTTTTTATTATCGTGTTTGGTTCAGCTTTGAGAAAGAGTGAGAGGAAGAGTATGGCGGGCAAGGCGGGAGAGTGAGGGAAGACAGAGCGAGAGAGCTCGAACTGAGGTGGAGGCGAGAGCTGAGTCTGGCAGCCTGGGCTTAGTCCTGCTGTCCTCTCCTAAGAACTCCTCTCGTGATGTTCCTTTGACCCCCCGCCAATCTCGCCCCCTGTAGACCTGAGGCTATGTGTTGAATGGCTGTCGACCTCGCTCGTTTTTGCCCCAGGCTTCTACCGAGTACTTAGAGGTCCTGCGCCTGCGTCAGCGTTCGTTCTCTTATGGCTCTTTGTTTCTACGCCAATCGAATGTGATTTTCGCTGTGCATTGTCCAATAACAGATTTTCCGGGAGGGGAACAAGGACGAAGAAATGACGAGGGTTATACATGCGTCAACATGAATATACTCCGCATCTTCGATGGCTCTGACGACAAACTGTTGATCCGGCAAACGAAAGAGGCAGGTCGGCGTGGCCTGGGAGGGGCAAGGCACAAACAAACACCAGAGGAGCGAGCAGATCATGACCAAACTGTCGCTCCAAAACAACACGGTTATAATGCTGGGAACGGACTAAATCATTGCACCTTTGCCTGTGACCAAACTCTGCAATAGGGAATTGGATCAATGTCTATATTGGGACTCATCTCCACTCCGCAAGAACCACACGAACCGCAATCCATCTGTCCGAGACCTCCCAAATCAACCCCCAACATACCTGCAGACTGGCCTAGATTCTGCACAGTTAGGTAGAGAGCGTGGATGTCATCTAAGAGGCCGCCCAGCCCTCACGTCATAGGCATCAAGCAGTCTTCTGCCATGCTCCATACATGCCGAGCAAACTGCTGGTCACCCCGGCCAGACCAATGATACCGTCGTCAAGATTGACATATCCGAGTATTGTGCCGGGCACTGTAAGGTCGCAGAGGTCGGAGATCAGCTGGATGTTGACAGTTCGTTGTTGTCTGAGTCTAGGAGTCAGCGGACAATCTCTCAAGCAGGAAGTGGTCAAGGGGCATTGCCCTGCAACATACCTGGCAATCTTGACCTTCTCCACCTTGGCTTCGGCGTCCTTCTCATCCACAGCCCTGGCACGTTCCCTCAGTTTATAAGTGTTGTAGATGCCAGCAAGGGCGCTGGCGACCAGACCTGTGAACCAGAACCGGTATGCCGTGGCCTGGATGCTCTTCGCCCGAGGATCTTTCTTGACTCCCATTGTGTCCAACAGCGTCATCATGTCGAAGAACATGTAGCCAGCGTAGCCAATCTGCCTCAGAATCTGGAGATATTGCACGATCTTGTCCCCATTGCCCGACTTGATGGCCGCATCGTATAGTTCGGATCCAGCGCGGATGTGCTCGACGAATTTCCCAACGCGCAGGATCTTTCTCGTCAACCCGAATTGATTCTTGATCGTGGTCCATGGCAGGATGGCGCTTGTCGGGTTGTTGGTGCGATACAAGTACCACGCGTAGAATCTGCTGAAGTACTGGATTGTTCGGAGGACTTTGTCACGACCGACTGCGACAAAGGGTTCTGGTCAGCAGATAGACTTTCGAGAGCTCACGAATTGACCGACTCACCTGTTGTCGCAACATATCGGAGGTAATGGGTCAGCGCAGGGTGATAGACAAGGGCGTCGGCAACCATGGCTGTGATGCCTCTCGTGTTCTCTCTCGGTCTTCTGGCAGATAACAAGGGCGAGATTGGGGAGGGTAAAAAGGCCAACTCGGGATGAAAATGATGATCTTAAAGCGCGATGCCGGGTATTAGCAAAGGAGCGAGGGAGGTCAGCCATGTGCCGCCGAAACATGCTGCCTCGGCTCTTCGGGCAACATCCAGCTTCTACGAGGCCCGATCCAATGCGTGTGCGCATGAACAACATTCCATTCCAAGTACAATTCAACTCTATATATGTCTATTCTACTCAATCAATCTTGGCGGCAATCAATTTGGCAACAACTTCACCGCCTCGCACGTCCAACAGACAAGCGGTCATCCGCTCGCCCTCCTACAAGTCTACGTCCACGTCCAAATATCCCTGGTAAATGTGACCCCCAGCATTATTCCCGGATCTCTCGCGCAAGTTCAAGCAGGTATTTATGGACCCCTACAGCTTGCTCGCCCTGTAAAAATGGGAGAAGGGGTATGAATGCCGAGACTCGACCAGTAATAGGAGGCTGCAAAAAGAGAGGAAATGTTAGTGTATACAATTTTTGCTCCCAAAGGTCATGCCGCCCTCACCCTGAATTCTTGTTTGAACTCCTTTTTGATCACTTTCGATAATTTCTCGATCAAGGCGAGGTCGATAAACGTGATCATGGTCGGTCGACAGGATGGCTTTATGCTCTTGACAGAACGGTATGATCTGGTCGTCAATTGCGTTGGCGGCAAGCACTCAAACCATCCTGCAACGGTCGACCTCTGTTCGATGCCGTCGCTCTTCATATTCTCCTGTAAAGAGCGGACTCAGTCATGCTCACATCAAAAGAAAATAATGCCATGCCCTTGTCGAAAGGAATCAAGAGGGCATCATGATTGTTAGCGGTCGTCTTTTCAAATTCATCAAGGAACTCCTGATTCGCAGTCAGCATCGAACAGCAGCGTCAGAAAAAAGAGACTGTGACTTACAATACCTGGCTGCCCGCCTTTCCTGGCCAGGAAGTTACTCAAAAGGGAGTCATGTGCCGAGCAATTGTATGGTGCCCCGGGACCAAAGAGCTCATGCACGCTCTTGAAAGTTATGCAGTCGACAACTTCAATTCTAGCGATAGGAGATGGCTCAGTTGTCTGGCTAGCTCCGTTTTCCCGTGCCCACTGTGGCCGGCAAAGACCATTACCAGCGGTTGCTTCTTCCTTCTCCCAGTCCTTGGGCCATATAGCTGACCAGATGGTCAGTCGCCAAATTGGCAGCAGTCTGGCCGATAAGGGAATACGGGATCCCCAGGAGTGCCTCAGCTGAACTCAACTTCGCCACTTGTGTAGCTCGAGTAGAAGGTTTCTTGACCTTTGTCGACCTCTCTATGCTAAAAATGTCTGTCAGCCTGTGGCCCGACATTGGCTGGATGTAACGCCAGCGACATCCTCCAAGCACGCAGCAAACTTTGAACAAGCCAACCTACTAATAATGCTGTGCGAGATTAAGGGCTTTGGTCAGTTTATGGCGTGCTACTTCAGCGACACACCAATGCTTATTGTCATCTGCCAGGTCGGGCATACTATCTGCTTCCGTTTATATGGGTTATTGACGCAGAACGGTGAATAAAACTTGTTCGGAATGAAATCAACTGCAGTCCCGAGACTCAACAATGTTGCTACAGCGACATTAGTGTCGCTTCGTAGGTTATCGCGGTTGACAATGGCAAATGCGAGCAGTGGAAGTTTATCCTCGCCGTATACCAAGTTGACATCTCCGCCGAACCATGCAAATTTGCGGACTATCCATTCGTCGTTTGTTCCCAAAGCATAGAACATGACGGGAAAGCCTTCGACTGTACCAGTTGCAATCTCGGGAGGTGGTGCTGACCCTTTGGTATTCGTCTCCGCTTTGCGTGTTGATTCCTTCGTGTTTTTACTGGCCTCAACGATGGAATGCCACTTTATGGCCTCTTCAACATTGCCGTGGTCGCTCTGTTGTTTGAAAATAGCCAAGTCTTTGTTTTTTTGCCTGGTGATGACATTCGACCAGCAGGTACCTAGGGTCAGCAAAGTGCGAGCTCGAGATCAGAACACTTTCAAGCGTCTGCGACTTTTCGAATGGATGTGTCGTTATCAGGGGCATCATTCTCAGCGATCAATCTGAAGAACGGTTCTCCAGGCTGGACACATAAGGATTCCACCAGACAGTGGCTTGTGTCATTGGCGGGCAGGACATGGGCAAGTGTAGGCAATGTAAGTTTGGAGAAGCTGGTCAAGCCGGATCTCGCCTGTATGAGCTCCGAGGCTGGCAGCTGGCACCTAACGACCGACATGTTGACCCGGGGCAGTGGTAAAGAGAAGCATGTCACAGGACGTCTGAGACAGCTGGCTGCTGTCTGCCTTGGCTGCTGTGACTGAAGCTACGGCCACGTCGCTTATCACTCAGTTCCCCGAGGACCGAGCAAGGCAGATACAGTTGCTGCCTGGAACTGGATCAATACGGCTTGCTTTGGGCGCATCTTGCCTGTTCGGGCGTACAATTTTCTGTTCAGTCGATCTGGGCTAAGGCCTTTCCACCAGTCCATGGGTTCAATGGCTGTCTGACGAAAGATATTTTCCGGTCTGAAAGCAGGCTGTACTGATCAACATAGCGATCGGGCGTGGATGTGGAGGTTCCTCGCTCCTGAGGTGTCCTTAGCGTGGTTTCGTCAAGGGCCTCGAGGCAGGAAGACGGCGCAAGGACCGCGGTGGAAACCATCCTTGTCATGACAGAGAGACAGGAAAGGATGTTAACGTCCAAGAAGAGTTTTTCTATTTATTCTCCCGGTCTGACTTCCGGAATTGACAGTGGAGAATTGGACGGCTTGGTCTGGACTCGGACACGACTGCTTGGCATGACCAGCCAACCTATTTCAAGATACGCCGAGAGAGTTGTCACGGAGTGCTTACAGTGTTCGAGCTGTTACCTGTCCATACATTAGCCAATGAATATGAGAGCAAAATTCAAGAGCAAGAATAGGAATCAAGATTCGTTCCATCAAAGGTTGAAAGAGAAAGAACAGGCACATGCCGAGCTTGAGACTGAACTAAGGAAGGTCCACGGGAAGATCAGCCAAATCAAGGAAGATCTGGAAAAACAAAGGAAGCGAGCTCGCTATCGCTCGACAAGAGAGTAAAGAGCAAGAAGCCACATTATCCAACAGCTTGCGTGAGGCTCAAGAGTAGGTACGGTCGTTGACGCAAATAAGCACAGAAGAGAAAGCCAATCTGACGAAACAGCTCAATGAAGCATTGGACAAGTGCGCTACTCTTGAGACGGCCAAGCAAAACCCAGAGTCTGATCTGACAAGACAAATCAGCGATGCTGAGCACCAGTGCTCTGCTCTGGAAAGGGCAAACAAACATCTCGAGGAGCGGGCCGCGAATGTCAGCAAGGAGCTCGCATCGCTTTAGGAACGCCTCATGGAAAAGGAAAACTCTGTTGAGGGGAAAGCGCTTTGAATTCTACTGCTACAAACAAAATAAAAGGACGCCAAATCTCGTTTAAAGGAGGCTCAAGCGGTATTGGATGGCCGCAATAAGCAGTCCCAGGCTCAACGAGAGGGATCTGGAAAGAAAATTCAAGCCCTGGAGACACGCGTCAAGGAGATGAAAGCCGCCCACAAAATCAGGGAGGATCAGCTTCAAGCACAGTTGGACCGAGAAAGAAAAGGTCAGGAGGGTCAGGCGGTCGCTTCTCCGAACAATGAAGAACTGAACAGGACGAACAAGACCCTTCGGAGTGGAGTTGCGCTTTAGGACATACGGATTCTCGATCTTGAAGTCAAGATAGATCAGGTCGCAGCCGAGACCTAAGGCACTGTCCGGGTGCTTTGTGACCAGATCTCCGACCTGGAAACCAGACTCGCTATGGCATCACAAAAAGAGACGGAAGCCCGTCGACCAAAAGACGATTTGGCAGCGGAATTGTCACGCCTGCAGACTGAGCAGGCATCAGCTGGAAAGGGTGCGCTTTGGATGGCCAGCAGCGAGAAATAGAAAGTCTCACAAAAGCTCTGAAGCCTCCTTCCGAAGCCGTCGTCATTTGCATCGATCGCAGTTGGGGCATGTCGAAAGATACGGATACCGCCAAAGAAGAACTCCCGGCTCTTCTGCGTGGCATCAGACTGCGGAATCCGTCTGCGATTATTGGCATTGTTACCCACAATACCACGAATGGGGTGGCAACCTTGCACGAACTCTCCGACGTCAACAGCGCGATGGAAAGCTGCTTGAGTGGTGTGTATACCAGCGGGATCGATCAGTGGAAGAACATCATAGTAACGGCTCGGGACATGCTGAGGAGACACAAGGGAGGAAGCCAAGGGTGTCTTGCCGAATCATTTGTTTAGGCGATGGCGACGTGGAAGTGGATTTTCTATACTTTATTCATCTCGACGGTGGGTACTCTCTCCTCAATCGATCGCAGACAAAACAGTCGTTCGCGATGTCTTTAGCTACATTCGTGACGACTTCCTACCACAATCCCACTCCCCACAGACCGCCACGAGCTATAAAAGCTCCCACAGAAGACCGGAGGGATAGACTTTGATTCTAGCTGTCCAAGCACATTTGCAGCTCCGGAGCTCGTTGGCAGGATTTGATAAAAGCTTTCAGTCCGGGGTGGAGGGGCTGCGTGGAATGAGTACTCCTTATGAATGACGATGGATTGTGAATACAATGGCAAGATCTGACCTGTATGTTCTTTTTTTTGGAGCCGCAGGACATTCTAGATAGTTTATGAACCCGCACCAATTAGAGGCAGTTGTGCTACTAGAATCTGGAAATCTCCCGACCCGCCTGTTCGGAGCCTTGCGGACAATGTTCGGCCTGGAGGAAGAACATATTGTACTTGGTACATATTACAAGCATTCCACAGGAAGCTCTCCGAGAACTCCGCAAAGGGTAAGATCTCCACTTTTAGAGAGCCGAGGCTCCGACCTCAAGTTCCGCCGGGTTTGCGGAGGAGAATGGCGCCAACAGCCATTAGCTACTCCCTACCCACACAGCACCTATGATGAAGTTAATCCCATCTTTCTTCGACATACCCAACAGCTTATTGTGAATTATCCCGGTATTCTTTTTTGGCGGTCCCACGCAGATCAGATTGGAACGATTGCCGTCGCCCTGTCTCCCGTTTTAACCAGTCTGTGTTTTTTTGTCGTGCCTGGTCGGGATTGTCGTTTGGCTGTTTTAGGGGGTTGAGAAACAGAGACAGAAGCGTAGATCCAAGGGAAAAGGGCGCAAGTATATCGAATCAAATAGGTTTTGCATCACTGTATTGGAGCAGAAGAGGACTCAGACGGAGGAGAAAGTCGACGACTGCAACGACCGTTCGTGCACGCAATCACTTGCTCCAATTTCATTTCCTTATATATAATTATCACGGAGACACAGTAGCAGAACAGCCGAGGTGGAATCCAAAGAGAGGCCGAGTCAGACCACAATGCCTACCAAGTCGACGTACCCGGACATCCAGATCCCCAATGTCGACCTTTGGGGGCTCATGTTTGAGCAGCCTCGGGACTTTCCCGACTCCCAAGGTGCGTGGATGAAGGAGTTTTGCTTCTGAACTGCGGAAATCAGGATTCTTTTCTGCTAACTCCAGCCATGATTTTCAGTTATCTACCGTTCCGTGGACTCCTCCCGGCAGTACACGTGGGCCGACGTCAAAGAAGCCGCCACGGCGTTTGGAGGCGGTCTTCGCAACCTCTGGGACTGGGAAAAGGGCGACGTGCTGAACATGTTCGCGCCCAACGATGTCGACTTTGCGCCGATCGTCTACGGCGTCTTTTTCGCCGGGGGCATCGTGTCGCCCGCGAATCCCGCCTATTCGGCCGACGAGCTTTCCTTCCAGCTGTCCAATTCCGGGTCCAAGGCGATCGTGACGACGATTGATTTCCTGCCCACGGCTCTGAAGGCGGCAAAGATGTCCAACATCCCCGGAGACCGCGTGATATTGCTGGGCAGCAAACGCGATCCATCCCACAAAATCAAGCACTGGACCAATATCCGCAAGACCTCAGGCGCGACTCGGTACAGACGGCGCAAGATGGATCCACACAACGAGCTGGCTTTCCTCGTGTACAGCTCAGGCACGACCGGTCTGCCCAAGGGAGTCATGCTGAGTCACCGCAACATCATCGCCGATGTCCTGATGATCAAGGGAGCAATGGGCAAGTGGTACTCGAGCGGGAACGACAAGATCCTTGGGGTCCTACCATTCTACCACATTTACGGACTCACGGGGCTGGTCCATCAACCTTTGCATCGGGGCATCGAACTTGTTGTGATGCCCGCGTTCAATCTCGAGGTGTTTTTGAAGGCTATCCAGGAGCACAAGATCACATTCATTTACGTTGCACCCCCGGTGATCGTGCGGCTGTCGCGGGACGAGATTGTCGCAAAGTATGACCTGAGCAGCGTGAGGATGATCACCAGCGGTGCAGCGCCTTTGACTCAAGAACTTGTCGATACGGTCCACAAAAGACTGAAGATCAAAATCAACCAAGCCTATGGATTGAGCGAGACATCTCCAATGACGCACACACAGGTAAGCGCACCCCGAGCCCAATCAAGATGGAATTCATTGTGTTTGTTCAATTCGCTGACACGACGACATCGTTCTAGCCCTGGGATGAATGGTACACTTCTGTGGGAAGTGTCGGCAAGATGTTTCCGAGCATGGTGGCCAAGTACATGTCCCCCGACGGCAAAGAACTTGGCCCCGGCGAGGCGGGAGAGCTGTGGCTGTCTGGACCGAATGTTTTCAAGGGATACTGGAAGAATGAGCCAGCCACCAAGGACGCCATCACGGAGGATGGCTATTTCAAGACAGGCGACGTGGGATTCCAGGACAAAGACCACAATTTCTACATCACGGACCGAGTCAAGGAGCTCATCAAATACAAGGGGTTTCAGGTAGCGCCAGCGGAGCTCGAGGGCAAACTGATGGATCACCCTGGGATCAACGACGTGGCGGTGATTGGGGTGTACGACGAATTCCAACACACCGAAGTGCCGCGGGCTTACGTGGTGGCCAGCGACGGCAGCAAGACCAGTGAGAAGGACGCAGAAGACATCGTGCAATGGCTGGCCGGCAAGGTGGCCAATCACAAGAGGCTGCGAGGCGGCGTGAGGTTTATCGACGAGATTCCCAAGAGCGCTGCAGGTAAGATCCTGCGGAGATTGTTGAAGGATAGGGCCAAGGAGGAAGACGGGGGGCAGGTCAAGGCGAAACTGTAGGAGGCCTGTACCTCGTAAGGGTCGAGTGCGGAAGACGTGCGGATTTCTGTTCATGTTCTTTTCCCCTTTGCTTCTTTCTTTTGACTTTTCCTTTTCTGGTCGCTGCGGCGAGAACTCTCTGATGTACATATTTGATACATCCAGGGAGGACAATGCCGGTGGTGTGGACAAAAGGCGATACAAGGCGAGTACCAAGCTTTGCGCGGCACGATTTGATTCGGGCGTTTGAGGCGATTAAGCCTCTAGAAGCCGGCTGGGCATCTTTTCTTGATGACTCGGATCGAATGACCCTGATTGACACCCACCGGAAGAACGTACCTTGCTCGCTATTGAGGTACCCAGTACTTAGGCTCGGTAGCCAGGTAGGTCGGTGGTAGGGTGACCAGGGAATGGAGTCTGTGGGCACAAAAGTTCTTCCGTTCCGCAGCCAATACATTGTCCAGAGCGTATACACGTGCACCACGTGTGTGTCTGCGTGTCCGACGCTTCTCCGTAAGAAACGGTAACCTTCCACGGTTACGCGGCCCCAGCGCGCTGAGATGGGAAGGTCCTCCGTGCTGCGAAGGAGAGTAATCCGTACTTAGGTGTTGAGGGCGGACACTCTCCTGGGAAGCAAAACAAGTGGCAGACTAACTAGAACCACGCAGCAGCGGCGATCCCGAATCTTTGTTCGTCCATGGCGCAGGCTCGATGTTACGGTCGGAGAAGACGGCAGAGATGCAGCCACTCACAATAATGATGGGCTTCTGCAATGGGCAAAGTGTCGGGTGCCACAACCGTAAGAGCTTTGACGGGCGTCATGGGGGCGTGACCCTTCGCAACGGGCCCGAAGCCGGAACGGGACATGATCTGTGGGGGGGGGGGGTGGCAGGGGTCTTTATCAAGGCTGATGGGGGATGCCGAACAGGCACGAATCAGGACAGACCCTGGACAGACTAAGTAGCCGCCAATTAACCCTTCGACTGCCCAATGACACCCTAATGACCACCCACTAGAGCGCACTAGAGAGCACTAGAGAGCACCTAGCGCGGTAACTAGCCCAGGCTAGCCCACTAACTAGGTACATGGGCTACTGTGGTAAACTGTGACGTCCTCTATCCCCATCTCTCCCTCCTCTACCGATGCACCTAAGTAAGTAGGTAGCTCCTCCTCGTCTCCCCCAGTCATCGACCATTCCATGCCGTCAACATGCCTGTTCACCGGCATACAGTTCCTTCTTTCGGCTTCGTCTCTCGATCTGTTGGTCCACACTTAGATACCACCACTGATGCCACCTGCTGCTCGATAGTGGTGGCCTCGACCCAGCTCGCCAGGTCCCTGTCCAGAAAAAGTGTTATATATCCATCCCTCTGTCTTGCCCTCACTCTGTCCCAAACCTTGTCCCAGAGCCAACACCAAATTCAATCTTCTCTCCTCTCGAGCGACAGCGACAATGGATACTCCTCCTGAGAAGAAGATCATCGAAGAAAACCTTGGCCCGGAAGCCGCCCGTTCATACTCGATCCATGAAGCTCCACTCGATGCGACCCCAAAGTCACGATGGGAACGAACATGGCCTGTCATTGCCTGCGGTGCAGGATTGTTCTCTGATGGCTATCTCAATGGCGTATGCACCTTCAATCTCCCCCCCCCCTCAACGCAAGGCTGACTGACTGTTGTTTCTCCTAGGTCATTGGGTCTGTCAACACCATGCTCAAGACCATCTACAAAGACGAATACGTCAAATCAAATGCACAAAACAACGTCTCCTCGATCGCCTTCGCGGGCACAGTCGTCGGCCAGCTCGTCTTTGGTTACCTGTCCGACCATTGGTCTCGTCGACACTCGCTCCTGATCTCTACCATCATCCTGATCGTCTTTGCCGCCCTGGGCGCAGGCTCCTACGGTGCCGGCGGCAGTATTCAAGGCCTGTTCGCCGCACTGGCTGCCTACCGCTTTCTTCTTGGTATTGGTATTGGAGGAGAGTACCCAGCCGGCTCGGTCGCGTGCGCAGAGAGCACCGGGGAACTCAAGAACGGCCACCGGAATCGATGGTTCATCTGCTTCACCAACCTGGCCATTGACGTCGGTTTCGTCGTCGCCGCCTTCGTGCCCATGATTTTGGCCTTGATCTTTACCGACCACCACCTCCGCGCTGCCTGGCGCATAGCGCTGGGCTTGGGCGTCATTCCTCCCTTGTCACTGCTATACCTCCGGATCAAGCTGCAAGAACCCGAAGAATACCACCGCAACAAGATGAACCACTACCCATACTGGCTGATCCTCAAGTTCTACTGGTGGCGTCTGATCGTCGTCTCCCTGATCTGGTTCATCTATGACTTCTCTGCCTACTCCTTCAGCATCTACTCTTCCTCGTGGCTAGCCTTCCTGCTCCCCGCCGACGCACCCCTCTGGAAATCCTTCGGCTGGAACACGGTCATCAATCTGTTCTACGTCCCCGGTGCTGTCATCGGCGCTTTCCTTTCTGACTGGATCGGCCCCAAGAACTGCCTCATCGTCGGCGTCCTCCTGCAAGGCATCGTCGGCTTCATCATGACCGCCATCTACAAGCATCTCGACCAGGCCTCGCAGGTCGGCGGCTTCGTCGTCATGTACGGCATCTTCCTGGCCCTTGGCGAAATCGGGCCCGGCGACAACATCGGCCTGGTCGCCTCAAAGACCTCGGCCACCTCGGTGCGCGGCATGTACTACGGCATCGCCGCTGCCTGCGGCAAGGTCGGCGCCTTCGTCGGCAACTACATTTTCCCCGACATCATCAAGGCCGCCGGTGACAACGTCATCAAGCAGGGCCAATACCCTTTCTACGTCTCCAGCGCCCTGTGCATCTTCTCGGGGCTGGTTGCCCTGTTTTTCCTCCCGCAAATCGGTCAGGACACCATCACCGAGGAAGACGAGCGCTTCAAGGCCTACCTGGTCCGCCACGGATACGACACCTCCACCCTCGGCACCAAAAAGTACCACGAGGAGAAGGTTCTGGCTATCGAGAGGGCCCGGGGGATGTGAGCTTGCCATGACCGGAGCAGTGTAGTAAATCTTTCTTAACAACTTATCGACTTATCAATCAACTTGCTTTGACAAAGACAGTGCGCGAGCTGGAAAGCCATGTATCCGCATGCGTCCGCGCGAGCCAGCGTCTTTTGACTACCTCTTACGATGGATGACGCCTAGGTGGTTGAGAAAGATACCCTGATAATACTAGGAACCAACAGAGAGCAGAAGCGTTATTCAATGGATTGATTAATACAGCATCTTGTGTCTCCTCCTGCCCCGCCCTGTTCTTCGCAGCCAACTCAAGTTTCGGTTTCCATTCCAGTGTCCCATTGAAGATAGGGAACGGGAAGTCCATTCCTTTTCTTGTTGGTTGGTCCACTTCGATCTATCCGCTACGAGGCGTAGTTTAGCACTAGGACATCCCATCGGGCATGTATTGGAAGTGGTTAGCTCCTTTGGTTGGATGCGCTTGCCTTGTTGTGTCTCGGTAGCGTCTTCACACAACTGCATTCATCCATCCATCCATCCATAAATCTATCCCATTCCATTCGACCTCGCGCCCGTTTCGGTACCTAGCCACCCGTGCTACAGTATCCTGAAAGGCCACTCCCTACCAAATATCCCGTTTTCTTCACCATGGACTAGTCCCGCGTCTGCTGCCGCGAGGGCACTCTTTGCTAGCTACTGACCTGTATGAGGTGGACAGGCTGTGTACGCATCTCATGTTCTGCTTCCTTCTAGAATAGCTCGGCCCAGTTCGGCTCTTGACTTCCTAGCATGCTTCTGGATGTGCTTCTGCACCTCATCTTTGAATGCGACCTCGTCCCAATAAAAATTCAACGTCACGACGGTATTGATGGGATCCGTGAACTCGGGCACGAGGAGGAGGCCGAAGATGGTATCCAAGATTTGCTTGTTGGTGGTGTCGACGGTCCAGTTCCGGTCGAAAATGGAGTGACTAGGGCACAAAAAAAAAAGGATGGGTTAGTTTCAACTCGAACGACTGCGAACTTAAGAGCCTAACCGGAATCAGGGAGGGACTTTACCAAATTCTTCCGTGTCTATTGACGTTGGGGTGAAAGATGGGAGTGATAAAGCGTCCACTTGGTGCCTTTCGCGGATAGTCCTCCCCCATGTCCAGATATAGGACAAATGCTCCACTAGCGTACGCTGAACCACTCGGGCCTTGCAGGACAATCTTCCAGAACCCCATATTGACCTCAGAGATGTACACGTCGTACGAAGGATGAGAGTGATTGGCAATGTCGCGGATTTCCCCCAAGAGTCTCCGGGACCGAATCGACGAGGTTGAAGCTTGCGCCTGCTCAGAAAATTTTGAACCCCTTGTTCTTTCGAAGCGACCGATTTGGATGAATGTGTCATTGAGATTCTCATGGGTCTTGCGAGCTGGAAATTCATCCCTGGTAACGGGGTCGGCCCTTGAAGAGTGAGTGGTGCGAGGAAAGCTGAAAAATGAGGCCGCCATAGGCCGATATATTCGTGGTCGTTCATGGATCGACAGCACCGGCTCCAGCTCGCACAACGCAGAGGCCTCTTCGACAGAATTGGGTACAAATTTGTATCCACCTGTAAGATAAGAGACCGTTCGCAAGGCAGAATTGTTCTCCTCTCCGATACAGACCGAGTCCACAACAATGTCTTGCTGTATCAATGTCCGGCAGACATCCTCAACCTTCTTGACTGAGCTCGTATCTTGGCCATCAGACAGGCATATGATTCTTTTCTTGACCCCAGGGTAGCGTCGACCAGATTCGATCAGATGATCCGCCGCCAGTGCAAGAGAATCCCATAGAGCAGTGTCGCCTTCTTCCTTCATACTATCTACAGCCTGTCGAAAATTCTCGATGACGTTTGTCACTCGCTGTGAGATGCTCACCGCTGTCCCGAAGGTGACCAGGCCGACATTTGTGGGGAAATTGTACGCAATTAGTCGGTTGATGAATTGCGAGAAGACCTGTTTAGTCACCGCCATTCTTGATAAGACCTTCTGCTTCTGCAGTTCACGTTGCTCGAGTTCCTCTGGACTCTCGTATTCGTATAGTCTGACCTTCAGAACTCGATGACGGTCATACTGGTAGAGCTCTCCCGCGATCGTGTCTGGGTCTGATTCTGAGTTCGATTCTGGGTCTGAGTCTGAGTCTGACTCCTTCACCGCGGCGCGTATGCGTGCGTAGATCTCTTCATGTTCTTGGATATTTGCGCGAGGAAGGTCCCACAAATGTTCGGACAAGGAAGCCCAAGAATCGTGTATTGTGCCAATGGCAACGGCATCGCCGCCATCTCTGAGGCCAGTCCATGGAGACTTATCATAATCACAATCAACAGCACAGTCTTGGATGTCATATCTCCAGTTGCGGAAAATAATCGAAGCGAAGGTAATTTCAGAGTTCAGCGGTACCCAGTAATTGAATGACTCCTCTGAAAAGTCATGGGCGCCGTATACTCGAATGAGACACATTTGCTCTTGACTCGTTGAGACTCCGGCAGTTTCACCATGTGGGGTATAGTTTGGACTGATGGTGATAGTCTGGCTGCCTACCACCCCCTTTTGAACCATATTCTCTTCAGAACAAGGTAGGTGGACACCTCCCATGTATAGCGAGAATCTGGCGTAAAGGCCACGCATTCCTCGGAAGGCGATCTTATGTAGGTCCAACAGCCGTGCCGATCCCGGAATCTGTCTGCTGAAGCGGACTGAGGGTCCAACGAAGTCAATGATAGTCCCTGACTGGCGTGTGGAGAGTCGGGTACGTTTAGGCGTCGAGGGCAAAGAACTGATGACGTCTTCTGCTTTGACCCAAGCCTTGATTTGATTCGCCATGACTTCGTTATGCCTCAAGGTCGTGTCTTCGATGGGAAGCCCGGTCAATGGTGAGCTTTTGCGGACCCGGTACCATCTCTCGATTGCGTTTCTGTCGAACATAAAGCCATCCGATGTATCCACTGGGTCTTCGAAGATGACTTGGCTAATTGGGCAGAGGTACTCCTGAGGGACGGCGCAAAAGTCACCTAGTTCTACCACCTCCTGGGCTGAGGAGGATGGGGTACCACAGGGCAAATCATCACCATAAGACCACGTGAATTCTTTTGGTTCAAATGATGGGTCCTCGGCAGTGAAAAGCAGAAAGTCTGACAAAGCTCTTTCATGGAGATTCAGTCCGGTAAGGGTCCTCCGTAAAGAATTCATTTGCCGCTCGGTAGATGAGGTACGAGAAAATGCGAGCGTAGCCCATCGGGACGTTCTCCATAGCTTGGTTGCTAAGTGAACAAGCTCTCGATTTATCAAGGTTCTCAGAAACTCGAGGATATCCCTCACGACGTCCTGGCGATTAAAAGGATAGTGGTGAACAATATGAAGGATGTCCTCATAAGATTCGTGGCCACGTAGCCAGGACTTGATCTCCTCTAACGGAACGTCTGTATCGTCTTCATCATTCAAGACAACGTCGTGATCAACATTGGAACAGCGGGGGTCGTCGTCGTCGCCCTCCTCCAGCTCCGGAAAACCGGATGACTCGTTCATGCTTTGACTGCAGTCCACGCAGAAGACAACCAGTTCAGTTGGAAGGGAATCTTTGTGGCGGAAGCTTGCGCTGAAAAGATCGAAGACATGTGTCCCATCCGTCTTGCGAGCCAGCAGGATTGGCTCTAGCATCTGAGCAACGATTGTTACATCAACATTCTCCTCAGCTCCAGTCAACGGGTGAAACACTGCGTGGTCGTGGCCTGGCGCTGCGCAGGCAGCCCTTCCTGTATAAACCGCCAAGTTGCCATACCGGTCGAGGGTCAGGCATGGAGCCTTCGCGTCTGACAACTGACGTGGTGCAACGACGACGAGCTTGGTCTCCTCGCACAAAGAAGCAAGGTATGCAATGTCGCAAGATAGACTCTTTACGTCAAGAGAGCGCGATCGCGCAGCTGTGCACTCACCAATTGCGGCTCCCAACGCATCTGCATCGTAGTATGGTGCCTCTAGAGCCACGCCGCCGTACAGCAGGGCTACGCGGATCCGTACAGAATCTTCCCGACTGCGGTCCGTGAGGTAGCTTGAAGGATTGTCTTTTAGGGGCCCGGAAATGGAGAATGCTTCGAAGACACCCTTGTTGACTAAGCCCACGTTCGTCAAAACTGGCTCGGTGACTACCTCTAGCGTTTTCACATCCCTCAAGTCAACGGTATGATACCCCGAAATGTAGGGTATTCTAGACCTTGATGCCTCTGCTGTGCCCGGACCTGCATCTTCCGGAGCTTGATGCCGTCGAACGTTATGGAGAATCAGTCCAAGGACCAGTCGGGCGCCTTCCAAGCTCCGCCTCGGATCGTTCGATATGAGGTTCTGAGGTATCAGTTCCTCTGCTACTCTAGCAATGCTCTGCACAAGAGCAGCACTTTCGTTTGACTTGAGGCTCTTCCCATCCATCAGAATGTGGGCTGCCCTCACCGCCGGCGGAAAGCGGGTGAGTATGTGGAGCGTACTGAGAACTTCATTTTGATGGCGGTCATCAAAATCTTCAGATCCGATGAGATGTGAAAATACTCGAAGTGATGCTAGAACAGCAGCCATACCACGGTCGGATTGGACCGATGGCAACCTCCAGTGGCAAGCAGCTGTGAATATAGCATCTTTCCCATTCCCTTTCTTCTCTTTCCCGTCGTATGTCCACTCGACGGCGTAAAGAGTAAGGATACCGTTGATGGCAATTTCAGCCAATCCAGCATCTTTAAGTGTCAGGTCAAGATTGTAGGTGTTGATAGGGCCTTCGATAGTATGAAGATCAAGTCTGGTACGGAAGGCACCTCGGTAGGACTGTGAGCTGACCCCATTTGGTTGATGCCTCGCGGTGGCGCAAACAGCCACGACGGGCAGTCGGTTAGAAGCGTCACCGTCTTCGAGACCGCCTTTGAAAACAACGGCTTTTGCATGGGTGAAATTTTCTCCGAATCGATCAGCAAGCCTCGCCATCAGTGCTGGGTGATTGTTGGATGCCACTTCCAGCTTCTCAATGTGGCCATTCCCAGAGACAACCCAGACATGACCAGAAGAGATTGGGTAACAGTGTTTTGCCGTGTAACAGGACGAGGGACATTCATACTCCGCTCCGCTGTTGAGACACTGAGAGTGGATAACATGGCCACAGGAGAGATCTGACCGGCGGAGAATGTATGAGTGGCACAGGCCTGCATCCCTTGTATCATTATGAGAGCTAACAGGTTTGTGGCATCGAGCGCATGGTATCATCCCGGAAATGCCCGATGAAATAAAGCAACAGCCTGTGCCGTTTTGGACCTCGCAAGGAATCTTTTCCCATTGACCTCTCTTCACTAGAAGCTCAGCTAGCTTGCAATTGCATTCAGCATCCATCGATTCCTCAGGCGGGACAGTCGGCAGATGGAGATATTGAGCAACATCATCTTTGATCTCTCTCAGAGTTGAAGAAGATGGGTAATAGCGGCCGTCTTTCAGGAGGGGGATATGGCGGACTTCGGGATTTCGTTGTGCTAGAGCTGGGGTGATAATTTGGATCTGGAGTGCACCGACAGTGGAGAGTCGATCTTCATCAAGCTGAGCGCCTGCTAGCGGGCCATCGAGAAAGATGACGAAAAGCACATCTGAGGTGGTGATCACATCCTGGACAATGTCGTCTGCCTCGATCAGGTAGCCATCATCTGAGCCTAGGCAGAGTTTCAAATGATCTTGTCGAACGTAGGAAGGCAAGGAGCGGTACTTGGAGGCACGTTGAATGACAGTAGCCGTGAGTTCCGAGAATGCACGACTGCCATCAAACGGTACGACAAGGTCAAGTCTATCGCCCTTTGGTGGGATCAAAGCGACCTTGTATGGTGCCATTCTGAGAGTCAACGTCCCATGAGTACCAGGTGCCTGAGATATCGGTTCGAGGTAGGCAAGATTGAGAATGAGTAAAAGAGATTGGGATGAGGAAGAAGACGGCTGATTGAGGCAAAGAAAAGCCGCAGTTGAGAACTTACACTGCTTGTAAGTATCATCGCCTGATAGTGAGGCAGCCTCAAGAGAGAGTAGTAGTGAAGAGCCCAAGACTGAGGCACATTTGAGGTGAATCTGTGAAGAGTGGTAGGGCGGGGGACAGCTGCTGTCTGGAAGGAAATGGAGCACGGGCTTCAGGACCGGGTTATCAGTAATTCCCCCGTTTTTGTTTCTTTGTAATTTCATCAGGCTCAAAGGAGGAAACTCGTAGATGTGCTACTCCTCTTGGGCGCAACCCCGCCTCACTGGCTGAACACGAAGTGGAAGTGCCGGGCCAGCTGCAACAAGGCGCAAGGCTGCCTTGCATCTGGGCTGCCTGCCAGGGGACGGGCACCAATGAGAAGCACTGGCAATGCATCATTCTGGCAGCTGGTTCCAGCACCCTTGGAATCCCACTGGACTACCTCGTACATCATTAGCCAGCAGCACGGCTCCCAGACGCAGATTGGCCTTTAAGCGAAGCTCGACACAGCTCCTCTGTCGAGATGGAAAGACGAGTGGGGCGCCCGCGACGAAAACCCGGCTCAGCCTTGTCAGCCCACGTTGAGCCAACATTGCTCTCATAAACTGCTGTGGACAATAGTTAATTACGCTGTAAGGGGAGGTAGATTTTACTCGTGGCTCTCAGAGACGTAATAGTGACAGAGAAAGTGAACAGGAAACCCCTGAGCCCGGTTCTGCACCTGTCCACAACTTCGGTATGAGCTCTCGCGCTCCTCCGTATAAATTACGGTGGCGCATTGGGCCACGACGAACACTAGGCTGGCTTTTGATGCGCGTTCTCTGACTTGTGGTAATATTTACACCAAAGCCACCACTCACGCCGCTTGCATTTGCAGCCTCTTTCTATTGCTCTTGTAGCTACTCCGACTCTATCCTGCCATCCTACGCAATGGGTTCAGATCCTCAGTTTGCCAAATATCCCGATCTCACCCTCGCCCAGCACATCTTCTCCCTTGCGAATGCGCCTCGGACCGCGCAGCCAGTGTCCTTGAACTACCTTCAAAATGCAATCAAAAACCAGAAGATGGCGCCGTTGTATCGGCATCTGGCTCATCCTACTGAAGGAGTGCTAAATTCGATGGGAGAGAGCACGGCTCAACCGCTACAGCCACCACCAAAGCCTGCTGCCCGGCGTGCGTCGCTAGTGTCCAGCAACCTATTACCGCCGAAGAGGCCCGTACCTTCCGGCATCCTGCCCTGGGACGAATCGCTATATGAAGAACTCAAAGCCGACAACGCAAAGGAGCTAGAGCAGTGCCAGAAAGAGGAAGAAGAAGCTGAAGAAAAGGCGGGAGAAACAGAGGTACAAGCAGCTCGAAGCAAGCGTGCAGAGTTCTGGGCTCGGGTTGGCGACAAGGTGAGCCGAGAGACTATATTGTGAAGTGACACCTTTCTAATCAGGCGCTAGGACAAAGCCATTGCTGCCTATGAAAAAGTCTTCGACAAGACTGGTCCGCTAGGCACGAAGATTGATATTGTCCTCGCTATCATTCGCATTGGGATCTTCTTCAACGATAAAGCGTTCACCAAGAAACAAATTGAACGTGCAAATATCCTGGTGGAAAGTGGCGGAGACTGGGATCGAAGAAATCGATTAAAAGCCTACAAGGGCCTGCACCTTCTCACTGTCCGATCCTACAACCTTGCCGCTCCTTTACTCCTCGACAGTCTCTCCACATTCACTAGCTACGAGCTGTGCAGCTATTCTTCCCTGGTCGTGTACGCCGTGCTTGCAGGATCCCTGTCCCTGAAGCGCGTTGATTTCAAGGCCAAAGTTGTTGATGCGCCCGAAATAAAAGCAATCTTGGGGAACAGCGAGGACAAAGTCCCAGGCGCAGATGAAGAGATGAAGGATGCGTCTGCTGCAACAGCAGAACGTGCTTCGGGCCTGGTCAATGTGAACGCACTAGGAACGAGCAGTGCAGCGCAGTCGCAGACCGAAGCCCCTGTGGATGTTTCCTCTCTGGGGGAGTTAGTCAACAGCCTCTACAACGGCAACTATCGCAATTTCTTCCTGGCATTGGCTGCTGTCGAAGAGAACTTCTTGACGCAAGATCGATACCTGTATGAGCACCGAGCCTGGTTTGTGCGAGAAATGCGGCTGCGAGGATATCAACAGCTCCTGCAATCTTACCGGGTGGTGGGCCTAGCAACCATGGCACAGGCATTTGGGGTCAGTGTGGATTTCTTGGACCGAGATCTGGCCAAATTCATTGCGGGTGGTCGGGTGAGTTGCACAATCGACCGCGTGCAGGGGACCATCGAGACAACCCGCCCGGATGACAAGAACAAGCAGTATGCAGACGTTGTGAAACAAGGGGATGCCCTGATCACCAAGCTGCAGAAGTATGGCCAGGCCGTGAGGCTGAGAGGTAGCGAGCGAGCTTGAGCAGCAGTCGCCACGTGCAGAGAGCATCACAAATCTGGGTGAGTGTGGGAAGCGCCAGGCGTTTTAGACCGGATTGCAGGAAGACATCACGGCATGGATTGTGTCATGTACCATACTATCATCATACTGCGATGGCCATGAGGATCTTTCAAAAGGAAAAAGGAATGTAGCGGAGGGCACGGAGGGCACGGAGCATGCCGGCTGCGACAAGTACTTTATACGAGGAGGCTTGATCGGACAGTTCAGTCGGCTTCTCTTTCTCTCTCTTTCCTCCAATTAATTCATGTCGGCTCTTGAAGCCCCCTGTTGGACGCCGAGAAAGGCCTGCAGCAACCCTTGGAGCTGTGGCGTCCCCCACACTCAGCGATAAGATAGACGGGATGAAGCCTTTCCCCATGTTGCCCATGTGCCCATGTGCCCATGACGAGACGAGATTGACGCAAGCCAGATCCTCGATAGCAGCTCGCCGGGCGATCGTGTGCGCGCGCCCCTTGTTTTCCTCCGACGACCTGCCCCATCTCGAATCATATCTCATTGCCTCACAGCTGTTTCAAAGCCTTCTGCAGAATTTTGATATCTGAGTTTGGAAGCTCCCGATATCGCTTTACCTGCTCCAAATCCGACGGTCAAATCACTGACTCCCCCAAGAAGCAGCCCCCCACCCCTGATCTCGAGGATCTGCCGTATCTATGTACCAGAAAAATGCCCTCGCCCACGATCACCACGTCAAGAGCGTCCTCCGCGTTGCTGCGAGCTCAACGTTTATCCAGGGAACTCGCCATCAGCTGCAGGGCGCTGTCTACCGCCAATGCAACACCGCTTTCACTGCCAGCACAGCAGCCGAGCCCATCACAAGGTGAGACGAGCGAAGTCGCAGCTGCCCTGGTCGATTTGTTTTTTTTTGCACACCACCTGTGACTCGACTTGCTCGACCAAGTTAGTTGCTTCTGTGCACCCGACCATTTTTCGCCTCTCCCGTCCCCAAGTATCTGGTGACCAACATAAAACTGACATTTACAATCCACAGGCCCTTGTCCTCCCTTCAGATCTACACCTCGATCCTACCGTCGCAGCATGTCGTCAACGCCCTCCCGCCGCAGTTTAACCATCCATAACATCAACCCCCATGTGAGGGCGGCAAAGTATGCCGTCCGAGGTGAACTTGCAATCAAGTCGGAAGAATACCGCTCAAAGTTGAAGCGAGGCGATCCTCCTACACCTCCAGAGAACCCTCTTCCCTTTGACACTGTCATCTCGGCCAACATTGGCAACCCGCAGCAACTCGACCAGAAACCTATCACATTTTTCCGGCAAGTCCTTGCTCTGCTGGAGCATCCAGCATTGCTGAACAATGAGGAAGTTCTGAAGTCGACTTTTGGCTACAAACAAGATGCCATAGATCGTGCTCGATGGCTGCTGAAGGAAATCCAGTCGGTGGGAGCATATTCGCAGTCTGCGGGCGCTCCTGGCATTCGCCAGTCCGTGGCCAACTTTATTGCGCGCAGAGATGGCTTCCCCTCGAACAAGGACGATATCTACCTGTCCGCTGGTGCCTCGTCAGGAGTCAACACTCTCCTCCACATCATCTGCAGCAAACCTGAGACGGGCGTGCTCGTCCCTATCCCACAATATCCCCTCTATACCGCGACTTTGACTATTCTCAATGCTCGTTGTGTGCCTTACTATCTGGACGAGTCTCAGGCTTGGAGCACGGAGCTTTCCATAATCAAGCACGCATATGACGAGGCAATCAGGCTAGGCACTGATGTGCGTGCCATCGTTGTCATCAACCCTGGAAACCCAACGGGTGCCTCGTTGTCTGAAAAAGATGTCGAGGACACGATCAAGTTTGCTGCAGAGAAGAATCTTGTCATCATGGCCGATGAGGTCTACCAAACCAACGTCTTCGTCGGTCAATTCCATTCCTTCAAGGGTGCCTTGCGGAGGATGCAGCAAAGGGAACCAGGCCGGTACGACGCCGTCGAACTTGCATCCCTGAACTCGGTTTCCAAAGGTATGGTGGGCGAATGTGGGCACCGTGCTGGTTACTTTGAGCTTGTGGGCTTTGACCAACAGGTACAGGCCGAGATCTACAAGTTCATCAGTATCATGCTGTGCCCTCCCGTCATTGGTCAATGCTTACTGGATCTCGTGGTCGACCCTCCGAAGCCTGGTGACCCCAGCTTCGAGCTTTACGATGAGGAATACAACAGTGTCCGGAACGGGCTGAAAGAGCGCGCCTGGGCACTCTACCAAGCGTTCAAGGAAATGGAGGGTGTCGAAGTGGGAGAGCCACAGGTATGTTGACCCTCTTGCCACCTAAACATTGTTCTCTGCCTTTGCGCTTACATTGGCCATGACAGGGCTCCATGTATCTTTTCCCCACCATTGCCGTTTCGGACAAAGCGGTTCAGGCTGCAAAAGAGGCAGATCGTACCCCAGACGAATTCTATTGCCTCTGTCTCCTCGACGCCACGGGCATCTGTGTTGTCCCAGGTTCCGGTTTCGGGCAGAAACCTGGCACACTACATCTTCGAACAACCTTCCTCGCTCCTGGAACGGATTGGGTTGGCCGATGGACCAAATTCCACAAAGAATTCATGGACAAATACAGATAGCCACAAACCCCTCGAAAGGGGGGGAGTAACTTTGCATTCCCGGCGTGGGTGCCGACTTATGGAATCCCCCGCCTTATCATTATACCTTGTCCTGGAACTGTATGATATCAGTCTGCTCCTGTTCAATATTCACAGTACTCGCAAGTACACTGCGCTCTCACCTCTTCATCCAAAAACTCATTGACAAGGCTCGCACAATGACCATGATATTCGAACATAAATCCATGGCCAGACTCCGGGTACATATGAATATGTACGTTGGGATTGGTCTGGCTGATCTTCTGCCACAGCAGAATACTGTTTTGTTCCGGCACAAGCTTGTCTCTTTGACCGCACAAGATCAAGACAGGACACCTGCCCAATCGGTCATAAGAGCCTTCAGCGCGATGGTTGAGACCGTACCACCTCGTCATCGCAGTGATCTGCCCATCGATATTACTTGTCGACATGAACGGCCACATCGAAGAGCGGCTCGTAATGCGGTTCCACCATTTCTCCCCAGTTTTCTGTCTCTCTTCACTAAGTCCAAAGAAGCCGGCGAGGAAGCCGGCCTTGATCTCGCCGTCGGTCGTCGCATTCGTCAGATTCTGGAAGTAATGCATGTCACCGCTTTCTACACCTGGCCCCTGACTCGGCGCAGTGCCCGCAAGGATGAGTTTTCTGACCATGCCCGGGGGCGCGTCAAGGGCTAACATCTGCCCAATGAAGCCGCCCATGCTGAAGCCCAACACATCGATCCGCTTGAAACCTAGGGCGTTGATCAATGCAATGATCTCCCTGGCCCAGAACGTGAAAGACGGAGGCGTCGAAGGCGTTGGCGATGGCGCATGCTTGCGTCGAGGGTCGGCTCTTGCGGTTCTTTTGCTCCCCTGGAGGGTCTGGGGATCAGCACTGCCGTGGTTGTCTAACAAGAGAAGTCTCCGCTGAGATGCAAGGGCATCGATCAAGGCGGGATCCCAGAAATCAAGACGACTGCGGAAGTGCGTTGGCAAAAATAAAGGGACATCGTCTTCTTGCTTACGAGTGCCGAAAAGCCTGTATGCAAAAGTGCTGTTGTTGACTCGGAGGATTTGGACCGGGGCCTTTGCGTAGTCTAAATTTTCCAGTTCGGCCATGGCTTCGACCTCTTTCTAGTGTCGTTGGTTTTGTTACGCAAGAAAGATGTTCTTTGCGTGGTGTTTGGGTTGATAAACCCTCGTCTAGGCCTTTTAATATCGACAGCCATCTACGCCAGCTGAAGACAGGCAGCGCTTCGACGCTCAACGCTTACTTCAGCTTCGGCGTGTAGCTGCAAGGAACAAGACTTGAGCTGAGCTCTGGACCATTCGTGACTGTTGTCCAGCGCCATTTTGTGCCTCGACCATTGTGCTGCACATTGATTATTCACACGCATCACGACCAGTTAGTGGGACGAAGAGCCAAAGAGCCAAAGACCCAGAACACTCCCAAGCAAGTTGGCGAAGTCTCCCCTGGGCCTAACCTTATCCAGGCAGTTGGTTACTCGGTGCTTGTAGGGAGCAGCAGCCTCTTGCAAAGCACGCCAAAGCGTCGACCTGGCCGTAAAGGACATTTCTCTTTCCTGCGCCGGACGAGGTTGTCGAGTGATGTGAATCCTCGAAGTTACGTCGAGGAAAAAAGGCTACGAGGAAGCCTGAGATTGATTTTACGCAAAAAGAGCTTTTGGGCTGTGTTTCAGCCAATGCTATCATTTAGTATTTAACGTGTCTCCAAAAACCATCTTGTGTCGCTGCATGCTTGGAGTTTCCGAGGGCTCTAGAGCCACGTTAAAACGAGCGTTTTCCTCCCCCCCCCAACACATCTCCTGCATGAACGCTTCCCAGTCGTGGACGAAGCAACAAGACTCGAACGACAATCATCCCTGGAAGAACTCGAGCAAGTCCTTGTTGATGTCGTCCGGGACGAGGTTGGGCAAAGCATGAGCACCGCCGGGATAGACCTTCAATGTTCCGTGCTTGAGCAGCTTGATCGATTCATGGGCGCTTGCCGCGATGGGGACGATTTGGTCGTCATCACTTGGGATTTAGTGTTAGCACACGAAGACGTGAAAGGGAGGTAGTCTCGAGAAGAACAATTAGTTCACTTACCCATGGATGACCAGGACCGGAATGTCAATCTTCTTCAGATCCTCCCTCATATCGGTCTCCGAGAAGACGCGAGTGCACTCGTAGGCATTCTTGAATCCACACATCATGCCCTGCTGCCACCAGCTCCAGATTTGACCCTGGCTCACATGGGCACCTTCACGGTTGTATCCAAAGAACGGTCCGGTGGGCACGTCGAGGAAGAATTGCGCGCGATTTTTTTCCATCGCTGCCCTAAAGCCGTCAAAGACACTCATTGGCAAGCCCCGCGGGTTGGTGTCGGTCTTGAGCATCAGGGGTGGAATCGCGGCCACGAGGACAGCCTTGCGGACTCTGCTGCTGCCGTGGCGGCCGAGGAAGCGAGTCACTTCTCCACCGCCTGTAGAATGGCCGACCACTGTGCGAATTTTACCCCCTCGGTCGCTTGCCCAAAAATTTGCCGAGATGGGGGGAAGGGGGTTGGGACCAGAAATTATGCAGAACACTCACTCATGACATCCTTGAGGTCCAAATGCTCCAAGAGGGCAAGCAAGTCGTCGGCGTAGGTATCCATGTCATTCCCAACCCACGGCTGACTGGACCGTCCGTGGCCGCGACGGTCGTGCGCAACCACGCGGAAGCCCTTGTTGGCCAAAAAGAACATTTGCGCTTCCCAGTTGTCGGCGTTCAAGGGCCATCCGTGGGAGAAAACAACCGTTGGGCCGTCTTTGTTGCCCCAGTCCTTGTAGTAGATCTCGGTGCCATCCTTCACGATGATGGAAGGCATCTCGCGGGGGCCGATGAAGTTCTGGCGATGGAGCTCGTAGGTGGTTTCGAGGCTTGGTGGGCGATGTCAATGGTTTCGTCGTCACTGGCTCTGGTCGAATGCGCTATGGACAAGAGGCTGATACAGGCGGAGGTGAGCTTTCATCCCTCTTATACCTTTTCATCCTCTCACATCTTCGGATCTGGCGCGGCCTCTCGATCGAAGCTGAATTGTCAACCAACGATTAGCCATCATCGGCTGCCCGGTCTTGCGCTTGTTCTTGACAAATTTCCTATATTTGCTGTGGATTGCCATTCTTTTCCTGTATCTTGGTCGAAAGGGACACGGAGAAGGATCGGTCTTCTCTTCTGTGGCTGCAGACAGCAAGAGCCATGGACGACGATGAGCTTGGTGTAGAGAGCATAAGCAGGAAACTTAGCTGGGGATGGGGGACACATGGAATTGCGTGCCGCCCAACCCCGAGGATCTAGCGAAGCTCTCCACCTCGACCTCTTCCACCTAAAGCAACACGACTGAGTGAAAGTGTGGGGGAGCAAGGAGACAACTCGCCAACCGAGCATGACTGGCATGTCTTCGCTCTGAACTCGGGCATCGGGTAAGAGCAGCTTTCAATTCCAAATTGGGGTTTCGGCGCCGTATAGGTCTATACGTGTGTCTTGAATTTGTGTTTTCAACGGCCGAGAGAAAGTACGTTTCCATCTCCCTTGGACCTGTATCCCATGGCGAAAATTCGGATTGCCCCGGTCTCATTATCTTCGCTTCTGGTCCTGTCGATAACTCTACGCCGCACAAGTATCTGCTTGCATTTCTCGAAGGGCAGAGGAGAGCCCCGACCTCCATCTAGTCGCCTAGGGGTTGTCTAGGCGGACAGTCCCACCAAGGCAAGCCCGGCGTATATTCGGGCACTGAGCAGCCAACTACTGGGTACGATAAAGATCATATTTGCGATATTACATACCACCACACTCCAATGTGCGCCGTGCCGACGGTTCTCGACGCTGGCGCTTTGTCCAGCTGGAAAAATAACGACACTCCCGACTAGTTGTATGGAGGCGATTTCTCGGCTGTTCAATAGCTGCGAGGCCGCTTCATGGACGAAATGCCCTGCCGGCGAACCATTTCACTCCTTGCACAATGGATATGTTCTACGCAGACGAAGATGTGGGAATCCCGTTGACAGTCTCAAGAAGCCTGGCATCAATTTCGACAGGGCCAGAGCAGGATGCCGGGAGTGGCAACAAGTGCCCCATGCTCCTCCCAAGGCTCGATCCAACCTACGCTGAGAGACACCTAGTGTTCTCAAATGTTCAAATTGTTGCCCAAACACACCATCATGGCGACATCCATTTCAACCGGCCAACTTATAACCTCCTTCTGAACCGACCTCCGCAGCCTGCATCCCCCGAGGTTCTAACACGGCAGCAATCTTGAAGGCCGCCGCAATCTCCAGTCCCAACGCCACCCAGACAAATGCCATGCCAATCCAGGTGACTGCATAGAATCCGCTGTTCATCCAAGCATGGATGGCTCTCCCACCACCGATCTGGACCCTGCCAGTCATCTTCCCTGCCGACGCAGTGACTTTCGCAGATGAGATTGTCAGTAATATCGTTGACGCGATGCACGCAAAGAACCCGATGCGCAAGACTACAAGCGGCATCTCTTTCTTGTGAAGTTGTCTTCGCCTGGTTTTGGTCCGTAATGCGACAATGCCGTAAAGGAAGCTGAGGACGGTGAGGCCCATGCTAGCGATGCCCAGCACGAGGAGCACAAATGGAGCTTTGGTATCCAGCGTACGGTGGTGATATGCGAGCAGGAGCTGCTGTCCCGCATCGCCGCCGCCGATGATCTGGGCCAGGGAGAAGGTGTACCCGGCGCTCTGGGATGTGCAGCTGATTGTGCTGTGGTTCTTGCCCGCGCTGGCGACGTGACCATTCCACATCCCCGAGCAGATTGAGAGGTAGTGCACCTCGTACCACTCTTTGATAGCTAGGGCACTGGTCGACGTGGTGCTAGTCAAAGAGCTGGTGTCGACCTGTAAGGATTCTTGCAGTCAGCTAGTTGCACCACAACGCATTTCAGGCCTCTGGCACTCCCCCGTGTAACATTCCAGGCAAGAGTGTTCTCGTTGGCGCATCCTTCTGCAGAATGAGCCTCGGAAGCAAATCCGTCTCATTGACCCTCACAAGCCCGCTCGACGTCTAAAGCCGCTTCTGAAGGGCTTCTGCACCTGCGCGGTTCAACCACCTCCCGCTCGCAGCCCGAGGGCGTCCCGGGGTGAGGTTGCGAAACCTACCGTGAACATCGCCAATCTTTCGAGCGAACCGCGCGAGATACCCGCGCATAAAGCGATAATGAACAAGATCAAAGCGACGAGGGTCACGATCTCGCAACCGACGAGGAGTCCGAGGTGAGAGGTCCAGAACTGCGCCATCTTGTTGCGCCCATGGAGTACCTACCTAGCAGCGATGATGCAGTCTCGTCAGTTGTGGGGTGGAGAGACTTTGTCGTGTGGTCTCTATCTTCATATTTTCCTGGTTTGTAAAGGGGAGCGAGGGGGCTTCTGTTTGTTCATTTGCTGCTATATGCTATATATTTAGAGACTCTGAGGCATTTTTCTCCTCTGCAGATCCCCCAAGCGAGGCACCAAGCGAGCGAACTCCTCGTATTCGTGTTCTACCCGGTGTCATATTAGACGATCAATGAATGGCCCGCAAACCCCCTTTCATACTTTTCACTCGGCCCGTCGTTACCCTCACCTGCAATCGTACAATTAGCGTCCAAAATGATGCCCAATGATCGCTTCATGCCTGGGGACATCGAACGTCGATTTGGTGGGCAAGGCTGTCGATTCGAGGGTTCTTGATGATAGATCATTCTTCCGGCTCGTCTACTTGTCTAAATTATCTATCTATCTGGTCATCAACCCAGCCAACAGACAAGGCTAGGTTCAAAGGGAGCGAGGTTTCATGGGCTTCTTTTCCCACAACATCTCGACACTCCTCGCCCATCCACACCCCGTTTATCACGACATTTCTAGCGGCTGCCGCTGGTGCCGCTGGTGCTGCTGCTTCTTCTTCTTCTTCTTCTTCTTCTTCTTCTTCTTGTGCTTTCTCCTTCTCCTCGACCCCCCCTTAGACAACCATTCTGAATTTCAACTTATCTTCGCGTACAATGTCGTCCTTCATGGCTTCCAGCTCGTCCACATCCCAAGTCACACTGAGGTACCGCCCGCTCAACCACTCCCTTCTCTCGCGGGTCAACCAGGTCAACCAGCCGCCGCACAGACCAATGTCCTCGGTCAAGCGCGTGTCCCAGGCATCGCCCTTCTTCGTCGAATGGTTCGCCGTCTGCGGTGTCAGGACAGCGCCAGGGTGCACCGCGAAGGCCAGCAGTCCTTCGCCCTTGTGGTCCTCAGCCATGTGCTCGACCATGCGGTTGTTGCCGAGTTTTGCCACGTTGTACGCCGTCGGCGTGAAACTGCTCTCGGTCAACTGGCTCGCAAGACTCGTGATGACGATGTAACTCCTCACTTTGCTGGGGTTCTCCGGGTCGATGAGCAGCGGCGTAAAGTACTTGGCGACATAGTAGCTGCCCAGCAGATTGATGTCGATGACGCGCTTGAAGTCGTCGTCTTCGACGATGCCCTTGGGGAGGCGCCAGTTCGTCTTCTCCCCCGTGCTCGAGTCCGTGTCGTACAGGTACTTCGAGATGATACCGGCGTTTGCAATGACCACGTCCAATCGCCCGTTCCACTTCTCTCGGACCTTTTCTGCGAGCGTCTCGACAGACTCCGGCTTCGTCGTGTCACAGACCTCCGACAGGATCTCCAACTTCGGGTTCACCTCCCTCAGCTGCTTCTCCAGCGCGTCAAGATCGCTCGGCGTTCGACTCGAGATGCAGATACCAGTCGCTCCGGCACGCGCGTAAGCGAGTGAGATCTTTCAAGGACGTTAGAACCTTGGACCGGTCAAGCCGGAACTTTCGAAAGGACCGCGGCATGGAAGGAACAAATACTAAGGCAGGAGACAAGTGGCCTTCCCCGGACCACATGTACAGTACGGCTCATACACCAGGACAGGTTTCGAGGCTGAGGACGACTTACGTAGACACCTAGACCCTTACCCGCGCCTGTGACGACCACGACGCAGGGCGTTGAGCGATTGTTTTCTGGAAGCGTCGGCCCCTCGGCCTCGTTATGGAGTGTCGGCGTGAATCGGTGGCCATAGTGATCGGGAAACGCGAAGGCCATCGTAATATCTCTCTCTCTCTCTATTTTTTTTTGGGAAAAATCGTCTCCAGAACCGGTGCAGGTAATCAAAGTAATAGTTGAGCTGAGAGAATCCCCCCCCGACGACGGCTCGAGTTAGATTTCGTTTGTCAGGGACCAATTTCGAGGAGAGCCGCCGGCTCCTGTAAACTGCAGCTCGACTTGCACCTTTGGATTCTTCGATTATTGAACGACTGTCTTATTCGTCGGAACCGAGTACACGAGTATGAGAAGCGGAGGCCTGTTCTGTGCGTATGTGTGTGTTGGCCTGCTGGCTCCTTCGTTGGACGAAGCTGGCCGACTTTCTCGGATCTCTCAAAAGCGAGACGACAGTCTATCTGGCAACGACGGCGCTCAAGTCTTGTCTCAGGATCTATTGCTCCGTTGGCAAAGGTCAAGCGCGATCTAGGACGGCATTCGATATGGAAGCCTCTTTTGCATCATCTTCCCCGCACACGGGAAGCGAGAGACAGCCATCCTCGGCTGTTGCTCTCAAAGGTCGGCATAGAACCAGCCCCACAGGGACTGCTTGAATCCGGCATTACTCGGTACTGTACGAGGCAATTGTTGGGTGGTGGCGCCCAGTGGGTGTCCTTGCGTCATCCCCTATACAATCTCAGCCTTACTTACCTAATACCAATACTCGCCAGTGCCAGCAGTGGTGCCAGGGCCTAGGTAAATGCCGTGATACATCAAGACAGGTCCCTTTCTATTCATCGAATCGTTTTCGACGAACTCGCAGTGGATCGCTATGCTCTCTGGAATAGCCCATGGCGCATATTTTCACAGGAAGGCCATCTCGCGTACGAGGCCTGATTTCACCCAGCCTCTGGCAAAGTTCCGACCTGTCCACAGGAGCACGGCGATCCACCAGACCCTTCCCACAATGGGGTCGTACCACTTTTGAACGGGCGATCCTTTCTTTTTCCTTGCTTTGCCCACAACCATGATAACTATCCCCTCTAGCACGACTGCGATACCATTCAAGGCGAAGAACTTAGCTTCTCCAGTCGCCATTCTCCAGTCGCCAGCAAGGACACCGCGAACAGAGAAGGTGTGGATAAATGCAGAAACCAAGAAGGCACCAATGACCTTTCCAACGTCGGCCGGTTGATCCGGGCCTTTCCCAAGGAGTTTGCGTTCCAACCATTCCCCCGGCCATACTCCATAGACCAGAAATAACCTTGCAAACAGCCTGTGCCAACCAAAACTCCAGAATTTCCGTACGCTTGTGATCTGCCATGGCCTTGTCGTGTAGAGTGGAGGAAAGAAGGCAAGAGGATTTGGTGCGAGTGGACTGAGCATGATCGCGAAGAGAGAATGTCCGAAAGAGAACGCAGCCATAAGGAATGCGCCTAGTGCAACCGTCAAAAGTAGTTGCAGAGCCATAGGTAAACGGTGGTCGAACAGGTCATATGCAGAATACATGTCCCAAGGTGCGTCCCGTGCTGGCATAAGATAGCGTACATAGACGGTTCTGATAACGGCCCAGCTGACGAGGAGAACTGGTGTGACATGGACGACTATGCTGTGAACGCGGTTGTGGACGGTGGGAAGCCAGGTTTTGCGCGTGTGCCGCACATCTGCAGTAGTCCAGGTGAAGCCAATGCCACGCATGGAGAGTTCAAGCTCAAGAGCCCATGCCGCACGATCCAGAATCGTTGTTGGCCAACCACTTTCTGTTATCGCTGTCTCCAAGACTGGCACCGGATCTGGACCTGAGATGGATCTTCGGAGAGCTGATCGCACAGCAGAATCAGAACGGATAGCAAGGGTTCGCGCTGACTGTTTGAATCCTGAAACATGGCCGTTGCCTGAATCTTTGGAGGTATGTTCCTGTGAGTCGCCGGTATGGTGGAAAGGATCAATGACTCCGCCATTTGTCCATTCCTTGTCTGTCGCTTCCGCCATTGGTTCCGAAGAGTCCTCCCTTGGAATGTGACGATACTTGACCCTCCGGGGAATGTGTTCAAACAAGTACGGGCTTATGAAGAATGCATCAAGAACCCTGCATCCACCGTAGAGACCTACAAGGCCCAGTTGGTATGTCAAGCCAATGCTCTGCGGGACATGATATACCAGAGGTAGGCGAAAGAACAGTACTCCGGCGACCAGGGCGAGGCAGTTCCGGAGAATCTTCACGGGAAGGCTATCGACTGCCGGCGGCGGTGGGGGGGCGAGGAGGAGGAGCGCAAGGTAGTAGATGAGAGGTGGGAGGATGGCGCCTGTGAAGGTGAGCGGTTTCGTATTGGGGATTGGATGGAGACCAGGTCGAGGGTTCGGGTCTGAGAGCGACTCCTGCAGCGAGGTGAGCCATTGCAGCGGCTTGAAAGCCATCGTTCACGGTAATGGAGGTTTTTGTGGGTTGCTGTAGGTTGTAAAGCAGCAAATTAGTTCAACTTTGGTCGAAGTTGGAGTCACCTTTGAGCCTGTGATTCGAGAAAACCATGTCTCGGTTCATCATCGCTGGCTCCTTCTGAGGCTTCCCTCGCATTCAGGCTTCAAGATACTACTATTGAGGTGGTCGATCTGAAGCAACAGTGACATCAGCACCATCAGTTCGTGCCAAGTTCGTGGGAACTCGCAAAACGTCGCAAACAGTGGGCGCAGGGGCGATCGCTCTGACGCGCCGCTCTAACTCGAATTCGTTTCTCACTCCCGGTTGGCCCGGTTCCCCTGAATGTTTTAAGGCGGCGACATCGACAACGCTGATTGCATCCGACGCACCGAGTATTGACAATGACGAGTGAGTTGGCCTTGCTAGTGCTTTGAGATTGACTTCTCCTTTCGTCGGTTCTTCTCGAGATAAAGATGTAAGGTATATTTGGTTCTTGTCGCTGTTAGTGTGACAGCTCACCCTCCAAAGAGACCAGCAAGAACGTTACCAAATTGGGATTGCATAAAAGCCAGGCCAGAGAATTCTGATTGAAGGTGTGTCAAACATGCGACAATTACTAGTACTAGTACTAGTCCATCGCGACCAGATGTGGATTAGCCTGTACTTGGGCTTCAGCCTCATCGGAATAGGCACTCGACCAGCGAGCAGGGTTAATCCACGGTTCGATTCCTGCAGGGAATTGGGCTGCTCACTCCTCAGCCCAAAACTTTCATTGGCAACAGGCCACATCAAAGCAAGACATGAAGGAATTGGGACTGGCTTTTTAAAAGGACCGAGTAGTTTTATCTGCTCTGTTGCACCTGGTGCTATTTTGCGTTGAGCATTATTGACATATGTGGTTATCCTGAGGCGACACCATTGGTATGGAGTATTCATGTTTGTCTTCCTAGACGCCAGCGGTGCACGCACGGGGATCTCCTGGGGCATAAAGTACTACTACGTAGCTAGTAGTAGTAGTAGTAGTAGTAGTAGTAGTAGTAGTAGTAGTAGTAGTAGTAGTAGTAGTAGTAGTAGTAGTAGTAGTAGTAGTAGTAGTACGGAGTACCTGGCGAAATGTAGCTACGAATGGCGCCCAGGGCACCCTCCATCCTGCGGGGACCCCGTCTCTTCCCCGAGTGTGCAGCATGATTAGTGCAAAGTCTCCTGAGACCGTATACTTCAAAACTTACACTTGATTTGATTTCCGTGGATGACCACCTGAATACAATCGGTGCATGGTAATATCGGAGGGCTTCTCCAGCTCATGGCTGGCTGAATATGGGTTATTTCACCCTCGCCGGTCCTGGGCAGGCCAGTGCAGCCGCCGATATGGAGACCCTCCGCCCAAGTGAGTCTCGGAACCTGAAGAAAAGATTTGACGGAAGCAAGCCTCATCTGATACGGATCGTCAACCCAACTTCAGCCACATCGTGTGATCTTGGTCCCTGATCCTGCGATGCTCAAGCAGCAGATATACCAGTGATCCTTCCATATATATATATATACTATATATCATCGCCGCCTCGGAGAAAAATCGCGCATGGAGAAATCTCGACAGCACAGAGATACCGCGGTTGTCCAATTTATGCGGCGTGAGTAGATACTATCTTCCACGCGGGGTTGACCATTCCAGCACTTCCGCAGAGACCAATTCTGGGTTCTGGTCGATCAGAGTCGGCTTACAAACCCTCTGAGCGTTTGGGACTTGAAATGGAGAGAGTGCCTCACGTTCATGCGCTACCGTCTTATTCATCAGAGGCGACCCTCAAAAATCCCCCCTGCGACCTGGGCAAAGCTTTTGATGGCGTTAAGGATAACAGATGTGAGCAGCCTCAAGATCAATCTAGTTGATTACGAGACAGTGGCGTCAAATTTGGACACCCCACTTCAATGAATCAGGTCGGTTCGCATTCATGCTTGGATTCCACTCAGTCACCATTGACGCTGGATCGAGGGAGTTTTCAGCATATGGCTCGGTAGCATCAATAACCACGGAAGAAGTCCCTGCTTTGGGCACAGTCCTGCGGTTTGAGGGGGACATCGTAACACCACGCCGACTAATAGGCAGGTGTTGCCCATTTTGGATTAATCGTGCAGGCCACGTGCTACTAGGTCAGACGAGTGGGAACGTATGCCATTCACGGACTTTTCTGGGGATTGGCAAATATCAGCAATTGCCTGACAAATGGGACATCTAGCAGTGAGTTTGATGCACTGGAAGAAGAGATGATAAAACATGAGAGAAAGGGGTTTTCCGGAGGACCATCACTACGAGAGTCACATCTTCTCAGGAACGTAGGCTACTATCACAGCTTCTTTTGTCGAGGAGCGACGAGCAGCAACCACATACATCCAAAGTGGTAGGTGGTCGCTCTCCATCCATTGCAACCTGTTCCGTCACGTCTCTCGAAATTGCTGACGATTTGGCTTGGAAATACTAGTTTGGGAAGTACACCAAGTTCGCACTTGCCACGAGCCATCAGGATGGTGACGTGAAGCTGTATAGTACTACTATGCTAACGTTGGAGGACTCACCTTTTAAACTCAAAGTCACTGAGGCAAGTATGCCAGTTCAAACCGTGACCGACACATGTCAGCTGGGATCCAGTGCGAGATAATCCCGAGTGACACGAAGTGGACCGTGAAAGCAGCACTCATCGAAAGTGACGAATGCAGCGATCCAGGAACTCAGTGAGGACGACGCCCCAGAAATTCAACAACAGGAACCGCTCAAAGTTGAGGGCGGGCAGTTAGTGAGGAATTTATTTTGAGATGAACCAAGTTGCCCTGGCGGGCCTCGAAGATCGCAGAAAGAAAGCCAAGTGCAGGAGGTTGGCCGACCTGTTAGAGCTCCGGGCGATCTTCGTCATATAGAAGCATGCTTTTTCATGCACCTCGATTCATCCGGTGTTTATTTGACGGAGGAAGAAGACATCGAGATGCCTATGGCTTGACGGCATGGGGCACTACTGCAAGGTTTCTACAGGAACTCGACTGAAGACTGCGAAATAGTACGGTACCGAGAGGGATGACGTTGAAGGTCAAAATGAAAACGCAATCCTTCTCGCTCATCGTGGAATAGTTGCCAGTCTCGATTGAGGGCAGGGCCCATGGAAGCTAGTGGAGCTTACTGGCCGAATCCAACACCCGTCTATAGCAATTTGTGAATCGGTGATGTTGCCGCGGACGACAAACCATCTCCACAACAACAGGAGGACATCTTGGAGCTGAAAAATTAGACACAAAAGGCACAGACGGACGGACGGCTATTGCGTACACCGTCCATCGGGCCTCGAAAAGAAGCTCACCCCAGATAAAGCCAATCCATCTAACTCATTAAAAACCCTGATCACAAACCGCCTCAGGTACGCAAAGCGGGTCGATCTGCCATGTTTCAAATCAATACTAGTGCTAATTACTACTACTATGGAGTGTCTCCGAGTAACAACAGGTCGCATGCACGCATCATCCCTGCAAGGATCAAGCGAAGTCGATAGTGATGTCGTCCAGAGCGATTGAGTCCGAGTTGTCATCCATAAAGACATCGATCAGGACGGGAGAAAGCCCGTCACCGCCGGTCCACGTGAACGTGTACGTGAGTTGCTGCCAGTCCGAGGGTCCCGTGTTGGAGAGGGTGAAATCCGTGCTGAAGCCAATGTTGGTGACAATCTGGACTCGCACGCTCCCAGAGCCGACGCACGAGCCCGCACCGTTGCAGTCGCCAATGGCCCAGAGCGAGATTGTGTAATCCGCTCCGTTGCAGAATTCGGGGGATTGCGCGATTCGGGCCTCTACCGGCGAAGTACCCGTGTTGGTCAATTGCCTGGAAAACAAGGGGAGAAAAAAATTGTTGTCAGCCGCATGCGTAATCAAGACGGAACGAATGGATAGCGTTGAAGCGAAAAAGGAGAAAAGGCAACGAGAGTAATTACGTACAAGTAGTTATTGCCGGAATGCGGGACAAATATACCAGTGCTTGCTGTCACAACCGTGCGGGTAATTCCGGAGTTAAAGGCAGAGTACACCCAAGGGTTTATGTCTGTAGTGCTGTCCTCGAATCCACCGTTCACTAGAGTCGGAGTTGGGCAGTTATTGGAGCTAGTAGTACTAGTGGTAGTGGTAGTGGTAGTGATTGTAGTAGTAGTTGTAGTTGTAGTTGTAGTTGTAGTTGTGGTGGTAGTGGTAGTGGTTGTCGTTGTAGTAGTAGGCGTGGTAGTCGTAGTCGTAGAAGTACTGCTAGTTGTACTAATAGTTGACAGAGTTGTTGACGTTGCAGTTGGCGTGGAGCTTGTGCTCATGGAGGTCGTGGGAGAGTTCGTGCTAGATGTCGTTGGGCTATGGATCTTAGTTAGCGGAAATGATTCAATTCCCAAGTTTTGGCGCTGAGAAGCTCGTCCCGGTCGGATCGATAAAAGACGTTTGTGACTTGCGAATCCAAGACTGCACGTATAGGGCTGAGGAGGGTAGTAGCATACTGTGACTTTGTTGTCCTGAAGGTTGCAGTCGTAGTGACTGGGATGCTGGGCCAGGTTGGAAAGCTTGGTTGAGGCCATCCTGGTGGTCCTCCACCTGGAGGGCCAGGCTGTGGAAATCCAGGAGATCCCGGCCATCCTGGAGAGTTGCCTCCAGGAGGACCTGGATCAGGAAATTCCGGACCGCCTGGCCCTCCAGGTCCGCCTTGTCCAGGGAACCCGGGAAGCCAATCAGGAATGGCAAGACCTTGGATTCCGAGAGCAAAGACTGAAAGCGAAAAAAGTTTGATGGTAACCATGGTTGTCTCTTTTCGTGGATGATTCCAACAGCAGGGGTGAGGGGTGGGGAGTTCAAAGGAGTGACACCACCACAGAAACCCAAAAACAGTTCAGAAAGGAGCGTTTGAAGGGAATAGACAGAGAAGGCAGCGAAGGGAGATGGAATGGGCTTACGTCCGTTATATTGTCTTCCCAGCCCGCAACGTGCTCAGTGTCGAAGGACGATTATCAACCATCAGTACATGCGCCGCCTAAGGGATTCGTTGCGCCTCTTTGCAGGCGGGTATAAGACTTGTCTTAGCTGTTGAGCATGACCATCAACGCCTTAAGTATGATAATTTCGGTTCGCCTGTTGTTGGCGATTGGGAGCGGGTATCACGACAGGTGAAGCCCCAAATTGGGTAACGGTCGTCATTGAGGTGGTTTGAACCAGTCTCGAACCAGTCATGAGGATGTCGTGGCGGAGGCGGCACAAGCTTTTTCGGGAAGCCAATCTCGCATCACCCCCTTTTGCCCAAGCCCTGGTCCTCGCCCTGAATATAAAGCGATAGCCAAGCTTTGCGGGGTTAACTTCCCGCATCTGGGCAACTAAACTGTTCAAACACTAGCGTCGCATGCAATTCGAGGGTCTGATGTTAGCTCCTTGTCGTACATGTGGTACCTAATATCGCGGTTTGCCGCCAAAGTCTTCTCATTTCCTCCATGGAAGATTCCCCATAGAGCCGATGCTTTGTCTAACATTCGATTGCAGCACCCAGTATCGCACTGGGCCGCCACTGCTCCCTATGTCCAGCGTTGCTTGATGGACGTGTCTCGGACAGACGTAATTTGTTCGATGTAGCGCTGTCAACCATAAATAGGTACTAGTAGTAGGTAGTAGGATTGAGGCTGTTTGCACATGGGCAGCATGTGGTTCCTTGCAATGATGAGATATCACATTCTCGAGCTCCCCGTCAACTCCAGCTTGGAGATGACTTGGCCTGCAGGAACGTCAGATGTCCCCTATCCGTTGTTGTGTGGAATCGCGATGGGCACCCGGTATTGAGGCTGACTGCATCCTGTGACCGCATGTCCAATCCGAGAGTCGAGCAGATGCTTCTTGAATAGATGATCTTAGCCACTCGCCGCCTCAATCACTTGCTTCTAGCCTTTTCTCTGAACTGTCTCGCATCCTCATCACGCCTTAATGACTTATAGCAGTGGATCAGGCACGACGTGACCAGAAGATCGTCGGAATGACTTGATCGGCCAGTGCTTTCGTGCCCGTAAAGCGCCCCATTCAGCATCTTCTCGGCTTGGTCGAACTCGTTGGCCCTGAGCAACACTAGAGACGATGTCGCCAGTTGAGTCAGAGCAGGTCGGAGGCGATGCTCGTTGAGGCCTCTTTGCATTCTTCGATGACCGCAATACAGGAGGAATTGTGGATTTGGGTGCCGATCTTGGTCAATAAACCGTGTATGAGAACTGGCATGGTTTTGGGTTGCTCAGCCCAGTCCTGGGGTAAACCTTTAGTTCTCCGCAGCTTCTCTTTTCCCTGCGTCCTCCCGTCGTGGTCTCGCTCCCGCCTGGCATTGGCTGCATCTTTGAAAATCATTGTCTCGGAGACGCCGTCACGATAGAGAACGGCAAAAATCTTGAGCAAGTCCATGGCATCACGCGACTGCGTGGTTACCTTCGTCTCGAGGCCTGCATACATGATTTTGTGTGAGGTTCTAGTAGTATTATATGGTTTGAGATGTTCGTTCTTGTCCATCGCGATGGATTTCCGCGATTTGCGTACCCGTTGCCAGTTGTCCTCGTAATAGGCCAGATATTTGTTAAGCGTAGTGAGAGCTATTTCAAAATTTCATAGCCAGCATACCGTTAGTGGAAGTGGCAGAAAGCCTGTGATGACAGAGGCAGTCTTCTGAGTTATTACTACCCGTGGTCTTGGTTCAGCGCAGATGATTGCGGGTTGTCATAAGAATCAGCCAGAAGCTCCTCGAGCCATGTAACATTCAAGCTGTTCTAGGTCCGCGTCATGGTCGCAGGCTGATGGCGTTGAACGTCAGGCCCACAGACTTTAATGCTTCGTCAAGTCGTGATTCGATCTTCAGAAATTCATGTCCTTTGCGCCTTTTACGGGCCCATTCTTGATGTGTGCTGTGTCAGGCTGCTAGTAGGGCCAGCGAGGTCCGTGTCCTGATCGCGGAGGGCCTGGGCATTCAGAATTCTGAGAGATACATACCCTCTCGCAGAATTCTCACATGTCTCGAGAATGGCTAAAGAGATGGATATTGACTTCCTATTATACTAGCACCCTGTGCTGTCTGCTTTCGAGAAACTCCCTGCGGGGGTGGAGAACTGAGTATAGCTCGATTCCAATCCGAATCCAAACCGGATCAAGTCTGGTTCGAATTGGTCTTGATTCGAATCTGATTCAGTCTGGAGTCGGGCTGGAATCGGTCTAATAGTTTAGTATCTTAGATACAAGGGAGGTATGTAAGATGGTATATGTCATTTACCACTATCACTCCTACTACCAGTAGGACTGCAATATCACACATAAATACTGACTCCAAGTTAGTAGTTGCATTAGGGTGGTTCGGTTTCTAAAAGGTACGTAAATTGTCTGCACTTTGAACGTACAGATCATCGTAGCACGTGATTTATCTAGGGGCGGTCTAAATTTGGTCGGTTAATGTACCGCTTTGGGTAAAATTCGTGATGCGTTTATCTCGAATTCGCTACGCAGTACTCCTCCTGGTAGAGGTTATCCTATTCCAACGTTGACTAGTAGGAAAGAAACCCTCAGCGCTTCGGAAACTTGATATTTACCGGGTATGTACCAAGTATTTACAATCCTTGTTCTTCCATTCCTTCTACCTTGCTATTCCTGGGGGTATCATAGAAGCAGAGCAGTCTATCAGTGGTCCTCCTACAGTTCTCCTGAGGTCCATGGCTTCCCCTCCGTCTAACATCGGTCCTTATACCACAGTATCCGTACTTCTCAGTACTTAATTTATGCTTTCTACATCGCGCAGTTCGTCCCAGGGCCACGCTCTAAATCCTCACTAGTGAGACACGTCTATTTTTGAAGACCAGCTTCGGCATATCTGGTCGCTTAGGTTCGCTCAATCGGCACCGAGATGTTGATGTTCTTTCTGATTGTTGTCGAAAACCTCAAAGTGTTGGCGGTAGAGCTTTTGAGGTAGCCACACGAGGAGATCGTAGACCTTGGTGCCAACCACACAGAACAACGTTGCGCAGAATTGCCAGGTGATCAATAGGACGACGCCGACTCCCCAGGGAATAACGAATTTGATGAACTCGGTGGTCTGATATAGATCGTTCTGCGATTGGATGTAGTACTTAACCCTGTCGATATCACCGTCATCAGCCTCTTTGCGAGGTGTGCCAGCGGACTCGGCTTCATCTCTCTGCTTGGGATTACCATGAGAGGAATCGGGTTTTTCATGGTCATTTCCATTTTTAAGTTCGGTGGCAGTCACGTTCTCCTGAGGAGCTGGAGGCATTAGGGCCGGGTCAGTGGTCAACTGGAGGACAGTGACGAGTTTGACCGGAGCGTTGTAGAAGGGAACCACCCAGAGCTTGAAGTTCTGGCGAAGGGAAACGTAGAGGCGCAGGTGCTGTTCGTCAAATGCTGCTCCTTGTCAGTAGTAGTACCAGTACTATGTACTAAGAGCCTCATTCACTTACCAACGCTGTCAACTGCAACATCAATATGAGGGCTCAGGATTTTGTACCAGCGGTAAATCATGATAATCAGCCATATCGAGCCAGGAAAGCTGCCCGTTCTGCAAAACGGATGTGTGAAGGATGCGCTGGGTGTGAAATAAGTCTCAATCGCTGTCCTTTGAACAGCTGGCGGAGATGTGCAAAGAGTCTCAATGATCTGAGGGATATCAGCCACTGCAGTCATGAGCATTTTGTCAGAGCTTGGCATCTCGATTGGAATTGGTCGTGAGCAAACCTGGATCGTCCATAATACTATGTATGCTGCTGGCTCAATGTGTGAAAGACAAGAAAGGTTCTGCAATCCTGGTACCAACTCTGATGAAGCGGGAAAAAGTCAAGTTGGCTGAAGCACAAACGGGTTGTTAGCTCGAGCTCGAAAATGCACGAAAGGACCGCTTGTGGTGGACGGACAACTTGAACCCAAACTTCTCTTTCCAGTTCCTGCTGCATCATGAGTACATAGCAGTAGTATCCGTAGTGATTGAAGCAGGAAGGGACTTGCAAAGTTGGATTCAGATTCGAGCATTATCTGACGTCATTCTTACATACTAGTGCTGCTCAGGTGTTTCCGACGAAGGACTCAGGAATCTCTTGAATTTGGATCAACTACATACCCGGTACTTGGTAAAAGTACCTCCGTCGCTGATCTAGTAGTCACTGATGACAACCTCAATGAATTGATGAGTCGCAGCACGAAGTACTGCCTGCCTATTTTAACAGATATCTGAAAAGGTTGAGATTTTATGGGCGGTCGATAGTACTATTCAATGTGTGGCCATATGACAACCAATGCCAAGGGGCAGGTCTGTGATAAGTATAGTAGTACTATGTATGTAGTAGTAGCAATGGCAGGAAGTGAAGACTCCAAAGATCTTCCATACCAGAGCAGCACTGGTTCAACTATTTGATTGTACCCCGTACCGTGGCACATACTACCATGTAGTCTAAGCTCCACCGGCCAATCTCTAATCATGATGATTGTCTTTGCTGAACCCCAATCCGTTCCGCAGCTTGTCCTCTTGCTGCACAATGCTGGCCGGCAAATTTTTCCCAATCCCGAAGAATACGAAAAGCGCCCACTTCCATCTAAACGGGTTGATGAGTGTAATGAAGCAGAACCAGTAGAGCAGCTCCGAGTATGTAAAAAAGTCGAAGGCTTTTGTTGGAGCCAACGATTTTATCGCACCGGTAAAGTCCACCCATCGCTTCATCCACCAAGTTCGAGGAGTCGTCAGAGGGTCGACCAGGAACATCAAGAGTATCCGCGTGTAGATTCCAATATGGTAATTGCCAACAGTTCTGGAACAACGAGTCAGTCGTCATCGCCATTGCGGAAAGCCATGCCAAACTCACCCGATGGCCGATACGTAGGTCGAATTAATTGCGCAAATTGAAGGCGCCGCCGGAGGAAAGCACTGTAGAAACCACCGCGGGGGTTGATAACCATCGGCAAAAACATCGTCTGGCAAAAAGTCAAGGCTTGGACGTTTGTAACCGGTCGCCATGATGATCATATCCCCCTCGACCAGCTTGTGCCGCCCGGGGCCTCCCTTGGGCACGCCCTTAGCGCGCTGGTTGAAGAAGATGCCGTTTGCGCGCACCTCCTCGATATCTCCCCGGAACCAAGCTGCTTTTCCGGCACGTATTTGCTTGAAGATCTCCGAGTTGACCATGGGAGTCTCTGTGAATAGGCCCTGGTCTGCCGGCGCTATATCTCTCAGGTCACGGTAGAAAAATATGCGTAGGAGATTCTCAGGAATCCATGACAGTAGTGTCTCTTGACCGAATATGTTGAAGGCAAGAAGTGCATCCACAAGAGCGTTTCTGGGGATAATCCACTTGTCGGATCTTGCCAGCACATTAATTTCTGCAGCTCCCGTGTTAACAGCCCACTCTAATGCCTCAACAGCACTTGCGCCACCTCCAACGATGAGGATCCTCTTGCCCTTTGCATCTTTACCGTCCAAGGCTGAAGAATGGAAAATGTCTCCCTTGAAGGTCTCTTGGCCTGGCAAGTGAGCCATTTTTGGAGCCCCACAAGTCCCAATTGCCGGTATGATACCATCAAACCGGCCATTCGAAGGGTTGTTGATGATCCACCGGCCTTGCTTATCGTTGTAGACCTTCTCGACTTTCGTATTGAACACCGTTCTCTGATCGAGTTCGTATCTGTGCCACAACTGCTGGACTTGATCGACAATCTGGTGTTGCTCTGGGTAACCTCTGGTCCATTGAACAGAGGGATGGAATCGGTACATGACACTGTGGATTTGGAGGCCAGAAGTTGTGTTTACATGTGTCCAGATTCCGCCGACGTGCATTTGATCTTCGGCCTCAAATATGGTCACCTCAAAACCGTGGCCAACACAGTGTGCTGCTGCAGAGACACCAGTGAGACCGGCACCGATCACTGCAATTTTAGGACGACGGAGGTGCACATCAGGAGGTGGTGGGTTGGGCGAAAATATCTTGTCAAGGACCCATTGCAGAATGGCATAGAGCCAGAAGAAAGGACCGAAGGTCATGGCTCGTGAAAAGCCGCCCACGGAATAATGTTTTGGTGTAGATTTGGCATCAGGACGGCAATGACAATGGGAGACGGGGTTCTCGAGATAATAATGAAATGTCAATTCTGTGGAAGAGAGAACATATTACAACTGCGGACGTCATTATGCAGGTACCACCGTTGGTGCCGTCTTGGTGCCGTTCATGCCATTTCTTTCTCATTGCCGGGGTCAGCCCCACTGCAATATGTCATTGGTGGCCACTGCCAATGGCCGAAGCATGTGAAAATCGGTGGGCAGCGAGCAAGGCTGAGCTGGAATCGGCTGCTGATGATGTTTGCTGATTGTCGAGTGCGAGAAATGGTTTTAGTGTGCAGGATTCCACGGGTGAAAGGCATTTACGATCAAGAATAAATGGCTCAGCCACTGCGGCTGTATGGTGTTGTGTATTAATCAGGACATACTGTGAGATGTCCGCCTGGGCAGTAGGATAACACCGCAGTTCCCAGCTCGAGCATCCGTTCGTAATTCGACCTGGCCTCCTGCCCAGCTTGTGCTGTCCCTGTAGGCCTGCCAAAGTCCTTCAAATCGTCACGGGAGAGCTCCTTGAAAAGGGGAGAAATGAGAGGATGTGCGCCGAGTGACATGTGCACGTGTGACCGCTCGTGGTGAAGCTCATTCCTTCCCTCTTCAGAGCACCGCCTGCAGTCCGTTGCCATCAAATAGTGGAGGAGGTAATGGGCGGTCGAACAATCCATAATTGCGGTTGGATGGCATTAGAGGGCCCTTGAAAGTAGTTGGTGCTGGAGAAGCAGCTGTAATAGTGGTCTGTTTAGGTATTGTGATTCCCGGGGTGGAAAAGCATGTTGTGATATAAAAGAAATGGGCAGCAAGTAAGGCCAGGCGCAGTAAGAGGTGCATTATCGGCATGGTATTGGGATGTAGTCTCTGTTGTCAGATGAGTTGATGAATTCGCTCCAGTGCATAATGCTGCTCATTGACCAAAGTCATGCGGGAACCCTCTTGCATAAGTAGCCCAACCAATTGTATGATGCCCGGGCTAGAGCCCACCAGCCTTCGGTTGGGAGGGAAACGCTGCTCTGTGCAGTTGGTTCCCTGTTGCTTTCACAGGCCAGAACCTCGAGCCAGAAAAATTTGCTTTCCAAACCATGGTTCGGTCCCAGAGGACGAGCAATGGCAAGGGCCGCTTGAACGCGAGGTTTAACCGAGTCCACCATTCTTCAGGTGAGCCTCCCCAACCTACTGGGTACTCAGTAGTGGCCCCCCTAGCCTAGTGCCCTCACTGAGCACCCCGGGAGTGACCCTTGAGCAGCATTAAACCACTCCAGGCACAGGAATCCACTCCAGTAGCTCGTTGATTATCCCATCTCACGAGCGCAACGACACCTTGCTATGTACATACATAGGAAACCACTAGATGAGTGCTAGTGTGCCCTCGTTCTCGCATCCCTCCCGCATACATACATAGCATTGCCCAAGCATTGTTCTTGCAGCGAGTCTTTTCCTCGCGCTTGCCAGCCTAGTCTTCTCGTATTGTGCAATTCACATAGCTTTGAAGCCTTCTCCGTATTGCCTTTATTCGCTGTTGTCACAAGAGTATTATAGCTTCGGCGAATAAGGAAGGTCGCTGAGCAGACCCAAGTTCCTCTAAATCATCCTCATCCCTTTCCATCGTAAATCCATAGGATCTATGGGGCCTTGGAAGGATTCCAAGCATGTTCAACGTTTTTCAGGCGATCCAGACTTCCCATGAAGTCCTCAGAAGCGCAATGTTTGGAGAATTGAACATGCTAACGAAGATGTTTTATCGCAGTCTTCGAGGTGCATCTTTGCGAAGAAAGGCCCCGTCCCTGTTCGGTCCGTTAGTTTGGGTAACTGGTGTTTGACCATAACCTCACTGTGCATCAATTTGCAACCACTAAACGTCGACTTCAACGCTTGAACCGCTGTATCGTTATTTGCGACATTCACATGGTCGTAGTAGATACTCCTCATTGCGGACATTGTTCGCTGCTTGGATTTGTGCATGAGATTGATGTAACTCGGCTCTTCGTCGCCCGAGTCATCGTCGTCACTTGGAGGATCAATCAATCAAGAACCAATCCAATAAGGAAACATGTTGCTTATTGCGGATGCGCTGAAGACCGCATCGACTAGGTTTTCCGCAAACGAGGAATAGTCGTAGAGGTAACCTGTTTCTGTTTGACCAACACAATGTAACTCAGCAGGAGCTTCGCTACCAAATGCGACAGGGATGCATCCATGGGAGTCCAAGGTACTAGTATCGAGGAAGAAGTCCTTTGGCAAGTAGTCATCTTTTGAGCGTCGGACCCAACGGCATCCTCGCCCTCCTCTCCGAGCTCCCGAGCCCAGTCTTGGAACACCGAATTGCAATCAATATCTTTGAGATTGTCATCATGTGAATTTGTGATCTCAGATTTCAGTTCTCTTGAAAACCGATGCAGGCGGCTACGCTGCGTTGATGTTGCTGGCAAAAAGTCGATGGATACTGACAATCTAATTCTTGCGCATCAAACAGCAACGGAAAGACAGCCTCCGCGGCTAGCACTTGACAAACGTCAAGCATCCTAGGACTTTCAGTGAGCGTCTCTGAAGGTTCTCGGAAAAAAGGTTCGAACTGCGATGTTGCGAACCCCCTGCCATTCACCTGATAATACGTGCCGAAGCCCAAAAGCCACATCTTCGAGCCAGGTAAGGTTCTTTAAGAACCTTATCATGGTTCGTAACACGAAGCCATCTTCTGACCAGGGAGTGCATCTCGATGAGAGGAATGTCATTAGACCCCACCTTCCATCCGGTTCACTATGACTATGTTCATTGCAGCCAGGTTTTTGATTGCGAGCTGAAAACCCCAATCTCCAGGATACGAAGCAGACCGATGACAGGATGGCATGGGGTTGCGGCGGATCGGGTACGCGCTGCGTCCCTAGCGCTGAATTTGCGTATGTAATCTGAGATATGTGAAGCTTTCTCGCCCGACACTATGAAATAAGCCAGAAACGCTGCATGTTCATCGATCACAGGGCCTTGTAGGGTACCCTGAAAGGTAAATTAGAATGATTCCCAAGACGGTGAGTAAGCGGAAAATATCGGATCTTGCCCAAGGTAAAAGGTCATGAATCTCATCAGTCCATGCAAGGGAGGCTTGGCTGTTATTGCTGGGGATGCCACTCTCTTTCCGTAAAGCAGCACCTACGTTGGCGATCGCCAACGGAAGGCCCCCAAGCTCCTTCACGATGCGTCTTCTTGCTTCCGTCCCCCTGGGAGCCTGTTCCTCTTGGACGGCTTAACCAGCAGTAAGCGAAGCTGGGTCTGTGTACATGTACATATTCAGGAGGTCATAACCAAGTTGTTCATTCAGCGGATTCATCGGAAAATCATGTGCCTTGATATGGAAGGCTGAATCCTTGTTCCTCATTGTAATAAGGGTCTTGCTCTCCGGTAGGTCGGCAAAGAGGTATTGCTGAATGTTGATAAGAGGATCGTCTAGGCCATCAGATACAACCAACCATTGGCTAGAAAGACTTTTGGATAGCTGACGAGCAATGAGAGATCTGGGCTCCAAAATCCGCTGGTCGTTCCCGCACATCTGCATCGCATACTGTTCGAATGCTTGTTCTATAGCTGCCTCGGAATTACCGGGTATCCAAAGAATGGCCATAGTTCTCTGGACACCGAATGCAAAATGATCTTGCCATAGTCGACATCCTGTCCTATGAATTAGCTTCTTGAGAGACATCTCAATATAAAAGCTTCGCCTGCATGCCTAGGAGGCCGTGCAAGACGACACACACGTGCTCATTGCAGCTGAACGCCTCGTTAAGGAAAGACTGTACATCAGCACGGACCAAAAGTCGTTCTTGTAGGAAGACTAAGTCGTTTCGAAGAATTGGAAGCCCTTCAAAGGGATTGCGATCTGCTGATGCCTTCACACGATCCTTGATTTCTCTACCAAGTTGAAAAGATGCGTTCTCCTTGTGTTCGCCATATAATGCAGGCATGGAGACGTTAAAGATGCCGGAGAAGACAGTACGCCCAATCTTCTTCGCGTGACCTTACGGTTCTTTGCCCAAGCAAATTTCTGTTCAGCGTTGAACTGAGATAAGGGAGTCCCCCGAGTAGACTTCCCTCTTAGGAGAAGATTTGCACTGATGCCAGCGCAAGGAGCTCCTGAAGCGTCCAACCCCGAGTGAACCACCTACTGTTTCGAAAGGCATCTTCCCACGTTTCCCCCGAAGGTCTCAACCCGTCGTTGCATCTTGCTTATCGAGACATCAGACAGGTACACGTAGCACACCTTGGCGCGTTGGTACCAATGAAACATGGGGTTGAGTGACTCGGAAACTCAGCATCGCTAGACTTTTTAATACAACAGCTGTCCATCCAGAAGTACTGTAAGCCATCTCTAGTAGCTTGTTTGCCGCACAACTCGATCTTCTTGTATCCAGCTTTGTCGCGAGGTGAACCGCCTTCTCTCCCGCTGGAAATCCATTTAGGCTCATTTGAGCGGACGAGGCTGAAAGCGTGTCGCTGAGGCCGAACGGACGTGACTGAGGCGAAGACCGTCACTCTGCGGTGAAGATTGCAGAAACTTGCGGCTGGACAAAACTGTGATAGATCAATGGGGAGAAAACCTTTTCTCCTACAGAGTACAGGAATCTCCCAAGCTACTTTCATTCTGGCCAGTTGAAGCTCCAGAGTCGAAAGGGGCTGGTCATGGCATTTCTCTTCCCGCCACAATTGGTCAGAGACCTGTGGGCGTATCATACGAGGTACTGGGTACTGGGTGCTGCAAGGACGACGAGCATGGCTACTAGGCTGAGCAACCCTACCTGGCGAGCGGCGACTGGGTCCTTAAGCTTCCCTGAGCCCAGAGTAGGGAGCCCACCAGCCCACTGGCCTCCCAGCCTAGTTAAGCCTAGTCTAGCTCCTTTCGCGTGCCTGACGTGCTGGCAAAGCTCACTGAGCCCAGTTTGCGTGTTTCGGGGCTTAGGGTGCCGGCAAGTAAAACGCAACTGTTCAGTGGGGGAGCCCTCGCTGTCGCTGCCCAGGAGTGACACGTTAATAACGTCAGGGCACGCCCATGAGAACAAAGCACTGAAGACAGCACTTCACTGATTTTCGCGAATCGACGACCTGGTTCAACCTGTTCAACACACCCCATTTTCACAATCCCCCGTCGGGTGCCGCAATAGTAGAGCGCTGAAGACGGCAACTCGCTTCCTATCGAGATCCGACAACCTACGGTTCAACTCACCTCATTTTCACAACCACCACGAACTTGAATCTATTTACTTCCCTTGCAGACCCGTCAGATCCGTCACAAGGTACGTATATACCTAACTCATCTCGGTTTAACTCCCAAGTTGACTTTTACCCAGGTGAAGCCTTTCCCATCCCGCCATAATGCCTCCATCTACGTCCTCAACCTCGAGCATCAAGAAAGGCGTCCAAGGACCCACGAAACCATGCATTCCCTGCGACTGTGGTAACTACGAATGCGACTGCTGTATTATCCCGTGCTCAGTCATGTGACCATGGTCGTCAAGAGCACCTGCGGGCGGTGGAGAGCCTGTGGACTTTGGGCAGGAGGCATTGGAAAGTTGGGAGCAAGACACACGATAAGGGAGACGGCACTGCTCGATGACCAACTTGAAGGCGCAGGCACAGTGGCTCTGGCAATCAACTACCTAACGCATTAATCGAGCTATATTAGCCTTGGCAACAGAGGAAAGCAAGACCACGATTCATGCAAGGGCATGACATTCTCCGTACAAAAAGAGCTTTGGATTTAAGTCGCAGATGATAACATGTATATCTTGACAAGCACCATACTAAGGTGGCTGCGCCGTCTCAACATGGTCCCTTGTCCTAGCGGGGCCCGACTCCGTCAGAAGATATGCTTCGGACTCGTCCTCAGAATGGTCACTCAACGAAAACTCGTCCTCCAATTGTTGTTCCAGATCTCTGGGTCTGGCTTTGGCTGCTCTTGCCGCTCTAGCCAAAGCATAGTCGGCCCTGTTCGGATAGGGCACGTCGCATTTGGGATGTCTGAGGGGGCGAAAGTATCGTCGATAGGTGATATATGCCACCGACATGCCCAAAAGACTGCCGCAGGTAACATCGTAGATATCGTGTCTGTAGTCGGCTAATCGCGACATTGCGACCAGTGCAGCGCCGGCCAAGGGAGCCAGGAAAATCAAAATCCTGGCGAGGTCTGCATGCGGTCGAAAGACATGCATTTGGCCCGCCAGAAACAAAGCCAAGTATCCGAGCCCTGCGAAGGCCCAACTGCTGTGGCCACTTGGAAAACTGCGCCATCCATCGTGGAGAGTATGGTGATCGGTCTCGGTGCACACCACAATGGTGACAAGTTCGTGCTCGGGGGTTCCCGCCTCTGGCTTACAGCGGGCAATCAGATCTGGGCGTGGGCGGCCGATGGCATTCTTGATAATATCGGTGAGGAGCGAGGCAAGGAAGAGGCTAATCAAAAGTCCCAGGATCGTAACGTGTGCATGATGGACTCCCGGTCGCATGACAACGGCCCAAATGATGAGAACCACGAGTGGACCTACTCCAGCGACCAGGATGTTCTCTCCCGCAGAGACTCTTTCGACAAGGGCGTGAGGATATTGTTTTGCTCGGTTGTCGAGGCGGAACATCTGATGGACTGGTTCGAAGAAGAATTGCACCTAGGCGTCTAAGCAGGCGATATCCGGCCGCAAGAACGAACACTCACCCAAATATACACTGCCAAAAGCAGGACAAATCCGACATAATCAGATGCATACGACCGTTGCCAGAAGCGCCGGATGGCTGCTACCACCCCAGGCGCATCGATATTTGCCTGCCTCATGACTGTGAAGACAAAGCGGATCCGAGAATTAGCGACAGATCATGTTCATGGCGATTTGGATGGAATTGGGATGGAAAATCAAGAGCTGAAGAATACGAGAGACGATAGAAAGTTGAGAGTTGAAAGGTGCCTTCGGTGCCTACCTCGATACCTCGTACAATAAATGCGATCCCCGCAAATTGACCGTCTTCATTCGCCGTTTCAAAACACGGTTGACCATCTTCCGCGGCTCTTCCTCATCATTCTTCCTTCCATTCCCACGCGCCTTTCCCATCATGGCAGATCAAGAACTCCCGCAACAGTTGCCGGAGGCCCCTTTCCCTGCTCCTCCACCCTTCTGGAGGTATTTCACAGTCGCCAACGAGGATGAACTGAGAAGGATCGAATCGTCGTCTGCCGACGGCCAGTCGAAGCAGAAGCTCCCCCTTCATCTGGCATACCTGCGACCTCCTCCTCCCCCACCGGCTTCTGCAGAGTACTATACGACCTTCGGCCAGAAGCAGGTCATCGACCCGACGAAGCCCTCATCTTTGCCTACCGAACAACTTCTGTTCAATCCAGACGACCCGAATCTCAATCATGCTGTCCTTCTCAGTCGTCTCACGAAATCCCTGCTGCTGAACTTCCTGGAACTCACGAGTGTCCTGTCCCTCGACCCGACCAAGCACGAAGAAAAGATGGAGGACATCAGGCAGCTCCTCTTGAACATCCACGTGGTAATTAATATCTACCGCCCCCATCAGGCGCGAGAAAGCGTCAAGGAGATGCTTGAGGGGATCTTAGAAGAAGGACAAAGAGAGATTGACGAGTGCGACAAGATGAAGCAGAGGGTTGATGAGTTTTTGGCAGACGTGGGCAAGATTGGGATATCGGATGTTCCGGATACGACTCAGGAGGATCCTGTTGCGAGGGATCCTTCTCACGATCAGATGATGGAAAAGCAGCGGAGGCTGTGGAAAATGATTCAAGATATGACTTGACGACGTCAATTTTCCAATATTAGACTGAGACTAGGCTCTCGCCTTCTCAGAGGGTGATTAGGTATCCACGGTTGGTACATGTCTCTGCCCTCGCGCAGTTACAAGGCTCGAATGCCACAGTGCCGCATCCTTACGAGGGAGCCAGCGAGGAACAAGGCCATGCTGCAACTTTGAACGGAACTTCCCTCTACCACTTACTCAAACGTGAATATCTGCAGCCGCACTGCTCAGAATCTGGTCCTTGTACGGCTCCAAGGCCGGCACGACTGCCTCTTCCACGAATTCATCAACCTGTTCCGCCGACCTGCCGACAAACTTCGATGGGTTTAACAAATCTTCCGGCGTCAACTCGTTCCAGATGGGTTCGAAAAACTTCTCGTTCTTGATGCGGTCAACGAGATCGTTTGCCTGACCTTCCAACTTCACGACCGCCGCGGCTTGATGAGACAGTACTCGAATCTGCTCGTGGGTTTCTTGCCGACTGGCGCCTTTTTCAGCCATGCGCATGATCATGGTCTCGGTGGCCATAAATGGAAGCTCCTGCTGCAGGCGGGCGCTGATGACTTGTGGATACACGACCAGGCCGGAAGACACGTTTTCAAGCAGAATGCACAGCGCGTCGGCTATCAGAAACATCTCGGGGATATCAATACGTCGGATTGCCGAGTCGTCCAACGATCTCTCAAACCACTGGTGGGCGTACGTTTGCCCGAACCCAGATGCCAGCGAAACCAGCTTCCGAGCAAGAGAACAGATACGTTCCGAGCGCATGGGGTTTCGCTTGTAAGCCATGGCAGATGAACCGATTTGGTCCTTCTCAAAGGGTTCTTCGACTTCTTTTAACATGGCCAAATGCCGCAGGTCCGTGCCGATGTGCTCACACGTGGTGCCGAATGAAGCAAGGACATTGGCGATGTCAAAATCGATTTTGCGGTTATAGGTCTGCACTGAGACAATGGAGCGTTTACTGAAACCGGCTTTTTGGGTAACCAGTTGATCGAGCTGCTTGACTTTTGCGTGATCGCCGTGGAATAGCTCCAGGAAGGACGCTTGGGTCCCCGTGGTGCCTTTGACGCCTCGGAAGACAAGGTCCGCACGAGCGCGTTCAAAGTTCCTCAGATCCATGAGTAGCGATTCAATCCACTGCGTAGCTCGACGACCAACTGTGATGGGTTGAGCGGGCTGTCCATGGGTGAATCCTAGGCAAGGCAAGGCCTTGTATTGCAGCGCAAAATCCGACAGCTTCTTGACACACTTGGCAATTTTCGGCAACAGGATCGAGAGTCCGTCCCTCAAAAATATCAAGTCCGCGTTGTCTGTCACGTAGCAAGAAGTGGCGCCCAAATGTATCTTCCCAGCAGCTGCAGGTGCACGTTGACCAAAGGCGTGAACGTGGGCCATAACGTCGTGTCGTCGTCGCTTTTCCTCTACGGCCGCGACCTGAAAATCATCGTCCGTCATGATTTTGGCCGCCTCCATCTGAGCAACTGCCTCATCCGGGATATCGAGACCAAGTTCTTTTTCCGCTTCAGCGAGCCAGATCCAGAGTTGGCGCCAGGTCGTTGCTCGGGTTCGAGGTGAGAATAAAGTCAGCATTTCTTTGCTGGCATAGCGAGCTGCCAAGGGGCTCTGCCAGGTATCGTGGGCCATTTTGAGAATGCTCTTCAGAAACAGATTATCGAGAGGAGAAAGGAAGATACTCGAGTGTAGCTGCCCTGGTGGAAACAATAAAAATCAAATATTGAACAGACGTCTTGTAGGCTTGTTCGATGCTTCGGGTAAAATCGGTCCCGCCAAGACATCGCACGAAAAAAATCTTTTAGTCTGACATTTGATTTCTCGACGGCACTATGTGCACAAATCCGTTGTGAGGCATAGTGAAATCTTTGTAGGTTAGAACAAGACATATCGGAGAGACACTCACCTCTTGCCAGAGAGACTCATCCCCGTACCGTACTTTTGACGACGTTTTCAACTGTTGCTAAAGGCTCTATCTATGGTCGACCAGAGCAGCATTAATTTATTGTCAGACAGGACAGAATTCTTTTGATCCAAACTTTTTTCCTTCCCTGAAGACTTTAAATTTCCCGTCCTTTCCCAGACCTCTACACCGGACCGGATCAGCGGAGCTCAATGTCCAAGACAGTAAAGAGGAGGGGGCCATTGGCTGCCCAGCATGGTCAAAAGAGACAGAAGTTGTCTCCGTCGATAAAGAGTCGAGTGTACAGCGGGCCAGCTGTTCGTGGCGACGCGTTGAAATGGAAAACAGTCCCTTTGCCGAAGAGACTGGAGGACGCCGAAGGATTCTTTGGACTTGAAGAGATTGAAGATGTCGACGTTGTCCGAGATGAGACCAGTCATCATGTGATGTTTCAACCGAGATCACTCGCAGCTGTGGATGACCCAACCGACAGTAACCAGCTCGAGGAAGAATGGCAGGGTTTTGATGACGGAGCTGGAATGGTGGAAGAAAAAACCCGAAGACCGATGGCGGTATCAGACTCTTCATATGACACTTTACAGGCTTCAAAAAGAGCCAAAGACTTCGATAAGCGAAAAAACAAGACCAAAGCCAAACAAGAAGAGGAGGTTGTCCCCAATGTCAAGTTTGATGTTTTGCTGGAGAGCTCCGAAGATTCCAAGACAGATGTAGCGGCATGGAAGCATCTTGAGCTATCTCCGTCAACCTTTTCACAGCTTTCTCAACTTGGCTTTGCTCGCCCTACGCCCATACAAGCAGCCAGTATTCCGCCGATCATGCAAGGCCACGATGTGATTGGCAAGGCTGTAACCGGATCTGGGAAGACTTTGGCGTTCGGCATTCCACTTTTTGAACATTGGCTTTGGAGGGAGAATGCGGTACCGAATGGCCCGACTAAAAGCAAGGATTCTATCCTAGCTCTCATTCTGGCACCTACCAGAGAGCTAGCATTGCAGCTCAATAGGCATCTGAATGAGCTATGCATAGGTCTGGAAGACCATCCCAAAATTGTCGCCGTGACCGGCGGACTCTCCATTTACAAGCAACACCGACAGCTGGAATATGCCGATATTGTGGTAGCGACTCCAGGGCGACTGTGGGAAATCATGAATGATGCCTCTACCGATTACGATGTTGACGCATTGGTGGACCGATTGAAGAAGATTCGGTTCTTGGTAGTGGATGAAGCCGATCGATTATTGAGTGAAGGCCATTTCAAAGAAGTGGAGAACATTCTTGATGCCCTTGACCGGAAGATCGTGGACGAGGAGGAGGACCAAGATACGGCGCCAGACTCACCAAATTCGATCCGGCAGACCCTTGTGTTCTCCGCTACGTTCCATAAGGGACTACAGCAAAAACTCACAGGCAAGCTCAAGTCTGCGGGCCGGACGAATAACAACCTCCTCACCAATCAGCAGTCCATGGAGTACCTCTTGCGGAAGCTCTCGTTCCGCGAAGAGAAGCCGACCTTCGTTGATGTGAATCCCAGTTCGCAGATGGCCGCCGCGCTTGCTGAATCAATCGTGGAAAGTCCCGCAATGAAGAAGGACCTGTTTCTCTATACTTTGCTAGTGCAACACCCCAACAAAAAGACGTTGGTTTTCACAAACAGCATTTCAGCTGTTAGGCGAGTGACGGTGTTGCTTCAGACCTTAAAGCAAGCTGCGGTCGCCTTGCACTCGACGATGCCACAAAAGTCACGACTACGATCTTTGGAGAGATTTGCAGCCCAGAGCAGCATCCTGGTATCCACAGATGTTGCAGCTCGAGGACTCGACATCAAGGGGATCGATCTAATTATTCATTACCATGTGCCCCGCACTGCAGATATGTATGTACACCGATCCGGAAGAACTGCTCGTGCCGAGATGTCAGGGCAATCGATCCTGCTCTGTTCTCCTGATGAAGTTGCCGGAGTGAGAAGATTGATCGCCGAAGTGCACAAGAGTGACGAGGCACCCGAAACAATCCAATTAGAGGGGCGACTCATGCAAAACCTGGAATCACACGTGTCACTCGCCCAGAAGATCACCGAAGCAACCCAGGCCAAGGAGAAAACAGCGAGCAAGGAAGATTGGCTGCGATCTGCCGCGGAAGAATTGGGAGTGGACTACGATAGTGAAGAGTTCGAAAGTCAGAGCCAGCGAGGCAAAAGGGGGAGAGGCGGCGGAAGAGTAAAGAAGGAAAAGGACAACGCTGCAACTAGCAAAGACCAGCTTTCTCAATGGCGGTCGCAGTTGGACGAAATGTTGAAGAAGAGGATCAACTTGGGAGTCAGCGAGAGATATCTCGCTGGCGGACGGGTTGATGTTGAGGCATTGCTCGAGGGACGGATGGATGGAGCATTTCTGGAAGGCCGCTAAGAGTCTAAGGGAGTGTCAAAACTCTCACCAGACCTTTGGCAAACCCTTTACACCTTGTGATGTGGTTGCTGGGGTCTGGACAACAACTGATTGGTCAGTGCTTTTGGTTCACGTGGCCCTATTTGGACAAAAGGCCTGGCATACACGAAGCGTGTGAGGCTGAGAGCTGAACCAGGTGGTGAGCCCATCAGACAACGACGCCTGACCCTTGAGAGGCGATCACACACTACGCGGACCTACTCGTATGTTGGCAAGTGCCACTGTTGCAAGAAACGACATACTTTGCGACCGGAGATGGAAGTAGCCACCCACCCCAATTGTTGCAATGTCTCAATCACCTTCTCCGCCGGCAGGTGAAATGGCATCTCCAGACAGCCCTAAGCAAAAGCATTCTCAACCCTGGTACGCGTTTCTACTCCAAGCCTTAATTCACCAGCATCATTCTCGTATGGCATTTCCTGGGCATGTTGCCCTGTGCTAGTAATCCTCCATCCCAAGCACCGGTTTTTGCACCACTTCCTGCTGTCCCAACTCTTGATCGGCGCTTGGACCACCGTCCCTCCAGGCAGGACATTGTTGGTGCAAGGAGTCAGCCTGACCTTGGTCTGGGGCCTTCACCCAAGCTCATCTATGTTGAGTCCAGCCTTCGACCCGCAGTGCGTCTTCTTGAAGAAACAGATCTCTATCACAGGCCCGTGGATCGGCATCAAAGCGAGATATTCAACCAGCATCAGCCAATATGACTTCCAATGGCAATTCTTCGAGGATTCCTCCCCCCAAGTCCGGATCGACTGATGCTTACAATATTTTGGCCTTGGACGGTGGCGGTGTGAAGGGGATATCGTCAGTGATTATCCTCGACAAGATCGTGAGTCAATCCAATAACGTATAATATCAATGGCCAGTTCGGGAACACATGGGTTGGTAGCCAAACTTTGAGCGAGGAAACTGACTTTAATTTGTGTCTTAGATGAACCGGATCCGTGACCTTGAGAACCAGGCGAACACCGAGAAAGGCAAACCGACTGATGTAAGAGACAGAAAGCCTGTTGATTACTTCGATCTTGCGGCTGGAACTAGCACCGGCGGGCTCATTGCCCTGATGTTATTTCGCCTCGAGATGAACTGCCCCGATGTGATTGCGCAATACGAAAACCTGGCCAAGGAGGTCTTCAAGCCGATGCTTGGAAAAATTCCTCTCAATAGCCTTGGATCTTTCGGGAAATGGATCGGAGACATCTGGCTGAAGCTCAAAGCCGTGGTTGGTCGATCCCAGTTTTCCCATCAGCCGCTCGAGAAGGCAATCGACGCCGTGGTTGGTGCCTTTCCTCTCGACGACGATGACCGAGCTAGAAAGGGAGATGCTGTACTCGTCAAATCGAGTCAAGGACAGATGTAAGTTCTTTGTTCTAGTTCGCACACTTCGACGTGCTGGAGACTAAGTTGACTTAGGTTTATGTGTGCGACATTGGCCGATAGAGGAGAGAGCGTCCTGCTGCGGAACTATGATCCCCCATTCGCACCGCTTCCGGTTTCCACAGGGGCTAGGGCCCTCGATTTCAATGCCATTACCATCAAAGAAGCTGCTCGCGCAACCTCCGCTGCACCCACATATCTCAAGGAAGCCACAATTCAAAATTTGAAATTCTGGGATGGTGGTCTCCTGAACAACAACCCCATTGTACAAGCGTGGGATAATCGATTTGACCTCGTCTCGCGCGATGCTCCATCTCCTCAAATCACATGTATCGTGAGCTTGGGAACTACACATCCTGAGTATGACGCAAACAAACGACCTGGATCCGGTATCATGAGGTTCTTTAATACCATCACGAAGACGGTCGCTTTTGTGACCAACACTGAAGCCAAGCATCGTGACTTTGATCGGAACATGCGACAACGTAACGAGCGCAACCCGACCAGGAGGACTTCTTATTATCGGTTTAATGCGTCGACAGGGAAGGACGAGATCGACCTAGATGACTATCTGAAAATGCCGAAGTTGAGGGAGTACACTGACATCTATCTAGAGAAACCAGAGATAGCCCAATGGGTCAACCAATGTGCAGCCTTGCTTGCGAAGACAACCTCGCTCTGAGACACCGCAGATCACCTTTTTTTGGACCGGTGTAATGCGACAAATGACGGCTAAACCAGTTGCTGGCCATAGAGTGGCGGTTCTCGAATGAAACTTGGTAGAGGTGAAGGTCATGAATTGAGCACCACATGGGCTACAAAACAGTCGACCTTGAAAGGAATGGTACGGGGTGCAGACTACTCGCATCCTCCTATTTTGTCTGTGGATTGGAAGAGGTTGTAGTCCGGTGGAGAGTATGGAGTGCTTGTTCCTAAGGCAGACGGAGCAGCAGTAGGTATTAATGCATTGTATTTGCTTCGAGAGTGGAAGGACCTTCTTTTTCATCCGCTGCCCCGTCCATGCACTGGGACCCGTTGTTCCGTTGTTCGCTTTGCGGCCTCCGAATGCAGATGAAGTGGACTAGACAAGTCGATATTGCACACAGATGGCATTCAGTGTCGCGTATCAGCTTGACAACCCAAGCGAGCCAGTCAGGAGAGTTGATGACCATGACGTACATACTCCGCCATTCGCCTGGTCTTCCTCAACATGTGCTGTGACGTGCGCATATCTGGCACCATTATCACACCACCCAGCCGGCAACAGCTGGGCAAGTAAGTTCGATACGGACGGGAGCAGGAGGCAGCCAAGATCTCCTGGTAAGTTGAGTCGGACGACAATAAAAAGTAGCATCCTGGGTGGCATGTGTAGGTACCTATCTCTTTGGCTACGTGTCGGTATTACATACCAGCAAGGTAGAACAAACGAGCTTTGATTCTTAAATATTACTTGTGCTGTGTACACTGTACGACCCTCGCAAGACCACCGGTCGACACAGAGCTGAACCCTTGACGCGGAGTGGGTGGTCCTATCAACTTGATTTGACTTGATCTATCCTTCTCCGGTCTCGGAGTTTCAACCACATACTTACAAACAACACCATTAAGAGCGAGTGAGAGAGAAGAGAGAAGAGAGAATGGCATCCTCATCTCCTCCGTCATCCGCCCCAGCGGCGCCGCCACTCCCGGAGACAATGCGCGCGTGGCAATTCACGTCCGCGCACGGCGGGCTGGAGAAGAACCTCAAGCTCAACAACTCAGCAGCGCTGCCGCCGCATGACGCGAAGGCGCTGGGCAAGGACAAAGTGCTGGTCAAGGTGCTTGCGGCGGCGCTGAACCCGGTCGACTACAAGATTGCCGAGATGCCGCTGATCGGACGCCTGGCGATCAAGACGCCCGCGACGCCCGGGCTGGATTTCGCGGGCCGCGTCGTCGCTGTGCCCGAACCCGCCTCTGCTGCTTCTGCGGCTTCTGCGGCGCAGGCTGGAGACGATGTCAAAGTCGGACAGTTGGTGTTCGGCCGCCTCGAGCAGCCGACCCATTTCGGCACCCTGGCCGAGTATACCGTTGCGCGCAAGGCGGCGTTGGCGGTCGTGCCAGAAGGCGTCAAGACCCAGGACGCTGCGTGCGTCGCCACCGCCGGCCTCACAGCGTACCAGGCCATCGCACCGAATGTCAACAAAGCCGCTGCTGCAACGGGTGACAAGGGCCCCAGCAGGGTGTTCATCAACGGAGGCAGTGGCGGCACGGGCACGTGGGGCATTCAGATCGCAAAGGCCCTGGGATGTCACGTCGTGACCAGCTGCTCGGGCCAAAATGTGGAGCTGTGCAAGAGCCTGGGCGCCGACGAGGTGCTGGATTACACAAAGGAAGATATTCTCGGGGCTTTGAAGAAGATGGCCACCGCTAGTGCTCCTGTTACTTCTGCTGCTGCTGCTGCTGCTACTAACGGTAGTGGTGGTGCCGGTCGCCCGTCCCCTGACGACAGCCAGAAGTTCGACCTCGTGGTGGACAACGTGGGCAACTTGGACAAACTATACTGGCAGTGCCACCATTTCACGTCCCCCAAGGCAAAATACGTCCAGGTCGGCATGGGTCTCTCCGGCCACGCGGCGCTGCAGCTGATCATGAAAATGGTCTGGCCAGGCTTCCTGGGCGGCGGGAAGCGCAAGTATCACATGATGATGGTGGCCAGTGACGCGGCGCAGTTGAAGCAGATTGGGGAGTGGATGGCAGAAGGCAAGGTCAAGGCCGTGGTGGACGAGGTCATTCCCATGGAAAACGCCCCGAAGGCGTTTGAGAAACTCAAGACCGGGCACGCGAAGGGCAAGATTGTGGTTGCCGTCAGCGATCAATAATGACGTCCTTCTCAGGAAAGAAACAAGGGCACGAAGCAGGGGCAACGGGGTTGGCGGTGAGCATGACCGGCAGCGTTGGGCTTTCTCTAGGTTGGTAAGGTAGGTTTCCATCCAGATTTGCTCCGTGTTTCGGAGGAGTGGGCAGCGCGGAAAAGGGCAAGGACATGTTTGAATGGATCAGGCGCTCACGGGACGTTTTTCTTATCACAAAAAAAAAAAAAAACCAAAGGCGGTGGAAAAATATTGTTCTGGCCATGCAAGGGCAAAATGGGCGTATCCTATTTCGATGGAAGTAATGTCAGGAGAGCTCAGAAATAGCAAACGACGGCGCATTTCCGTAGGGCGTGCTTTTGCTCTCTCTTTCTCGCTTCACCAAGGCGCGAGCGAAACTGGATTGCGACCTGTGCTCGTGTTCCCAGCCTAGATTTCTTGTGCTATTTCGGCGAGAGCAGCCTGCCACACCCAAGAATGCGACAGCGGTCGGCTCGAATGATGGAATCGAGAGTGCGAGCGGTCTCGATCATTACCAAATCAGGCGAAGCAATGCGTGATGCTCTTTTGCCTGGTGCGGCGGGATTTTTGACTTGCGGTCTCTCGTGGTGCCCCTGGCTTCATGGGAGATATTACCCAGCCTCGCACAAATGATGGATTCTTCCTGTGGGCGTACTCGACAGACTGCCATCTGCCTGACCAGTAGAGAACTTTGCACAAGAGAGTGATTTTGACCTATTGTCAATTGAGATGCGGCCAATGTTCGGCAGTTCTTGACCAAGTTCACCTTCCAACATAGCAAGCGTGAATATCGACCCAGGTCTGAATGCTTCCTTGCTTCTGTAATCCCGATTCGGCTCGGACGTGGGTTGACGAAATCGTACGGCCGGAGGAGCATGGGCTGCAGTCAACAAACCTACCGAAGTCTCGGCCAGAGGGTCTGATTGCCAGGGTCCCGCTTGAGCCGCAACTCCGCATGTCTGGCAAAGTAAACACATTACTTCTGGAGATAGAGAGGGCTCCATTACCGCCAAAGGAGACGGAACGCACCAAAGCGGGTATGAGAATATTGGCGAATTTGGCGAAAGTCTCTCTCGAAAATCTCTCCCCAAGCCCTCAAGGTTACCGTTCGTATTCTTCGTCGCAGCAGGCGCATTTCGAAGACTCTTCTCCAGCGACCAAGGTCAAGGGTTTCTGACCTTGAGCCTCGAGGTTGACGAATGCATGCAGTTTCAAGCGGCCGCAGAGTCGAGTGAGTATGTTGCCTCAGTTGGACCCCTGTTAGGCTCTTTTGATGAGCCAGGATTCCGACCGGTTTCAACCGAGTGGGATCTTTACGTCCCTTTTGCATTGCAGGGTTGACTCTTGAACCATAGTGCGTAGACGAGGCTCACTCGAGGTATCCTAGACGTTAGTGCTAGTCGAGGTGTGGACATGACAGCGAGTGCATCACGGCCTCGTGACGAGCATGCAATGTGCAAAAGACCGACAATACCGCTGATAAACGACTCCAGGCGTCGAGTACGAGATCGTGGCGGGACCGTGAAGTAAACCCCTGGGGATTCCTTCGGGAGATACGGCAGTATGAATTGCATGGAATTCCAAGGGCTACGCTAGATAGTTTGAGTTCGAACACGAGCATTGTCGTCGCAACGAAATGCGCCAGGTGACGTTGTAGGCCGGACGGGTTGCACCGGAAACTGTCCCAGCGTGTTGTAACTATACCAGAGGAAAATGAGGCTCTGAGATACAAGTGGGACCAGCACAACCTTGGTGTAAACAAACCAGCGGGACCCGAACGAAGCGGATAGAACGGGACGGGGCAGTGTTGCACAGTACATATTATGTGAGGCGTTCTGGTGTCATGCAGGTCGGCAGGGTCGAGTTCGCGTGCTAGGTTGACACCATACCTAGCTCCATTCTAAAAGAAACAGAAGTTCCCAAAGTGAAAAGGGAAGGTATAGTCAAGCCAGACTTAGAAATTGGGCGTTCGGATGTCGGAAGGTTGGAGCCGGACAGAAATTGTGGAAGCGAAAAGGTGTCACAAGGGCATGGAGGTTGACGCGGCCCTGCGACGGACCTGCTTAGGGAACGGCTTGATGCTACTTTGTGCGAAACGTGAAATAAGTAGCTTGCATTGGGGATGGGCAAGGGATGGGAAAATTGGGGCAGGAGAGACGAGGCGACGGGGAAGAGAGAGGATGGGACATATCGCTTGGGTTAGGGGGAGGGGGCATTGGCGACCCTCGCTAGACTCGTGGCTGGGCCTCTACAAGTACTTGGTAGGACTTCGAACGGGATGGTGACTATCACTTGGTACTGAGGAGGCGGTGCTTAGGACGAAACTTACTGACCTCTCACCTTCACCACTGGTCACGGTTGTCCACTCAGACGTGCAGAGTGAAGGCTAGTGAGGCTTCCTCCCGGCCTCCCCGTCAAGAAAGGGCGCCGAGGATGCTGCCCCTCGGCAGTGTTAGCACTTCACCCTCTGGACTGAGCTCTACTTGGTACAGGTCTCGCTTCTCTCATCGTCGAGCTCACCAACGTCATTTCCACGTGGCACAGATTCCCATGTGCACGAACTTGCACCACGCCTCTACGAGTACCAATTGAGCACCTGTGCCTCTGTTGTCTTTCACGTGTCGGTAGGTCAGTACACACAGTCCAACAGGTCAACCCTGGGACCATAATTGACTCAAGTGCATGACCCCCAAAGCTCTTCGCGCCATGAGCACAGCACAAGCCCCAGAAGAAGCTCCACCCAATGCTGGCATCGAAGTCGACGAGGATGAAGCCGACTCGGCCCTGGGAGACGACGACATATCCACTTACACCGAGACGGTCAGGTCGAGTCTCTTCCAGGGTGTCCAGGAAAATGGACGTCTCTATCACAGGTACGGGGACAGCCTCTACATCCTTCCCGAGGATGAACGGGAGCAAAAGCGCCTCGACATGCAGCACGTCATGTTCCTGAGCGCACTCAAAGGGAAGTTGGTTCTAGCGCCTATTGAAGAAGGCCGGGTCCATGAAGTCCTCGACCTCGGAACGGGGACAGGAATCTGGGCCATCGAGTTCGCCGATGCACATCCCGAGTCTCTCGTCCTGGGAATTGACATCAGTCCTATCCAACCACGCTCAATACCGCCAAACGCAAAATTCGAGGTCGATGACTTCGACCAGCAGTGGACTTATAACAAAAAGTTCGATCTGATTCACGCGCGGATGCTACTTACCGCGAGCGCGGATTTTCCTAGGTTATTTCAACAATCTTTTGATGCCTTGCGGCCTGGCGGCTGGTTCGAGATCCAGGACTTGTATATGCCGCTGCTGTGTGACGACGGTACAATGCAAGGAACCGCCCTGGAGGAGTGGAACGATATATACATGGAAGCTTGCAGGAGAATCAAGCGCGATCCATCATGGACCGCCAAGTACAAAGACTGGTTAATCCAAGCAGGATTTGTCAACGTGAGAGAAGAATTGTTCAGGTGGCCAGTCGGCCCCTGGGCCAGAGATCCCTACCTCAAAGCCATGGGTATCTGGAATCGGGCGAATATGCTCGAGGGCCTGGATGGGTTCACTGTGCGACTGTGGACGATGGCGCTCGGCATGACGCCCGAAGAGGTGCAGTTGTTCCTGGTGCAGGTGAGGAAAGATCTCAAGGACCGAAGAATCCATTCGTACTGGCCCATGTAAGAAAGGATCCAGAGCCCCTCTTTGCGGTAAATCCTGCTAACCTGATGGCGCTGGCAGATATGTTGTCTATGGTCAAAAGCCCGCCCCATGAGAAGTTGGGGAGTGTCGATTGTGCATGAAATATATTAATTGGGTGCACAGGACCACCCAATTTAGCCTTGGTTATTATCTTGTCAATTGATTGACTGTCGCCCCGCATCGCCTGCATATGTAGCTATCTTGCTCAAACTCGCTACATACAGGCTAGCCAAGGGAGGTGGTGGCCTCCTTCCGCAGTCAGTTAAAATAGGTCGATTTAAACCACCACTGCTACGCTACCTTGTGTTACACAGCTATCGGCGGCTTGAATTTCTGCCAGCACATGTTTCATTTTGAACGTGTGTAGGCATCAAAGAATCCTCTCCTTAAAGGAAAACATGGCCACTCTTATTGCTGGAAATCTTGTCGGCTATCTTACTTTGTTTCTTGTACTCGTGCTGTTCACTTATGTAAGGTCGTGGCAGCGGCTGAGGCACATCCCAGGCCCGCCGTCGTGGGGCTGGTCCGTGCTCCCGCTCTTCAGACTTCATGTCCACGGCGCCATCTACGACAAGTTCGGCGAGCTGAACCGCCAGTATGGACCGCTCGTGCGCATCGCGCCCAATACACTATTGGTGGCCGATCCGGACGTCTTGCGGCGCATGTCGGCCGTCCGGTCGCCCTACACGCGGGCAGACTGGTACATCGCCATGCGGCTGAACCCGGGCCAGGACAACGTGCTGGCGCAGCGGGACGAGGAGAAGCACGACGACCTGCGCCGGCGCATGATGGCCGGCTACTCGGGCAAGGAGAACCTGGCGCTGGAGCGCGACATTGACGACTGCGTGCTGGACCTGGTGCGTCTGATCGAGCGCAAATACCTGCCTTCTCCAGGACGAGAACACCAGCCCGTACCCATGGACCTGGCGCGCAAGATCCAGTTCTTCACGAGCGACGTCATGAGCAAGCTGTCGTTCGACGCAAAGTTCCACGACCTGCGTGACGACAACGACAACTTGGGATACATCCACGAGGTCGAGACCATGTTCCCCAACATCTTCTGCACCTGCACGATCCCCAAGGTGATAGAGTTCCTGACGAACATTGGCTTTCTCGGCCTGTTTGCGCCCTCGGCGAACAGTAAGCTGGGTCTGGGCAAGGTCCTGGCAATCACCAGGGAGCAGACGGCCAAACGCTTCGACAGTGAGGGCAAGCCCAAGGGCGACTACAACGACATGCTGGGCAGCTTCATACGACACGGCCTCACCAAAGAAGAGGCTGAGTCGGAAAGTGTCATGCAATTGTATGTTTTGTCTTTGCACTTCGCGGGCACCACGCACTGACGACAAGGCTGTAGGGCTGCTGGATCGGACACGTCTGCTACAGGCATGAGGGCAACGCTGCGCTGCATCATATCGTCCCCAATGGCGTACGTGAAGCTCATGGTGGAGATTGACGAGGCGATAGCGAGTGGCAAGATACCGTCGGATGAGAACCAGGTGGTCTCGAATAGCAATGCCAAGGAACTGCCGTATCTCCAGGCGTGCATCAAGGAGGTGAGCATAGAAAACCCTATCCCAGCCGAGGACATGCATTGACACGTACTCCTCAGGGTCTTCGGTGGTATCCACCGATCGCGGGGATGCTTGCTAAGAAGGTAGACGCGAACAGCACGACAGTAAGTGGAAAAAAAAAAAAACAAGACTGAGTCATTCCCTAGGTTCCTCGGGCCGGCGACAAGGTGTGCGGCTATTTCGTCCCAGGAGGTACATCTATGGCGTAAGTCTCATGTGACGGGATGATCTTCAGTAGGGCGAGGGTACTGACGGTTATCGGATAGCTATTCAGCTAAAGCAGTGCACCACTCAGCGGCCTTGTTTGGTCCCGACGAATACGCTTTCCGACCAGAGCGCTGGATATTGACCAAGGATGGCGGCGATGAGCCATCTGTCGAGAAGCTCAAGGCCATGGAGCAGAACAACGAGTTGATTTTCGGATATGGGAAGTACCAATGTCTGGGCAAGAGCGTTGCCTTGATTGAATTGAACAAGATCTACGTCGAGCTCCTGCGGCGCTTTCAGTTCAGCCTGATGGACCCATTGGATGTGTGGAAGACCAAGTGTTTTGGGATACATCTGCAGAAGGACATGTGGGTGACCGTCAAGAGACGGCCGAAGGAGTGAATACACTGTCGAGGACAATTTAGCCGAGCAATGGTTTAGCTGATGACGATTACACCAAGTACATACTTCGTATGTCGATGGACAATGCATGCTGCACGCAGGGCTGAGCAAGAGTCTTGGGACAGCGGAAATGGCCGGGGGACTTTTGAAGGACTTTTTCTGGCTCAGCGGAAGGGGTTAGGAGGACTAGCAAAGACTGTAACAAGTACTGTAGGCAGGGGACGCCGTTATGCCGGTATACTTGTACGGACAAGCGAGAAGGGATAAAGTGGTACCCCTCCTTGCCCTCCTCTCCAGGCTGTGCTGAGGGCTGGTGAGCCACATCTCTACTGGGTACTCGGTAAGCCGGGTCCTTTCCACACCATCGTTTTCATTATCGCCGGCCACACTCTGGCAAGGCGCACTTGAAGAGCCACTGACGCCGTCCGCGTGGTCAGCTGGTCGGCGTCAATGGTTGATCATGATGACACTGATGGTAATTTCCCGGAACTCGAATGCGGCATGGAGAGACGATGATGACTGGGCTTGAGTAATTCCTGCAGGACCAAGGGCCAAGGGCCCAGGGCAGTGAGCACAAGTGGGAGGTGACTGCAACATGCAATTGCTGCTGCAGCTGCTGCAGCTGCCGCCGCTTGTGCAGAGCGTCGTTGAGTGTCCCACTGTTCGACCGGTGTGACAAGCGGCTCCCAATATCCACCAATGGCTGGGCGCCCTGGCGACTGTCCGCCGTTGAGGCGAAGCAGGCAGCCGGCTACAGTAGAGTCCCTCGTACCCAGAATGGACACTGCCTCGCCCGGCCTCTGGGGTGGCCTCTGCCCCGAGCCACCCCCCCAAAACATGTTTGTTTCACTGTCCCTCCTTGCCCTCCCTCCTACTCTCCCTTTGCCCCCCCCCTTCCCTAGGTCTCTTTATCACCTTACCCAGGCTTGCCCAGGGCCCCAAGTGCCCCCCCCCCTTTGGCCCCAAAACAATGGTTCATGCCTGTTTCCCTCCCCTCGGCGGCCCTCCCCACCCTGCCTCGGGTCAAGCACCGCTGTGGCCTATCGTGACTCACGCCCTGCGTCGTTGCTCGTCCATCTGATGTTTGTCTTGGCCCTTGTGGCAGCCTGGCGATTTGGTCTCTTCTTGTCCCTTCCGACTCCACTGATTTCCTGTTGTGGTTTGGCCCTTCGCCAGGCTTCCAACCAAAGGTCCTTGCCTGCTTCCGAAAGTGCATCCTTCGATATGCTCGACATTGCACCGATGTGTCCTCACCACAATTGGCTCATCCCACCTCAAGGCTATATCTCCTCGATCCTCCCCTCATGTTTGCTTCATTGAATTCTTTCACTTCCACCAACACTTCCCATATTGGCTCCATCTACTCCATCACTCATCCAGTCTTCCACAGGCGCGTTGCCCCCTACCTTGTCGCAGTCGACCAGGCTGCCGATCCACCACCACCCATTCCATCCACACGTCGTCACGCTGTCGCCTCCACGCTCAGTCACCTACTACTATTACCCGAAGCGACCTCATGCTTCAGATATATTGAACCCGGCCTACGAATACATCACCATCACTCGTGCTCCGAAAAGAGACCAGAGTCGCATTCAAACCCCACCGTCGACACCTCCATTGAGTTTCTCCTCGACCCCGTCGCCCATTCTCAAGTCTCCCTCAACCCCAATTGACAAGATGGCCAGAGGAACCACCACCCACAAGGTCGACTTCGCGACCGAGGTGGTCTCATGTCGCGAGCCGCGCGACGACGAGCTCTCGGTCATGGAGCATTTCGCCAAGCACTCGGCCAGATGTGAATACTGTCGCGATCCCTACACTGCCTACCGGGAAGACAGACCCTTGTGCCGCAAGGGCTTGTCCTATGCAAAGGATGTGGCAACCTATCTCTACGCCAAAGGGGGGAAGCCCTTCTCTCGCATCGATAAAGACAACGGCCAACGTGTTCAAGTCCTCGTCCCCGCCGGTTGTGAGGTCATCGGCCTTCTGATCAAGGCCTTTGACAAGGGGATGAAGCTCGACTCGTCCAGAGTTGTGGTGGTCCAGAACACGAAGACACATGAGACTGTTGAGAAGCCCATCAAGGTTGTCTCACCTTCCTCTCCTTCCTCACCCTCCTCACCCTTGAGACGAAGAGAGTATCACGAAGACCGACTACGGGAAAGACGCTATGTCCGGGACGACTACGATGTGGTTGAGATTATCCCCCACTCTAGTCGGACAGACAGACGGGAAAGAATCGTCTACCGTGATGACCGTGTCGACAACCGAACCCGGTATGAAGAACGGAGAGAGAGGCCCAAGTCAACCATCTACACTGGTGGAAAGGGCAGTCTGTATGTGCGAGATGAAGAGGAGAGGAGACGGCGAGAATATCGCCAGCCTGTTGTCATCGTCACCGAACCAGGCCAGCGGTTTACAACTCGGCGGTGAACGGCTCCGGCGTTTTAGGGGAGTTTTGATGGTTTGGATATGGGATTATGGATCTAATGGAATGTATCAACAATGACACCAATATATCGACCACAGCGAAGATGACATCACATGAGATGGCCATCTCGAACACGCCGTGAGTGACAAACACCACACAACTGGATGGTCCAGCGATGAACCGATACGAAAGGGGAGCACGACTTGCAGCAGTCCAGCCGAACTCAGGCTCGCCAGTACTGCCGTCAGCATGATTTTTTTTTGACAGCAGGGGTCTGTTGGTCGTCTTGGTTCAGTCATTTTGACCCAGGACACTGTTGGTCTTTTTGCACTTTCATGATTGTCTCGTTACGTCATTGCGCCAAAAATTTATCGACAATTCACCAAAAAAAAGAGAAGTGCGCAATTGTTTTGGGTTGAGATTACTCATCTACTTTTGTGGCAGTCATCTCCCTTCTTGAGGTGATGGAAAAACTCTTGTGTCCCTAACAGTGAGGGGGCCGAATTGTGGACAGATGATGGACATGACACGATCGGGACAGCATAGCATTGTATTGCGGCAATTGTGAGGCAATTGTGAGACGTGATGCAATATTGCTGTCGAGGCAAGGCTGACTTTTTGGGAGGGGGAGGGGACTTTGGGATGGTACATAGATAGTGCTATTCAGTCAAAATGTGAAGATTGATTTCCCGCCTTTGTGGCGGCCAATCCCCAAACGGTATTCTCTTGACTAACACGTACGCGTGACATGCGAGTGGTCGAGTGGTCTCCACTGTACTGTAATATGGTCAGACCATGATGCTTTTGGAATGGGGGCCAGGAAGCTAAGCTGGTGGGATTTGGGCCTGGCCTCGCTGGGTCTGATGTGGCGTCCGAGGCTGTACACGAGGCTGAGGAGTTCGATGTTTCAGGCTTTCCAGCCACCGACTCTGTGGCGGACACGCGCCACTACTGTACAAGTAGTTGGCCTCATGGAGAGAGGGAGGGGGAGGGGGAGGGGTGTTGAGGACTAATGCCTACCACATTAGGCACAAATACCCTAATGAATCCCACTTGGCCCCCATTCCTACTTAGGTAATAGGTACCAACTGACTAATTCATGGTAACGCGTAGTATTTCATGGTGTCGCATGTGTCCTCGACTCGACTCTTTGTGCCCTTGACGAGCTGAGCCTCAACTAGCCCTGGGCCCTGAGCCAGCAATGCAAAGAGAAGAGCGTCCAAAAGTCCCCCTTTGCCCCACCACAACCACCCACCGTGCCCTCCTGGGTGCCCTCCCACCTCCCCAATATGTACTTAGTACCTCGTACCTAGGTGCCACTTCGACCGTACAGGGGGATTGTTCACCAAAGTGTGTGTGCTCATTTGTACCATTTGTGCATGTGTGTTACTGTATCTAAGTACACATGTATACATGTCTGTCTTTGGTGCGGAGGCCTTACACTAGGACATTCGCCGAGAGGGATTCCTTTGCAACCCCCAGCAGACACGAGATAGTTGCGGGACGTATTGTAGATTTGTAGACCTACTCAAGTACATCGTGAGGCCAGGACGGGGTTCTGAGACACAAAGACAAAGGCAGTGCACTAGTTATATGGGATATCTTCCGTGACATTCTGTATTCCATACTTGGAATCCTGCCATGCACCGAGTATATTATTAGTTTCCTTGTTGATGTCCCAAATCGTTGTTCTGTTGCATTGGACGACAATGTAGCGTTCCCCTAACTCCATCGGGCTTGTGGAAACGGGGAACAGTCCGCTGCCACAAATGCAAAATGCAAGTGCAAATGCAAACAGGGAATAAATAGCACTGTATTAAACCCGCTCTGTCAATGAATTTTTGCTAACATCCGCTTTCGTCGTTGCCGGCCGTTTGTGGCGATGCATGCATGGTAACAAGTCCTCGCACAAGTCCTCGTGTGTCTTGTCTCCCGCAAAATCTCCGTAACCAACCCCTCTCCCCGATTTTGAGGGTGCATGAACTAGCAAGTATTGGCTTGGGGCCACGGTCATGAGAAAACAACACCACGGGCGAGTCTTGGTTGATCCATATTCCCCAGCTAGTCCGACCACCTCACCTGCTTCTGCTGTTTCGACATTTCGTTAACTTGTGTTTTTTGAGTGTTGTCTGTACCCTCAGTCATCTTATGAGCGGTCGAGAATGCCAGAGCAGGGGCAAGGTTATTTGGCGTGTTGAGGAATCTAGAGACTACAGTACAAAAACCAGTACATCCCTGCTTGGAGTCAGGCGCTTTCCCTGCTGCATATTTCTTCGGGTTCGAATGGAGTGACTTTGATTGCTCTCCTCCCTCCCCATTTGACGAGTTGAACCGCTCAAGGAGCCACCTCAGACCGGAAAGGAGACGTGTGAGCTTCTCAATGTTGCCAAAGGCTTCCAGGCGCAGTCACTCCTGCTGTCGGACGCTTCTCACTCGCTTGCTTCGAACTGCCTCTCTGCTCTATCTGCATGGACCACTCTCGGGGCACTGGTATTCTGCTCATGGCTAATGTCCCATTCAATCTGTACCCCCATGGAGTCACATCAAGGCACAATTCAGAGTATCATGACTCCGTCCTTACGAAGCGGTCGACGTTGTTGGAAAACTGCTGCCTTCGATGCATGACGTGACTTCTATGTGGCCGGTGACCTTCCAGGCCCCCAACAAATACCTCAGCATGGAGGGGGATTTTCGAACTGTTTCCATGGCTACTATTTCCACTGCATTTTGTCGCCCGTTCTGAAGCAACGAACCCGTGATCTTCGCTGCAATCCAATAGGGGAAATGCCTCGCCCCCCATAAGTCGTGTTCTACTACCAGTTCGGTGAGATTCTGAGATGGACACCTTTGGACACCTAAACCACACAAATCCCTTGGGGACTTTGGCTGTGGAATTATCGCCAAGGATCAAACTTCTGCATCGCCGTAACCGGTGGGTTTGGTCATGGATATTTCGGAGGCGGTCACGCCCTCTCGGCCTTGCGCAGTGCGTCAGCTGAGTTTGAGTTCGTGACAAATCGAGTGGCGCACGCGGAAATAGGCAGAGTCCTGTTCGAGGTATTCAGCTTGGGAATATCATTGCAAGGGACGGAATACTAGTCACAATGAGCGTCAAATGATCTCGACTGGCTTCTCTCGTGTGCAATGACGATGCCGCAGACCGACTCACAACCTGCGCCCACTTTCTGCCAGTGGCATAGATGCGTATCGCAGAGGGTCAAGCGAGGCTGTGATCGTATGTACGTGTTGACTGCAAGGGGGGGAAGGTATTGACATCCGCAGCACGGAGAATTGAGATATCGCCTGGCGTGTGCGCGAGAGAGGCGAGAGCAAGCAAAGCCAGTGCAAGGTTTTCCAGCTGTGCCCATGGCGATAATGATTTCACCGCTAGATGAACAGTGAGAAGGTGATCTCCAACAGAAACACCCCGTCAAGCTCATCCGCTGTGCCCCACTGTTGACCACCATGTCGCTGAGGGAGCCAGGGATATCGCACCTCTTATTCGTTAGTACCCATGGTTGCTCGAAAGGCTAGTGACGAGGCTGAGGGTACATATCGGCTTGGTCCTGCGCAGGCGCTATCCAAGCTGAATCAAGCGACGCGTTGGCCCAGAGCTCCACCAAATGCCCTCTCTCCTCATTCCTATGCCCTTTCGGTATGATATACCTCCTTCGTCTCTTGTAACCACCATAACGTTCAACAGGGGCATTTTCGCTTTGCCGTATCCAACAGGCCCAAGTGTCCTATACTATTCCATCCAGTATCCTTGGTGTCCAGCAGGATGCTCCACTTGTCGAGACAATGAAACACATTCGGCGATATCGGATCGTAGAGGGCCCTCGGCGTCCATTTGCCAGCCTGCCCATGCTGTTCGACTTTCTTCCGCGACAAATCCAAAGGGTAAGTTGTTGAAACTGACGATTGCGCACCGAGCTGTGAAAGTGAGAATCCCGTAGTCAACGGCGCGCTTCTAGTGCTCATTTTGCCCGTCCGGCTCAGCTGCCCCATGGCCACTCCACTTAGCTCGTAATGAACCGGAGAAGATAGATATCCGCCCCATTGACTGTCCGCGGATAATGTCCTATCTGGCCCTGCCAGCCGCACCATGACTAGAACGGAAAGCATTGCCTTCTTCGTAATCTGGGACATTCCCAATATTCCATATTGCGGGAAGAAAAGCCCTCCGCAGCCGCCTTCAGTGCGTTGTGGCGGATTTCGCTCCCTCCTCCCTGAAACGGTGATTTCTTCCGCATCTCTTCTTCTGTGCCTGGATCTCGATACGCCCAATTATGGGAACACCACATGGCGGTTGCCTTCCACAAGGGAGCGGCGTCGATATAGCGCTGCGGAAGGCCCCGAGCAAAACGTGACGGTAATCTCGATCTTGAAATCTCCGAAATGTAGCCCGAGAGTGCTTTGATGGTGTTGCTTTGCAAGCCAAAGGTCCTCTTCGTGTTCCATCTCACGTCGTAGGTATTATGCGCAGAGGCTTCCTCCAGTTGATCATAATATGTTGTGTAGAACCAAGACATCTCAAGCCCTTTCTATCTTTTGCCCAAGTGTCGGCACCACAATGAAAGTAGATCCCGTTGTCCGTGAAAATCAACAGCCTCGATGGGAGCTTCCCTTCTTGAAATGTCCAACTTCGAGATGTCCATGTTGTCTTCCCAAGGACTAGATCCAGGGACCGCTGTGCCAGCATAAATGTGCGCCCACCCACCTCAGCGGTAGTTGGAGTTATCCGAGGCGCTGCTGGATGGGATCGAGGCAACCCAGCGTCGCAATTAAAACCAGCGGCGTCCGCAATGGCCAGAACGGCCTGTTTGCAAACAATATCCATGTTGGCGATCGATGCGTTCAGTTCGTCAATGTCGTCTTGTATGATGCGTCAGGAACCTAACCCCGATAGCGCAGACCCAAACGTTTTGTCACGTCAACTGCATCCATTAAAGGCCTTCGGATACGGGTTGAGCCCTTTGTATCAATACCTTGGACTGGTTCTTGCTCCTCGGAAGGCGCAAAGTGATGCTTTGGTTGTAGTAAGAACTCACCAGGGCATCGACCGTCCGCCGGTAATGACGCCGCCGTAGCTTTCAAAGGATTCAAGGCTCCTCCAGACGTAAGAGAGGGCACAAGAGCGAACATAGAGTGATCCAACAACGACTTCGAGGATTTCCACATCAATCAGACGGAGCTTAAAGGACGATGCCACCTCATCCAAGATATCTGGCGGCAGCGTACCCTCACACTCTCCTCTATGCTCGGAGTGGCACATCTCCAGCCAACCCACGAACAAGTCAGGCCGTGCTCCTTCATCGGAAAGAAGTCGCCCACCTCTAGATTTCAACTCTTTGGGGAGATGTTCGTCGAGGCACGTCAGCTCCAACAGCTGTTCAAAGTCGTGACACATCTCATACTCTCCGAACCGCCCATGATAGCGATCGAAGATATTGGCTCGCGCAGGAAGGCAGCACCGGTTTTGTCCCTTCCGTCGAGCTTGTACATATGCCGCAGGCGGAAAGTCTCGAGTCCCCACTCCGACGGTGTCCCTTTCAAGACATGCGGCCACTCAATGCTGGAACCATTATCGCAGAATGACGTTGTATCAAAATCGAACTCATTGTCCGAAGATTCTACGTGCGGATTGCTGGAAGGAGGTGACATAGCCTCGCGTCGCCTGGTGAATTTCCTCGACCGGTGCCGCGCGATTTTCCCCGTAACTGTGGACAACAAAACAGGCGCAGGAAGCGATATGATAGAGGAGTATTGTTCCCTGAAGAGTCAAATAGTTGGGAACTTTGAGGCAGGAGATGATAGAAACATATCCCGGGCTGTATATTGAATACGAGGTTCGGATATGCAAGCGAAGGCAACCGCATCTTTTGTCACCTCTTCCTCACAACTTCAATCGAGGTCTCATCTCGGATGGCAGCTGTTGTGGGATTTCTGGGTGCTTTGAAAGTCCTTCATGGTGTACGAGAGCAAACGGTAAATCGGGCATTTTACAACTTCCACGTGACATTTACAGTTGGGTTTGCAGGTGAATGGCTGGTATCCATGATCAGCAGAGTTCGAAGCCTGAGTTCTTTTGATATCGGATTGTAAGCCGTTCGCCATGAACGCCGGTGCTATGCGATGCTGCCTCGAATTTCCTGACCTTTCTCAGACGTGTAGAAACGTACAGACTCCGGCAGCCTCGAGGTGTTTCCCACCCAAGAAGACATGTCAACTAGGATCTCTTCTTTCCACGGCCTGGGTTTGCCGCTCACCTCCGTCTGATGCTGGCTGTGTATGTAGCACCAGCCAGTACCTAACCGGTCTCAGGTTCCTCTTCCTTAGCCAGACCGTGTTCTTTAAGAAGGGTCATGATTTCGTCACCGGACCAGAGATGGTGGTATATCTTGCCATCTTTGGTCTTTCCCACGGTAGCAAACTCGACTGCACAAGCACAGGTCAGCAGTTCTTCTTTTGCTGAGAAGATGAAGTGGCACCAAAAACTCACTTTTCTCACTGCTCAATTTCGTCGAGTCCATCGTCTTGCTCAACACCTTCACCGCCATGCCACATGCCTCCTTCAAGTCGCACTCCTCCTTGTAATCTTGCTTCAACAGACTCTGCGCACTGGCATTGTTTGCACCCACACTCGTAGCCTTCCACCCACCATAGTTGCCTGAAGGATTGCTTTGGTAGAGTTGAAACTGCCGTTGAGGATCCCAGCCTGCGTAGATGAAGGAAACACCAAAAGGTCGTAAACCGCCATGTTGCGTGTATCCCTGTTTCAAGTCGCACAGGCGACGCACCAGTTGTTCGCATGGGATGTCTTCGTTATAGGTTAATAGGTATCGCTGAGCGGCTTGTCGAGCGAAGTTGATGAGGATGTTGGCGTCGGCAGTCATTCCTGCTACGGCACAGATCATATTGCTACACGAGAAAAACAAGATCAGCATGTGGCTGCGCCTTCCAGAACTCGGTGTCCTAGGCCAAGAGACATACTCGTTCAAGATATACAGCTTCTCCGCCGAAGTGTCTTGCTCCAGCAGTTTGCTTGTGACTTTCCGCTCTGCGGCCAGGACTATGCCATCTTGCGCTAGTATACCCAAAGCTGTGCCGGCATGCGAGATGGCTTCGAGAGCGTATTCGACCTGATATAATCGGCCTTCGGGGGAGAAGATGGTCGTCTGGGAAATGAGTTAGCAGCTGCATCGATTGAACAACGGGCTGTGCGTCCTCAACGCATGAAAACTTACCCTCGAATCATATCGGCGAGACATTCTGAGCGACTGGTTGCGAGCGAAAACTGGAAAGATAGCAAATGCGAGCTCAAAATGAGTAGATGCAAAGGTAGATAGAGAGAAATAGTTCAGAGGATTGAAGCAGCGAGCAGGCACGGCTCTCACGCGTCGCCCGCCTTTCAGCCAATCATATCCCTGCAATTTTCTCCAGAAACTGGCGGCCAAAGATGAGTAAAACCTGGTCGGAGGTCACGTGCGACTTGCCTTTCCTGTCACCTTTGTACCTACCTCGCTTACCCTCAACTGGGTACCCAGTACTCACCCCCTAATTCTAAACTACTTTACTACGTATACCGCCGACGAGTATCTAAAATCAGCGGCGTACTAATGAGTCCCTCTATTACGCCTTTTCGACTTTTAACTATTTTCTACCTGTCAAGGGATCCCCTGCATAGCCAACTTCGCTGAGTAATTTCTGAGCATCCCCGAATATAACTATTCACGGCCTCGGGCAGAACTGTACTCTGTTGATGGGGTGAATAGCTGTGATTTTCATACGGATTGGCATACCAGAGCCTATAGCACTGCTTGTTTGTACACAGATAGACGTTACAGCCAACTCAGAACGTGTAAACCTACCTAGGGCGCCCATTCGGTCCCGCCTGAGTTACCGCCCACCGCAACGCCCCCCTCGTGCTGTGTAAGCCCTCTGGAACCTAGGTTAGCTCAAGATGCCCGTGAGAACGCCGTTCTGGGTTCATAATTGTATATAAAATGCCCACTCCCCGCTAGTGAGCGCCAACGCTGCTCATTTCCTTGTATTGGCTCACGCATTTATGCCCCAAGCAGTGGTCGCACCGCGTACAGTCTGATATATCTGAGGCAGTGATTCTTGACCTGTCGAGTATTCGAACCAGATTCTGGACCGCCTTCCAATTTGCTCTGCCACTGCGACACTCTACATGTCCGGAATTAACACCATTCGGCTCTCCACCCGTCCATTGTGCAGGTCTTCCAAGAGACGCGGGAATTCGCTCAACGGCGCTGTTTTTACTTGAGGTTTAACCACGCCTTCTGCAATCAGCTTCAACCCATTCTTGATGTCGCATGCACTTCCGCCGAAGCTGTACAGAATGCTGAGCTGCTTCTGAAGGCTGGTGGCGTTATCAAGGCTTAGGTGCATTGCCTGGATTCCCACTACAACAATCGTCCCCCCACGTCGTACTGGATCAATGTCAGGATATGCTTGATGTCTTCATGCATGGGTAATGCCTCTGGGAAGGTGAATTGTAACTCACCAATGCTCTGGGATATGGTGAACAATTCTTCATTGCCAACAAAATCCACCACAGTATCAATGAGGATGTTCTTGGAGGCAATCAGCTCCGAAAGCGTTTCGATGCTAGTAAAGGTATTCTCGCGTTGTACGCCGAAGATGATTGCTTGATCCAATACCTCCTGCCTCTTATCCAGGACGTAAACATTTGCCCCGAGCCAAAGCGACAGTTGAAGGGCATTAAATCCCAGCCCACCAATTCCCAAGATTAACACAGTCTCGCCTTTCTTCAACTTTGCCCTGTTGACGATTGCATTGAACGGTGTCATCAAGGCATCTGTCGAGGAAGTAGCCAGAGTAGCCGGCACCCCTGTAAAATCATGGTTGGTAACCTTGTCGGTTTGAAAGCTCAAATTGCAAAGGGATCGAGTGCCTCTCACCTTGAGGGATAGGAACGGCGGCGTGGGCTTTGATTGCAACGTAAGCCGCAAAGGACCCGTCGTCCCTGAGCCCATACTGTTGGCCACGAGGACATAGCTGTGCAAGATCACGGGAGCAATCTGCACAGTCCGGGGCGGCACAACCGGGAACAGACAGAATCGCGACCATGTCTCCCTGAGGAAGCCTCACAGTCATAAATGGAAACCTAATCAATGCTCAAGATGCTCACTTACGATCTTCAGGTCGGAGGTAACTTTTCCGCCAATCTGGGCGATCTCGCCAGCGCCTTCGTGACCCTATTCAGGTACATGGGTCAGCCGGCTAGGACCTTTATCTTGACTTATACACCAACAGCCTTACCGGTGTATAACGATTGGGAAATCCCGGCCGTTTCAGGGTTGAGGCCAGCAGAGTGTAGTCGCTGTGACAAACTAAACAAGAAAAGTCAACACCCTCTCCAGAAATCTGCACTCCTCAGAGCTCGGTTGAGTCGGGCAACTTACTTCCTGCAGCGTGGACCTTAATCAAAAACCCATCCTCCGGAGCGGATGGCACGGGCACTAGGGTTTTGACCTTGGGCCAAAAGCAGTCGTTAGCAGGCCTGTTATACTCCAGAAACACATGTTCAAATACTCCCGCATTCATACAGGCTTGGTTTCTCCTGCAACCTTCTGCCATACAAACATCGTTTTTGGAATCTCAGCCATATTGTAAAGGTCCTGACACCGTTAAATTTTCAGTGGTGGAAGTAAAGGGGTATATGTTGATGCGTAGTAAGGGTTTGGATGGAATTCACTGGAAATGGCTTGTTCAAGTTGGCGAGGCGCCTGGTGTTGAATGAACAATTCCCTAGAGCGAATGTGTAATATATGGCGCAAGGACATTCGTCTTCCCAAAGTGTGCATTTTGTGAATGCGGCATCGTAGTGGGCCAGACATCTGGGGACCAACCCTCCTCAGTCGGGTCAGTCTTCCTGGGAAACTGAAGCATCTCCGTGGTATGCTCTCGTTCACTCGCAGGGTTTTTCATGCAACTGCACCAGCGCTAGAAACCGCCGACTGAGCCCGTAAAAATAAACTCAACGTATGTTCTATCTCCGAATGAGAATGTCATCCGAAACTAAACTAGTCCCTGTAGCAGAAAAAGGTAAATGGTATTCTAGCTCCCAAAACTGGTAGTCTATACCTCGGATCTAATATCTATTGCCTGTCTCCATAGACCTTGACATGAGCCGGGCCGGGCCGGGTATTGAGTCCTGACCCGGCCCGGCTCAACGGGTTTAAGCCGGCCTATGTAAAGGCCTAGTTATGAAGAATTGTGTTGATCGACCATCGTGATTTTCTGAATGCGTTGCTGTTTAAAAAACACGACTAAGGTAAGAGCGCCCCGGAGAACCTTCATGCAATCAATATGCCCGCCTGCACTAAACCCGGATGTGAATTTGAATAAGTCCCGGCCAGAATCGCATTTGTCCTACTTGAGCGAAATGACTAAAGGAAGGCTAGACTGATACGAGTGAACGAACATGTTCAGTCCGCCGTCGGAGAACTCGTAGAGAGGTATGCCGAGCAAGGCTAGCACCCATTTGACTCTAATTTTCATTTTCTTGTTGTCCTTCAACGTGTCCGCACAGCGATGTAAGAACCGAATCGAACACTGTTACTTATTCACGAGGATGAAGTGGGGATGTGGAACTTGAAGCATTAGACAGCAGGTCCCGTAAACGACGAGCTAGTGGGGGGTTCGATGGCGATGTTTGACATGTGTAGAGACTCCAGGTCGACCGCACTCTCCTAGTTGAAGTTCTGATGCTGCCAACTAGATGGGGGTGATTAGACCACGCGGCTCGAAGAACTTGTCTTGCATGGTCTAAGAATCTATGTTATGGACTGGAACAGTGTTGCTGTTGAAGACGAGAGGCGTAAATCCAGGAAAGGCTACCCCGTTCTGTATCTTTCCCTGTTGTGCCTCAGTCGGGATCACTGAGATCTGAGCTCGTCAGGTTTCTCCAAAGAAAAGATGGTAGAACCGTTTCACCGAGATTCACAGTCGTGATGGGTGCAAGCCCAACGCACCTACCGAGAGGAGCCAGTGGACGAACGCTTCGAACATCACCTTTTGGAGTTTCCCATTTTCGACTTCTAGAATATCAGGTCCCTCCTCAGGTGCAGTCTCTTCTTCAGCTTCTCGTTCGACAGCCAGATCAAAGGGGGCGTCGTCCACCACTATCTCGACTGCGGCAGCATCTGATTCTTCCTGGATTCCTTTGTCCCGGCTTGCAGTGAGCTGAATATCTTCTCCTGCCTCAGAATCTTGTACGCTGCAATTTGTCTCGTTTGAGTGTTCTTAAATAAAGCCATGTCAGAAGTCGCTCTCAAGGATTTGTGTCGCTCCTTTCAACGCATCTGTCTACTGAATTACTCCAACCTGGGTCCACTATTTATTGGGAGGGAATATCCTGACGTCAACCCAGGAAGTTGTAAGCCACACGCTACAAGGGTTTTCCTCCTCTCTTCTTCTCTTGTCCTTATTTTATAATAATCATATGGGTTGTTTAATCTGACCACAATAGTTTCTGAGGCGGTGGCGAGCTAGATTTCGACAAAGCCGCCTTATGAACGGCAAAGAGTTCGACAGCCGTCTCCTGTGAGGATCACAACGCACCTGCTTCGCACAACGTATTTACGAGGGGACTCTAATGAGCGGTTTGAATGCTGTTCATACGGGGAGACAAAAGTAGAGACTGTCGAATGGTGGACCTCGTGGAATTCATGTCTCGTCTAACGATGGTTGATATGTATGTATGTATATATCTGATCATATCGTGCACCACGCGGAATCAGCAGATATGATCGCACCACTAATTTCCGAACTCAAGTCAGAAGCGAGGAAGACTATGATATTTGCTATGCTCTCAGGAGTGGCTCTGTTACGCCCTGGAATAACGCTGAGGTCGTGAGCTCCCTTTAAAACGGCCAGAGATGCCTGATCCACCTTGGACATGTCAATAGAGTCGGTAATCGCCGTCATAACGCCTGTCCCAAGAATCAGAATAGATATTGGTATCACTTTTGAAGAACGATCGCACGAATCTTGCATGCAATGGGATCAAGGCAAAAGGTTTCTGTACTCACCTCCAGGGCAAACAGCGTTGCAGCGGATGTGGTCGTTGCGAAATCTGAAAGCAACTTGTTTAGTGGCACCGATCTGTCACAATAGCGATCAATACTGTATACGTCTTGAAGAGGAGGTTCTGCAAACCGAAAAGATTGTCGATAGGAATAACATACCAACCCGTGCTTTGCTGCCGTATATGCCACACCGGTAACCGCTCCACTCAGCCCAGCTTTACTGGAAACGTTGACAATGCTGCCGCCACCACTTTCTTTCATGATGGGTACAATCGACCTCATCAACTTCACTGGGGCAGTGAGATTGATGGCAATGTTGCGATCCCATGCGGCGTCCTCCAGTGTATCGACACTGTTATAGCTGTCCATAATCCCAGCGATGTTCAATAGCCCATCGATTCGTTTGCCAAAGGCCTGAACACATTTCTCGGCAACCTTCGCAGGTATGTTGGGCTCGGTGAGGTCGCACTGTAAGAAACTGAAGTTCTCAAGCGAGGATAGTGCCTCAGGCTCGGGCGCAATATCGCAACCAAAGACTTTTGCCCTACTGTCGAGGAGGATTTTTGCGGTTGACAGACCGATCCCTGAGGAAGCGCCGGTAACAACGAAGATCTAGACGTCTAGATAAGTCAACGCACCAAAGATGCGACGGAAAACGCAACGCTTCGGGCCTTTGGTGGAGTTGTACTACCTTGTTCGCTAACCCTTCCATTGTCCCTTTATCTGTCCTTCGAAATTAGCTAGAGTGATGACAGTCAACAGATGCGGTTATATTAAAGAGGTTGAAGTTTTTATTTGCCCTGACGCGAAAAGTTCATGAAGAACTGATATTAGGATAGAGTTGAGGAACACGGAACATGACCTATTCCTCGCATACTGGATACGGAAAGGATTACGAGGCTCCTAGTAGAACGTATGATCAATTTGCAAGAAGCTCTTCTCCTGTGCCGTGTAGTATGATTCACGATGTGCACATGGATCTGAATTATGCTGTTGGAGCTTCCTAGTGTTCGGTGCTCTGATGAAACCGACTCGAGTTCCCCATTCGAGTACTTTAGCTTACAACGTGTGTACACTTGACTCTCAAAACTAAGGGTTGAATATTTGACACGGTTATTCGAGTCAGTTTGGAGCCAATACAGCTTACTCGATAAGCTGCGTCAGGGCTATACTCCTCAGTGATGCTAGTCATCTTAAAGGGCCAGACCAGTACCCCAGTGTCCCTGCGCTAAGGTAGCGCTAACTCCGCCCACATTTACCCTTTTCAGAGGTTATACCTGTCTCGAAAGGGTTAATTTAATCACTCAAGTCCACACCGAATCTTCGGGATCCCGAGATACCGCCATCCACCATGAGGCGTCGTATCAAAAATGATGCCTTCCCAAAGGCTCTTGAAGAGCATCAAGCAAGCCTTCTACATCCGCGTATCGAAGTCGACAGAAAAAGGGAAAGGAGGGTGAACCTAGGACTTGTTTGATCAACATGTTGGAACCCAAATTCTCTTTGCCAGATCGCTCCTATATCCATGGAAAATGGGTAGAATCATCAAAGAGAGAAACCTTGACACTTTATTCTGCCCACGATGACTCTGTTGTTCTCGAAGGTTGGCCCACACGGATCAGATTTCGTCTTCCAAACGATGGTCCTTGACGGCTTTACACAGGTCTTCAATGTGCAAATGCGGCAGATGTGGATGTAGCAGTCGACTCGGCTGAAAAAGCTCTTCCGGTATGGAAGGCTATGAACACGGTAAGACGACGCTCCCCTGTCGATGGTACTGTCGGAAACTGAGCAGGTCAATAGAGCCAGAAAAGAGCGGTATTTCTTCGATTTGCCGACCTGGTCGTCGAAAGTGCAGAGAGATGTGGATATCTAGAAGCTATCGTTGTGGGCAAGCCAGCATATTTCGCTGCTCGTGAAGCCTACATGGTAGCAGAGTGGTTCAGATGTGGGAAATTCCTTCCTTTCAATGGTTTCCTCCGCATAACCGTCGATCTAACCATCACGCTCTTAGTTTATGCCGGGTTTATCGACAAGTTCGGTGGTGAATGCCACCCCGCCGATCATGAAGGTTATCTGCGAGTAAGATTAAAGTCTATTCACTATGAACTGAAGACGCGCAACTAAGCATAGAGCCTCTAGCTGGTACGTCGAGAGCCTTACGGAATCTGTGCGTCGATCAATCCATTCAATGCTCCACTTTCCACGTTTGCCTTTAAGGTAGCTCCAGCTCTCGCCGCAGGAAACGTGATGATTGCCAAAGTCAGCGAGTATAACCCGCTGAGCACATTGATAATGGGTGAATTGGCGACCAAGGCAGGATTCCCTCCAGGCGTCCTAAATGTGATAGTAGGTACAGCTGAGGCAGGAATTGCTTTGAGCCATCATATGAAGATCCAGAACATCAGCTTCACCGGAAGTGTGGCCGTCGGAAAGCAAGTGCAGCTGGCGGCAGCGAATTCTAACTTGAAGACAGTAACTCTAGAGCTCGGGGGGAAGTCACCATTCTTGGTTTTTGAAGACGCTGATCTTGAGAAAGCGATTGCGAACTCGGCCTCAAATATTCTTACGCTGAATGGACAAGGTTGCATTCTCGGCACGAGAGTCTACGTCCACGAATCTTTGGCAGAGGATTTTGTTGCAGGCATGAAAGCTAAGATGGATAAATATTGTGAGACCCTGGGAAACAACCCACTTGATATAACAACAGCTTCTATGCCGCTGGCACACCGAGCGCAGCTGCAACGAGTTCTTGATTTCCTTGAGATTGGGAAGAAGGAGGCGAGTTGCGTCCGAGGCGGGGTCCGCTTCAGCACCAAGGGTTGCTATGTAGAACCCACGATCTTCTTCAAGCCTCCACCAGATGCAGAGATTGTGCGAAAAGAGATATTTGGCCCGGTTTTGTGCATCCTCACCTTTTCTACCGAAGAGGAGGCCATCGCTGCAGCTAATGATACCGAATTTGGCTTGGGTGCATACATCTTCACCAAAAGCATAGACCGCGCGTTGCGTGTCTCTGCTCAGCTGGAGGCAGGATCAGTCTGCATCAACAACACTGCTGTTGTTCATCCAAGTGTCCCATTTGGCGGATACAAAAGTAAGCGTTGACTCCTTGAGAAATTTAGTCTCTTTTTCCCTGTTTCCATTACTAACTCGTGTCGACAGGCAGCGGAGTCGGCCGTGAGAATGGCATATCTGCACTCCATCACTTCACACAGGAGAAATCTGTTATCATCAAGTATGAGTAGTTCAGGAGCATCTAGAACAACTCAAGGAGCCAACTCGCGAGTGCGGATAGAAGCTAACCCGTGTTCAATGGCCACATTTCAGGTCGGCGACGATAAAGCTGATCCTTGGTAGTTACCAACAACTATGCTCTCAAGGTGCTAGCATCTATCAAATTGAAGTCTGGTGAACTGATTAATCATTTTGTATTGTTTCCGAAGGCTTCGTTCATCATTGGTAGGGGACAATACCGGGAAGTTTTCTTTAGTTGAGCAAAAGCGTTTCCTATTCAACCATGTTTAACAGGCACCTTTCTGTTAGGAAGAGATATTTCATCTGAGCTTCAAGGAGAAACCAGCAGCAGCAATGACAGGTTTAGGATTCGAGAAACGAATCAGGAGCTCTATGGCTGAGATTTACAACTCGGCTGGAACAAGACTAAAGTTGTCTTCACGCACAGGCGAAAGACGAATAAATTCCGAGTGTAAACAGCCCCAACTCCTAATCACTCAGAGAGAGAGAGAGAGCCGTATCGCACCGGATCGGGAACCCTGCTCATAAGTGGAGAGCTATACTAAGTCATGAATGTTAAAGCATTACTTTTTTACGAACCCTCATTGAGGGTCCGCGGAGTGTTTATTGAACCTCTACCGTCTTCTGCCTAGAAGGAAATTTGATATCTAATTGTGTGCTACCCGGTTTATCCGACGCGCCGATCTATATTCATTCGGTAAAGCGGACTCGATTGCAACTATCTGAACCATCAAAAGGCATCAATCAGATTGCCCCGGCAGAATCAATTACACGTCAATAAGACCTGAGATGGTGTCTCTGTTACACAGTGAAATGAGATGTCGGGCGGAACATCAACAGGCCAAGTCTAACAGTGTTCTAGACGCAAAAGCGCTTTGTCGTTCACGCGAGTCAGTGTATACTTGTGTCTCGGCCATATCGGCAATAAGCATTAACAGGCACAATTACGTTATGATAGCCCTTGCATCTACTAGCTAAGATCATGTCTATGGAACGATTTACAATGGCTGGAACCCGAGATTTCCAGAAGTCTCGGAGAACGGTCCGTTAACACTTCCTTGTCCAGGGGCCTTCCCGTAGGCATTCGAACTGACACGTGTGCGATCTCATAAGAAGGGGTGATGCTAATCGACTACGCTGATCGGCACCACAAGTCCAACTGACTACATACGTTCTTTGACCGATGATCTTTCATTTGGTCATTGTTCCTTCCTATTTGTACTCACCTAAGACCGAGACATGGGTGAATCGAAAGACGCAATACCTTCGGGCAATGCAGAGAAAATCGGTCCAATATGCTCAACTGAAGCCTTTCTCGTCGACTGGGAGGGGGATGACGATGCGACAAACCCGCTCAACTGGTCACGAAAAGCTAAGGCCATCATCACAATTTTGGTTTCTTGTCTCAGCTTGCTCACGTACGTTGAGACCGTCCTTCCTATCCCTCCTTCTTGCGGCCTGGGCGCTGACGAATATCTAACCCAAAAGGCCGCTCGCATCATCCATGTTGGCTCCAGGTGTACAGCAACTTGTGACCGATTTCGATATCCATTCGGAGTTCTTGATCACTCTTGTCATCTCAATCTACCTCATCGGATATGCCGTGGGTCCTCTCGTCTGCGCCCCAATGTCTGAACTATACGGTCGCCAAGTCGTTTACCACATCACGAACGTGCTCTTTACGATTTTCACCATTGCGTGTGCATTAGCACCGAACTTGAACATTCTGATCGGTTTTCGTTTCCTGGCTGGCGCGGCGGGAAGCGCACCGTTGGTCTTGGGTAGTGGGGTTATTACAGACATCTACCCGAGGGAAAGGAGAGGATCAAAGTTGTCCACTTTCGCTATGGGTCCGTTGCTGGGCCCAGTAATTGGTAGGTACCAGCAACGCCGAGGCTGCATGATGAACAAGGCTAAGTATCGCAGACCCTATAGCAGGCGCATTTCTGTGTCAGAAAATGAGATGGCGCTGGGTTTTCTGGGTTCTTACCATTGCCGTACGCTCATGTGCTGAATCTGTACAGAGCCGATTTCATGCTGATCTGTATCAGGCTGGTGTCATGACCTTGTTGTGTTTCGCCTTCCTCAAAGAGACATACGCGCCCGTGCTGCTTGAACGCAAAGCGGCTAGACTCAGGAAAACTAGTGGGGATAGTTGATATGCTCCAATAGCGGGCCCCAAAGGCAATTCTCGACAAGCTCTCTGGTCAGCGCTGATCCGGCCCACGAAGATGTTTTTTCTGTCCCCCATCGTACCTCTCTTTTGCGTAGGAAATCTAGATCCTGGTGTACTTTCTGGCTTGAGCTGACGGGGTTAGATCTATATCGGTATCGTCTACGGCTACATGTATATCCTTTTCACCACATTCACCGAGGTCTATGAACACGTGTACAACTTCAGCGCTGGCATTGCTGGCGTTCCGTTCATAGGCATTGGCCTCGGAATGTTCGGTGGTCTCTGGGTATTCAGCGCGACCAGTGACAGACTTATCAGGAGAGAGATGGGCAAAGGTAACGTTCCTCAGCCAGAAGTGCGCCTACAGGGTATGCTTCCGGCTGCCATTTGCATTCCAATAGGGCTCTTTTGGTATGGTTGGAGTGCAGAAAAAGGAGTTCATTGGATTATGCCGATCCTTGGGACGGTGTGGATTGGGTATGGGATCATCGGAATTTTCGTAAGCGAAGAAAAGAACCCTTGCCTTGGTCACACAGGGCAAGGAAATGCTGATAGAAGAGTCCAGATAGCTGCTCAGGCCTACCTCATCGATTGCTACCCTCGATACGCTGCCTCGGTCGCTGGCGTGATCACTGTGGTGAGGTCGGCTCTGGGCGCATTTTTACCACTAGCAGGTCGACCGCTTTATGCAAAGTTGGGCCTTGGATGGGGAAACTCAGCGCTTGGGTTTGTCGCATTGGCCATGGTTCCATTACCACTCGCACTTGTACATATCGGCGAGCGACTACGAACCAGTCCCAGATTTCAAATTAGTCTTTGAGTCGTAGAGAAATCGTCAAGAATGCTTACACCATCTAAGAGTTTAAGCCGCTCGAGACCACAAGCGGAGAATTTGTACGTCTGCAATGAATCTTCGGCCAACAGTCTGGCTTGTGAAGCGGTGGTATCGTATCGTCGAGATTCGCAACAATTGGTAGGATGGGCGAATGACATTACCACTTCAGGTAGACTACTTCAATCTTCAGTCCTCTGTCAAGTCAATGCTCATTGGGACATCTACGTGGATAACTGTAAACCCTGTCATGGATGTGTTCTCAGATTTCGCCGCAGCGCTTTCAAGGGGTTGACCAGACTGGTAGGCAGTTTCGAGATGTTATGTTCTCCTCAACCAACATGAACGTTTCCGCCACTGCAGACATCGGACTGATTAGCAGACCTACACCGCTGTTAGGAATTGCCATCTTCTTCTGCTGTAGATAGGATTGATGTGAGGTTTGGCCTATCCCTATTTCTCCCCAGGAACATCGGCTGCTTCTGAGCTTCATTAATCTCGATCTCTGGCTGAATGACACTGGGGCCTCACCATAATCTACTGCGCAATGATCGCGGTCAAGATGAGACCATACCTCAGATTAATTTCTTCAGCTAATTCTAGCAACTATTCGATGTTGTAAGGGGCATCCTCATCATTTCTGATGTAATCAACGGGAATGTTACCCGTCTCCATGTTCTCCCACTCATTAACTGTCCAGCCGTTTCCCATGAACTGGAACACATTCCCGGGATCTTTGTACACGACATCATAGTGTTCGAGCCTCGGATGCTTCAGGAATTTCATCAGACTCTGCATACTGCCAGACCAAATATACACTCTTCCATCCCGCTTGTTATCCTGGCGTGGTCGTTAGTGTGATCTTCTCTCGCGCAACCGCAGTTTTGAAACATACCTTGTACCAGCTTTTGCAGTCCTCGGCCCAGACGGAGTGTTTCCTGTGCCATGCATCCATGTATTCATTGAGCTGGAAGGTCAAATCCTCTCGGGGTTGGACGAACTTGATGCCATCTTCTTGGATCTTCTTCACCATCTGAATGATATACTCCACTTGAACCTCATGAGTAGGAAGCGAGCACCCTTGACCCCAGTTACCGCGCGGACCATTGACGATGAAGTAATTCGGGAAATGTGGGACGGAGATCGATCCATAGACATTGGGTTCATAGTCTTGCATGACACGTCCCCCCAGGCCAACAATGTTGAACCATGGGAGGAACTGGACTTGAAATCCAGTAGCGCAGATCAAGATATCCACGTTGTGTGTCGCTCCGTCGGCAGTCACAATTCCCTCCGGAATGACTTTGACAATGGCGCTGTACACCGGCGAGACGTTCTTCTGTAAGAGGGCTTGTAGGTATCCCTCTCCGGGTGTGATCCGACGACAGCCAGGGCTCCACTGCGGAATGATCCTTTGCTTTAACTCCTCGTTGTCGCCGAGAAGATGCTCCATATACATCTTCATGCCTGCTTTGGCCTGTAGGTTTTGTTCACTGCCGCGAAAGAACAAGCGAAAACCACTGGCCATGTGGCGTTCAATCTTGCGTCTGTACTGGAGGAGATACTCGGGATCATCTCGAAATTTCTGCTTTTCCGTCTCGGTGTAACGGTGCGCTGAAGGGCCACCTGGCTCCATGGCTTCAGGATCCGCCTCCTTGTTTGAGAGAGTGATCCCAGTCGGTGCAACGTAGTATTGGTTCCGAATAAACACGGTCACATGCTCAGCGCCGGGCTGGACTTCGGGCAAGATTTGGATCGAGCTTGATCCGGTGCCAATCAGAGCAACCCTTTTGCCCTTCCAATCTATGTTTGGATCCCAGTCGGCGGAGTGAGCCAGGGTCCCCTTGAAGTCATGTAGACCGTCGATATCGGGCCATTTCCACCTATTGACGACGCCTGCGCCATTCACCAGAACGTTGCAGCTGTCGGTGAACAAACCGCCGTCGGCTTTCTGCAGATTGACATGCCATTTGCCTTGCTCCTCGCTCCACGTGACCTGCTTGACTTCGGTGTTGAACACCACGTAACTTTCAACATCGTACTTTTTGGCGAAGCGGACGAAATAGTCCTGGATCTCGCCGGCATAGCTGTAGAACCCACTCCATTCTGTGTTGGGTTCGAAAGGATAGGTATAGTTGTGTGCCGGCACATCGCAGGCGCAGCCGGGATATCGATTCTCATACCACGTGCCTCCGATGACGCTGTTTTTCTCGTAGCAGATGAGTTCGTAGTTCTTCAAAAACTTCCGGGCTTTGTGAGCGAACAACAAGCCAGAAGCACCAGCACCAATGTGAATGATCTTTACCGGTGCAGGAGCCCCGTGGGGATGGTCTGGGACCTGCTCAGCTGTGTATTTGGGTGCAGTCAAGAGAGGCATGTTGGTAGCGATGAATGGTTGTTGAAACGATGGGAGATGTTGCAATGGATTCAGCGCGTTCTCGCAAACTTTATGTATTTTCGTCTTGTTCGCTAGAATGGAGCCTTGTATTTCTAGACTGCCGATGCAATGTTCTCTAATGCAATATTCTAATGTGCATTATTTTCCATTGCATCCTTTTCCGGTAGTCTACCATTCCCCGGTGCATTCTTCTCCGATGCACAATGCCACTGCAGTCAACACAAGCACGAAAGACACATTTCTAGACCTGTGGGGCTGCCCATAGTGGAGCGCACTATTCTGAAAGGCCATAGGCATACGAAAAATACGAAAATTAGTGGAGATTCTCCCTCTCCGGATTTTTGGAGCTCCAAGTGTCGTTTGTCACATGCTCTCAAAGTAAATCATCAGTTTCGGACCCGAGCCCTCGCCGAGCTAGACCAAGATTTCAGGCCATCTTCTTATTAACCTCCCCTGCGGCGTAAGCATGGCGAGTCAGTTGAGTGTCCGCAAACTGCCGGTGTGATCAGAGGGGCCATTTGACAAAGTTTCGAAAGATCATCTAGCTATCCTCGTGTGTCAAAGCACTCCGTGGCATGCTCTCCGGTCTGTGAACATCGGGGGGGCGATGAAGCACCAAAGGCTGGCGAGGCCGTGCCACCATGCTCCCGTGGGTCTCGTGCAAGGAAGGGGACCATAACCTCTGCGGACATTATTATCGTGTGCTATGTACTTACGCTCATGCTAGTTTTCTCTGCCAAGGTCCATTGGGAAGACAGTTGAGCAGTTTTTCAGTGAACCGAATGTTTCAACGAAGATTTTTTTGGTGACGCTTCTCTGTTCCATAGACAGAGCCCGCAGAACACGGCGTCCCAGTGAATGCGTTCACATGCCCGACAAGCCATTTGTCAGCCACGGTGTCCAGCTCACAGATCTACGAGCCTTATGGTGGGAACGATTCACAACCCCGAGCAGCAGTTGAGGATTCTATCGATAACCCAACAATAAATCCGATCGAGTAAGCTCCCACGCCAACATCGAGCAGTAAAGCGGTCGCAAGAATGACCTCCTTACAAAATGTTGCCTTCGTTCTCGTCCCAGGGGGGTTTTCGGGGCCGGAATGCTATGGAAAGGTGGTGGACATATTGCACGCAACTGGAGGGGAGGTCCACGCTTTGCGTAACCCTTCTGTGCCTGTCGAGAAAACAGATTCATCCAAGCTGCACACTATGCATGACGATGCACGGCAGGTAGCCAGAGCAATCGAGGCGGCGACCGGTCGCGGCAAAGACGTCGTGGTGGTGATGCATTCGTATAGCGGATTCCCTGGCACCGAAGCTGTCAAAGGTCAGGACAAGACAAGCAGGGCGGCACAAGGTCAAGAAGGAGGAGTGGTCGCATTGGTCTACATTGCCAGCGTGATCCCAAGTATGGGAATGAGCATGCACAGCTTCACGATGGCGGAAAGGCTACCGACGATTCTGGGTAATTTAGTCAGATCGAACCTAGCTGTGGGCTATGTCTCCAACGCGTTCTTGTCAGCCTTGACAACGACGGCACTATACGTCACCGGACAGGCAAGTGATGAATCCCCTCCTCATCCTCTTAGAACCATATTCTTATGTTGACAGGGTGGCTGGATCGCTCCAGCTGCAGCTGGTTCGCCGACCAAAATCTTCTCTGACCTCCCAGTGGACGAAGCATCGAAGTATTTCGACACATTGCGGCCACAGGCTGCCGCAACATTTGCTGGACGAGTCACTTTTCCTGCATGGAAGACTGTCCCGGTAACCTATATATGTGCTGCAAAGGACGAAATCATTCCACCACATGCGCAACGGAAAATGGTGGGTCGTTTACGGAGACAAGGAATTCGGATAAACGAGGTTGAGCTTCCAACAGGGCATTTACCGACCCTGAGCATGCCGGAGGCTATTGCAAAGGCTATTGTCGATGCGGCAGGGCAAGCAAACACCTCCTAGATTTGTGACGGTACTAAGATCTCCAACAGCTGGTCAGATTCAGGAGACCTTTTCTGTTCACAGAGAGATCTGGGTTTGAACGGCCAGAAACGCTCTCAGGGAGAACCCAGATAGACAGGAGTAGACATGCAATTCACGGCAAGTAGCGAGTTCAACAAGTTTGCATGAAAAGGCCATTGAATGCCATTGTGCACTTGATTGCACTAAACCTACTTGAGAAGCATAACAGGCGCATTGTTGTCCTCCTGCCATTCTGCCCGAGCGTATTCGCACATTAGCAGAACTATGCACTCCGGGATCTAGGGCGAGCAATACCAAAAAGAAACCGGCGAGTCTCCCAGACATTTTGCCTGATTCCCCGATATGAACTTATCAAAGTACACAATTCGGACTGGCAGTAGTAGATTAGCGCTATCGTGGCTGCAGGGTCGGCAAGCGACCGACTGTTGTGGAACGTAGGATTCTGTGTAAGTGCATCTATTGCCTAGATTCCTGCGTATTGCTTGTCTTGCTTCTCTCGCACTTTTGCGAGTTCCTTCTCCTCTATTTACAATCTTGCCTACCGAGTACAATCAAGAGCATTCCCCCAAAGTCCAAGAGGTGGCTGGTAGTCTCCTGTCATTGCTGGTGGCGTTCGCCCTACGGAGCTTTCCTAGGCTAGTTGCTGCTCCTCCATGGATGCAGTTTGGAATTCTTTCCTGCTTCGACCAGCGCCGTCGATCCTCCCCGGACGAAAATTACACTGATCGCAAGCTCATATGCGGAGAGAGGACGCCCGGTAGGCCTCCTCAACAGTAAGCGGCAAGTGACTCCAAATATGCCTTTTCCCACTGAGGATATGTTTCGAAAAAATGGGCTTTCAGCCTCCACCTTCTCATATTGCGAACGGCTTCGCCAAATGTTTCCCATTTCCTATCTTCTGCCACGCTTGGGGGGTGAAAGTCAAGCTCCAAACAGGTTCCAATAGCAAAAGCTACCTCATGCAATCGCTGCGGATGCATTTGCCAAAATGCAATGAATTCGTCACGGAGCCGTGGCCTAGATAGTGATACGTGAGCTCGAAGCGTCACAGCTAGCTGCGGCCAACAATACATACCATGCTATGAAATCTATGATGATAGGGTGTGGGACACCTTTCTGCAGCGCCGTTGGGTGATACCAAACCGGAAGCTTCTGGAGCGCCTCCGCAGTTTGCAGCACCTGCCACTGAAGTGCAAGGTGCATCATGTAGAAGACGCCGGCGGATGTTGCATCACGTCGACATCGAAGCCAAGTCCTCATGATCCGTTTCAAGCCAGTTGCCAGGAGATTTGACAAATGCTCTGAAACACCGTTTCGAGGTACAGAGCTGGCGTTGGAAAGATCCTCTTTTACCCACATCAACATGTTGTACAATGGCGCATCTTGTGGTAATGGAGGGTTGAGTAAGCAGGATTGAATCGTTTGAGTCCTTTTGTCTTGCTTGCAATTTGAATGCGACACACCAGCGTCAGATGCGATTGGTGCTCTGCCCGGCATGCGGACTTCCTCGTGGATATTCTCAAACGAGTATGTGAAGGCTGTGTCGGGCACGAACTGACCACTTTCATAGAAACCAGGCTGCATCGTAACTGCAAGTTCCGGGGATTCATTGTCTTTGGCGAAAGGAACACATTCCTGAGATTGGACGCCAGTTGGGACACTTCCGTTCGGATTTCCGGCCGGATAATTTTGCAGCTGAGAATAACAGTCTTCGAACATGATATCTGCGGGTAGATCCCAAGTGGATTGTTCGAAGCCAGGTACGTCTTCCGTGGCTGAGGCTCGCATGCTGTGAGGATTAATACATGGGGCCGAAGCAAGCCCCATGTTGTGTAAATCCTGTGTAGATCCAAAGGAACGCGAAGCCACCTGTGTGGTAACATTGACCGAGTTGGAGCAGGGCGAATCACCGACCAGGCCCACTGAGACGCAGAACTCATCGTCGATAGCTTGCTCATTCCGGATATCATCGCGATGGGCGTCATTAGTAGCACATGAATCTGGTTGTGCTGGAATGATCGTACTCTCTGTCGGACTGAGCGACGAGTGAGAGCCTCGAACCCATCGAATTGAGCCTTCTCGGCTGTTGTCGCAGCTGTTGCGGGCCAGAACAAGCGACTCTACACTGGAGGCGAAGGAGCGAAGTGATTCGAGCTTGAACTGTAAGTAATGGTGTGGACGGAGAGGGATTCGATTCTCAACAAACCTCGCGGCGAAGTGCTTCATTTTCTTGCAAAAGGATTTGGACCTGTTTTGAGGTGTGTGTTGTCTTCAGAAACTCGACTTCTGCCCGCAACTCCTCTAGTTGTAGTTTTTGACGCTTTCGATGGGCTTGTTGAGCGACACGGTCCGTCGCTCGCTTCTTATCTCTTCTGTTGTCCGGGATGCCCGTCCCTAATTCATTGCCTGCCGTCTTGGGCATTGCGAGAACTAAATGTTGGGTGTCTTGTTGTCTTCTGGCTGTGCAGTTTCCGCCTCTACAGGGACGTTGGCGGGAGTCGCGTGCACATGTGGACTTGTTACAGAGCCAGATTGTCGTCAACTGGCGGTGGTGGCGGCGGTGGCAGCGAAGGGGTGAGGTGGTTGAGGAGACCCCAGAAATAGGGTGTTGCGGGGGCGTATTAGCTGTGGTGGTATCATGGGGAGTACAAATCTTAACTGGAAATGAAGTAAGGCGCAGCTTGGGCACCCATAGCCGTGGGCGGGATCACCATCCAACCGCAGACATTCTCACAATCTCTGCTGCATAATTGCATACAAGTATATGCTTAGCGCACGGGAAGTGTCGCCTAAACGCCAATAAGCCGAGGCAGAGGGCGGGCCGTCAGACCCATGAATTTGGACGCCACACACCCCAGCCCCCCTTCCCCATGGAGAAAGTGGAAGCAAATGAAGTATTGATACGAATTACTGCGATGAGGCAAAGTGAACTAAACATATCAATGACAGAGATAAAGCCTTTTGGTATCTGAGCTCGAAGCTATTCATCATCACGGCCCGTATCGGTCAAAGTAGTCTTGTATATCTTCCATTCGAGAACGTGGTATGGCCAGGCACACCCGGTTCGTGTCGATGGTAGGGATACGAGCTTAGCATGACTGTCCTGAAAATGTGGCAATATGAAGCCCCAGCATTGATATCTCCATACAGCTCTCCATCGTCTCAAGCATTGACAGGAGGCAACGTCCTCCAGTGCTTTGCTGATGAACTGAGGATCTTGTCCCCTCACTCAATGTTCGCACCATCTTTGGTGCTCTCATTTGGGCCTCGTTCTTTCACGGCACTGACGACCTCTATCGTCATTTGCTTCCGCGTTGACTTGAGAAAGCATGCAAGCGCGATTGAGACGAGTCCGAATGGAAGGTTTGCCCACCATACATAGCGGAAGCTGTCCGCATATGCATGATGGATGGCTCTGGTTGCCGCACTGATAGACGCCAAAGTAACCCCCGGAACCTGCAAAATGACTGACTCTTCTCCAGTCAGCATCGCTTCGAGTAGGGGCACGACACTGGTAGGCGGCAATTGCGCCGCCAACACGGCCTTGGTGAACATCGAGACGAGACGTTCTTTGACCTTGGACTGAAGCACTTGTGCGAACATGACGAGACCAACTGCCCCACCAAGTGATCGGATCGAGGTGGCCAAAGCGACCGCGTGGCCGATGTATCTGTTGGGTGCAGCCAAGGTCACAATCAACACGACACAAGTGCCCAAAGCTCCTACTCCCATGGCAATCGCTACTTCTGGGACAAAGAAAGCCGCATGATTCATGCCTGGCTGAATTACCGACAGCAGTGCTTGAGCGGCGACCATGACCGACATTGAAAAAATAGTGAGCCATTTTGCTTCCCTTGTCTTGTACAGAAAGTATCCTCCCGCCACAGCCGCGGTCATGGCGCCGGCGGAGAAGGGCAATTGGTGCAGAGTTGCTGTCCAAATACTTTGCACAAAGCCTTCATTGATGAGCAGCTGAAGGAAAAAGGTGTTTGCGGTGAACATTGAGGCGCCCTCAATGAAGTGCATAGCGAGTGCCAGTGCATAGTTTCGGTGCTGGAAGAGCTCTCGACGGAACAGGCCCAGGCTCTCGGGGACGAATTTCCATTCCCACACGGCAAAGGCGACCAGAAGGAAGATGCCAACAATGAGAAGGGCCAGAACTTTAGCAGAATCCCAAGGGGCGGTGTTGCCACCCATTGCGAGACCCAGAAGCGTCATGACGAGACCAGATGCACCGAGGACTAAACCGGGCCAATCGACGTGTTTGATTTTCTGCAGGGTTGTGTAGCCTTCCGGATTGGGTCGCTCGCCTGGGTGGTAGAAGAAAAAGACCAACACCAGACTAAGAAACCAAAGCCCAGCGTTCATGTATAACGCAGGTCTCCAACCTTCATGAATGCCGCCAACATTTTCTTTCTGCATAGCGGCACTCCCCACGCCACCAGCGCTGGAGATTATGCCGCTCATGGCGCCGGCAATAGCAATTATAGGTCCACGATTGACTTTGGGTACCATTTCGGCCAGCATAGGGACGGCCAAATAACTGAGCCCCAAAGCCACACCACTGATTGCATTGCCCCCGATAGCCATTGCCGTGCTCGTAGCTCTGGAAGCAACGAGGCAGCCTGCAATGCCAATGCTATTCGCAGCAATCATGAAATATCGCCGACCAAGAAGATCAGAGAAGTTTCCGACGAAGAGAGTAAGCACACAAGCGGCCACCGAGGCTGAAGTTACGACCCAAGTCGCAAGGCCTGCTTGGTCCGGCCAAAGTCTTTGGAGGTCTATTACTGAGAATGCTGGAACAATTTGTGCCCAAGCGCCGGCCGTGTAGGTGAAATAGAGGGCAGCCAAGTTGGCATACACTGTGAAGGTCCATTTGAATTTGGGCTCTGGCTCTGTGTCTGGCTCGTCGACATGACGGTATTCAACTTCTTCAAGTTTGATAGTTTCGTTCTTTTCAGCCCCTGCTTGGACTTCGATGTTGTCTCTGGCAACGTCCGCACTCATGGTGTGAGCTGCGCTGGAGAGTCTCGTTGTGAGCGTACGCTGTCACAAGTTTATATTGTGGTGTGACTGGAGGGGTTTTCAACTCCACTCGAGCATGATAAATGAAGCCCGAATACAATGTGTCTTTGGAGACATCTTATGGATTACCATGTCTTGTGCACGCGGTGTCCAGATTTTACACAGGCTGTCGGATAGTGGCTAGCCAAAGTTCAAGCATTTGAGTAGCCTTCTCCAGGCTTCCTCCACGCCAATTAACGTGCCATTTCCCCATAACTTTTCAGAAACAGACCCACCAGTCCCCATGAGGTCCAGACGCTCCCACTTTGTTGACTCGCATAGCTGACATCCCGCTTGCTCCGCAACATGCCTACCTACAAGTACGCTACCTAAGCAAACTAGATCGAATGCCCAGTGGGCACGGACACGCACGGGTCCTTTGGGAGGCGAGCATTAATAGTCTCGAGGAGACAATTACTACAAGTAGTGCACTTAAGCGGCTAGTTGCCGTCCCCGCCCCCGCCTGGTTGCCGTCCTCGCCTAGTTGCCGCGCCCACCCAGGCTTGGACGCGTTATTTCCGTATCGCTGACTCGAGGTATCTAGTCAACAGCTCTAGAACTAAAAGACACGCAAACACTCACACGTCTTGAAGTAGTCTAAGCCTTCTCTGAACCTTCATTGCAACCCGTGAAAGTCTGCGTCCTCGCCATCGGTTTGAATCATCCCAGATGCAACCACTGCGTGGCCTGGCATTTGCGACACTTCAGGTCCGCCACCTCCCTTTGTGAAGATGTTGTGCATGGCACGAAACTGGGTCGAGTTCTGGATTACAATGCTTTGGACTTGACCAGACTTGCCTATCGTTAGGGTCCGAATATCACTCTTAGCCTCAATGGTTTAATTTTCGCATGCAAGTCGGTCAACAAGCAAGAACACTGATCAGTCCTGCACTGGATGGTCAAAAACCATGCGTTGATACGGCTCAGTATCGAATACACTCTTGCCCAATTCTGGCTGGCGTCACAGCCGGGGATTGTACAAAAGCCTCTTATCCATGCGTCGAGTGAGCTGTGCTATGGCACCTCTTTCGTATAACGATGTCTGCAACCTCGCTGGAAAAGTTCCTCATCGTGCCCAAGCTCATTCAAGTAATCGTAAAGACTCTTTTCGCGTTTATCACGAGCCCTTTTCGAGGATCAAATGGAGCACCCACCGTCCTCGAACATGTTTGGAACACCGCGTTGCGGACCTTGTTCAACACCCTGACTGTGTCCCAGTTACAGTAAGCCTCTTAAAAAAAACTCCCAAGGCCAGTCCAAAGCAACTGTTGATTCTTGGTAGATTGATTCTCCCTCCATTCTCCAAAACCTATTACGCGTGGAGCAAAGCACACAATGTACCAGTTGACATTGTACGCATTCCGAACACCAACATCACAGGCTTCTGGATCGGCAGCAAAGACTCGGCCACATATGTCACCATTTACTTCCACGGCGGTGGCTTCGTGATCGATGGTGGTCGTCCACATTTGGATTTACTACTTCGGATGAATACTTGGTCTGATGGCAACCACGCGGCGTTCTGTCCTTGTTACACCTTGGCTCCGGAGGGTCTGTACCCTCTACAGATTGCAGAGTGTGTCGAGGCGTTGCGGTATGTCTTGTCTATGCCTGGACGTCAGCCTTCAAATGTGTTACTCGGCGGGGACTCGGCTGGTGGCAATCTAGTCCTCGCTGTGCTCAGCCACGTATCAAGACATCCTCATCCGAACCATAACGTGGTTAAACCACTGCATGTGGAGGAGCCTTTGTACGGGGCGTTCGTGATTGCACCGTGGGTGTCGAGTGACGTGACCAGGTTTCAGTCCATGACGGCGTTTGCGAATCGAGATATCGTGAACCCGAAGTGCGCGAATCTTTGGATGGAGACCTACACCGGTCGCAATCAGGGCATCGTCGTCGAGGACGATGAATATATCGCTCCAGAGCTGACCACGGCTGATTGGTGGACGGACACGAAAGTATCGAATATGCTCGTCCTCGCAGGAGAACACGAGTTTCTGAGAGACGGCATCCTTGCTTGGGTAAAGAAGTTCCAGGCGGGACCTGGCGCGACCGTATTCAAGATCGTCATCGGGAAACAAGAGGTGCATATCGCGCCGTTAACAGCGAAACCGGAGGATGTACTAGATAAATTGGGAGATGACTGTCAGGAAGCAGCGCTGCGCGATTGGGCAAAAGCGACTCTGAAACAAAAGTAGGGTTGCCAGGACTGTAGTCAAAAAGACAAAGACTCTAGTCAGAGGCTTAGCAGCCATGACAGCGGACAAGGAACCATTTATTCCTTACCAAAGAGCCTATATTAATAATGATTTATACGTAGAGATGGCGAATACAATTGAATCGCCCCTGTCGTCGAAAGATACCTTTCGGTTGTCGATAACGCCGACTCCTACATGGAGGAACAAGAATAGATAGATTAGGGGGACAGAATGGTAAATATTTAGCCATAGCCTCTCTATTAGGCGGAGCGTACAATCCCCTTGTCTTATACAGGGCGATGGCAGGGATTGGTACACACGTGCGAGAACGCATGAAGGCCGATCCAATGGGGCGGTATTCAAGATAGAGTTCCTAGCCGTGATGTAGAATAACAATAACATCACTAATATATTAGGGACTTCTTAGCAGAGTAGGCAGAATATAGCGATAAGTAATAGTAAATACCCCTGTAGTATATAGTCGATACTATGCACGACCCTCAATATAAGAGAAAGAAAAGAGGAGATACTCCTCCCCTAGTACCGCGATCGTCCCCAAAAATTAATGGTAATTTAGGAACACAGGAGATACGATCGCTCTATTGAAACGGAGCACTTCGGGGTTCGGCATGCACGTGCAACAACGCACAGGGGCCTGTCGGGCAGGTCGGGAATCGAGAATGCCTTTCTGGCTGAAGCTGGCAAAACAACACCACCACCAACACCACCTACAGAGAGGTAGCGGCTAGGGCAACGAACGCCGAGCACGGCGGCGGCCTTGGGGAGTGGAACAGGACACAGAGGCTGCTCAGGAACAGGTAGACGGTATCAAAGAACCATAGAATACTCTGTTCAAACTATAAAGAGTGGCACACGGGCAGCACTGTCAACTGTCAAGCACACCGGCAAGGATTGCCTACCAGCATGGATGTTTGCCTGTCTATTGTGCTCTCTGTCCTTGTTGAATGCTCAGCTAGTCCTTCCTGCCTTTTACCCTCCCAGCCACAGCCAGAATACTGGTCCTTTTTGTCCTGACATGTGACCAGCCAAATCGCTTCCCCGCTACTCGGTACTCGTCCCCATACCAGCCCAACACTGCCACTTGGCTTGTTACAATATGGTAGTGCATTGTCGCATTATTGTATTGTGTACCCCTATTCGCCAATGTGATATTATCATGCGGCAATCGGCATTATTATCTCGTTGTTAATCACGTGACCTACGTCAGCCTCGCCATCGAGGCTATTTCACTCAGTAGAGCTTTTTCTACTTAACCCACGCCTAGTCCCCCGTCCCCATTCGGGAAGAGCTACCCGCAGTTACCACCTGGCACTAAACTTGCTCTGAGGCTCTCTTTTATGCCCTCTTTTCGCCATCTAGAGCGAAGGCCCCTGCTGCATTCCGCGAAATGAGCGCCACGTTAAAATCTACGTACCGTCCGGCACCCGCAGATTCCTCTCTGCCACCAGGTTGGACAGAGCACAAAGCGCCCACCGGCCATACATACTACTACAATGCTGAGACGAAGCAATCTACCTACACCAGACCCAGTCTTTCCTCTGATGAACCACTCCGCATTGACTATGGCGCCACCGAGCCCGACCATGTTATGCGCGCCTCGCTGCAAGCTATGGAAGAATTCAACAGAAACAATGTCATGGCGCAACCGGGGCATTTCACGGGGGGAAGAAGTTACCAAGAGCACTCTCGTCGGAGAGGCAACCAAGGGGACCGACCCAAGTCGAAAGCCCCTATCCCGAATTGCGGGCCGTGGGTGCTGGTGAAGACGAAACTAGGCAGGAGGTTTGTGCATAATACCGAGACGAAGCAAAGTTTTTGGAAGTTTCCGCAAGATGTCATGATGGCGGTGATCGAGATGGACAGGCTGGAATGGGAGGCCAAGAAGAAGGCAGAGACAGAGCAGCAAGAGACTAAGGAACGTGAAAAATCACAACTGAGGGACGATGCAGAGCGATCAGAGACTCCCACAAGGGAAAGACCTCAAGCTTCTACTGGCCCGCAAGAGTACGACAGCGATGAGTACGAGGAAGTCGAAGTGACAGATGAAGAGGTCGAAGGAATTGATGAGCCGTCAAAAAGGCCTCGTCTCTCCGACGAAACTGAAGGTGAAATCCCTCCATCCACTGGACCAGTGGAGTTCAATGAGGACGATATAGCCTGGCAACTTGCGCAGATGGAGGGCCATGACGGCTATGACGAGGACCGGGATCACATGCACGGCGATGGAGAAGGAGCGAACCCGGAAGAAGAAGACGAAGACGAAGGCCTCCCTCTAACCGCGCAGGACAATATAGCACTCTTCCGCTCGCTCCTCGACGACTCCGGCATCTCGCCCTACTCCACATTCGAAAAACTGATCGAAGACACCCTTCTAGTAGAAGATCCCCGTTACATCGCGTTACCAAACACCTCGTCACGCAAAGAGGCTTTCGGGGCATGGTCTAAGGACCGAATTGCAGAGTTGCAAGCCTTCAAGGCCTCAACGTCCGCGAAAGAAAGCAAGAAGGACGCAAAGGTCGAGTACCTGCGGTTTCTGCAAAAACACGCCACGCCAAAACTATACTGGCCGGAATTCCGGCGCAAATTCAAAAAGATCCCCGAGATGCAGGACCGGGAGTTGCAGGACAAGGACCGCGAGAAGCTCTACCGCGAGTTCGTGGCTAAGTTGAGACTAGGCGACGCGGAGAGCAGGAAGGAATTCGTGAGCCTGCTCAAGAGCGTCGATCGGGCTAAATTTGACAAGGGTAGGGACAGGGGCAGTTCAGTTGCTCTGGACGCTTTGCCGGACGCTGTCCTGAGGGATGTCAGGTTCCACATCTTGGAACCTACCAGGAGGGACGAGCTCTTGAGGACCTTCTTGGAAACGCTCTGAAGGAGGGAGTGAACAGCCTGTACCGTCTGTGTGATTTTAGAGAATTATGTAGGCAGGCAGGAGGCCCACTAGCCTGCAATTTGCCGAGGACACTGCACACCTGGATCTCAGTGCCAGGTCTCCAGTCTCAGATCTCAGTCTCGAGCCTTAGGTCTCCATGAGTCTCGATCCCTGACGCTCTCTACGTACAGTACAGCACCTCCGTAATCTCTCAGCCCGACTCCATCTTATTGCCCTCTTGTGCTCTTCCATACCCAAGTCTATACTCTAAATAGCCGAGTACCCGCTGCGGGTGCCACGGCCCCGGGCGGGAGACGAACACCTAGATATACCGAGAGCACTTGATCCAAAACTAAAAGAATCAGGGATCAAGGATCGATTTACAATACGTAGGGCATTGTGCAAAACTACCACTTTGCATTTCTTTCATTCTATTCTGCACGGGGTACAAAGAGAGTGGATGAATAACTCATCAAAAAACAACACCTGCCTGCCCCCTCTGGCGCCTTGAAATCCTAGTACTCCGTATTGTACGTGCCTGTGAGGTCCTTGGTTAAACATCAGATGACTAGCAATAGGCCTTCCTTCACCGACGCCTTGAACCCTGGCTACGTTGATTCCGGAGACTCAAGCAAGATTAGCTGTGCTCGTGAGGACGTTCCATCACTTGGACTCCTGGTGCATTTACAATTGCATCGCGTCTTTCCCACTGCTCGCCTCATATGGGGTATCAATCCTCTCATCGCTCTGCTATCTTTACGTCAGACAGCCATAGTCTCTCTCTTCTAATCTCCTACACCCTATCCAAACTCTTCAGCTCGTCCAATACAGAACTTCTGTCACCCTTTTCCTTTTGGCGCTTAGCTATCGGCCCTTATGTATCAGCCGTACCACCCCCGTCACCACCACGTGTTTGTGCCATAAAATTCTGCAACATGCCCGTCAACACTCCCAAGTTGCTCTGTGCTTCGGGGTTCTGCTCGAGACATTTCTTGACCACCAAAAACTCGCCTTCCGCGGCAGTGGGTACTTGCTCGCATAAATGCACGACCGAAGGGGAAGATGCCAATTGAGGACCAAGAACTTTCTGGGCGATGACCATGGCGGGGTTCGGGGGAGGTGGGAGCTGCAGTGTTTGTTGGGATGGCGGTTGATGAGGTTGTGGTAACGAGGAGGAAGGAGTCGGTGTGGTAAAGGCTGGTGTCACACCTAGACCCTGTTGAGGTTGAGGCGTACCGTTCACTCCAAGTTGATTCGGCATTGGAGACTGACTATAAGGGAAGCTCCCTTCGTGAGGCGTTATGGGAGTCTGAGCTGTTGGCCCCCCTCCTACCGCTGGACTGGCAACCGTAGCAGATGTCCCATCACTCAGGGTCGCCTGGGCGTTATGCGATAACTCACTGTTCTTGATGACGATCGGGACCAGCAGCATTTTCTCCTGAGCGGGATCTGGAAAATCCGTCTCGAGTTTTTTGACGAACGTAGGCATTTCTTGACCCTTGTCCAGTGGGATCAAGTAGATGTCTTTGATTGCTGGATTTGTGTGTTGGATCCCTACGCCAAAGCGATTCTTGTTCTTGAAATATTGGAAGAACCTGTCAAATTGCTCCTGATCGTGCGAGTTTGTGGGTTGTGGCATGCATACAATGACCAGATCAGACGTATTGCTGTACTCCAGGCCACAAAGGTATTCTTCCGCTCGACTGGGCTGGATTCGACCCCCTAGGTCGATCTCAGGCGGGATGATCTGGTCGTAGGTCATGCGCAGCGTGTCGGCCTCGGGAGTGGCCCCAGCTGCATATCTTGCTACAGCGTGGAACCGGCCTAGGTTGTTGCCGTTGACGATGCCTCGCCAAACAACACCGTCGGCTTCAGCAGATTCCTTGGGTGAATAGGGGGGTGACTCGGCCTCTTCGTCTTTAAGCAATTCGTCGATATCTGCGTCTGCCTTGGTCCCTGGGGCGATGGGTTCTCGGACAGCGACGGTTGGCGACGTCGTTTGTGGTAGTTCGCCAAATCGCTGACTGTCACCATCGGGCGAACCTTGGACGTTCGACCAGACCTTGTCAATATCGAAATTGGCCGACGATTGTCGTCGGGTGGTATCGACGGATGGTCTCGGTTTGATTCCTTTGCCCGGAGCGGCTGGGGTCTCGGATGGGCTTCTCACACCTGGGCTCTTTGCATCCCCGTCTTGTTCTGCGACACTAGCTTTCCGTACGGGAGCATTTGAAGTCGCCGACTCTGCCGCGACCTGCCTTGACTCGTCCACGTACTCTTCACCCTTGTGTGTTCGTCTGATTCTCGGGCCCTGCTCTTCCACGATGGTATGTTGTTTCTCCAACTCCTTCATGACAGCTGCGTCTTTTTTCTTCTGCTCCTCGCTTGCCATATCCTTCGCATCCATCGACGCAAGGGTGTGAGGGAGAAGATCTCCATTCAATAACCGCACCCCTAATGCGCGGTTCTTCTTAACGTTGAAGGTTATCGCTCGCAGTTGGTTCTTGTAGGACTCGTTGGGGTCGCCGTTCCCGCCGACCTGGACGTGATACAGAGCATGTTCCGTACGGAGACCAATCTGGTTTGCAACTTCTGTGGCGGACGTGCCGGGAGGAACAGTGTAGTCGCCTTGCTTTACGGCTTCTTTGATTTGTTGTTCTATGAGCTTGATCAACGTGGACGCAGCCTGACTCCTCGATTTATTTGTAAGTTCCTTTACGTCCACTGCAACCGCCGAAACAGGTTCTGATCTGGACGCCTGCCTGGAAGGAGTCTCAACCTTGACTGCTTTGGTGCCATTGCTGTCAGCAGCCGGTGTGCTTCGCGCTTTCTTGTTCTAGTGACATGTTAGCAGGTTCTTGTTGACTTGCGAGATATATCGTACCTTTACTTCTGGAACAGACGGCGACTCTTCTAGTTTGCGCTTCTGTCCTGCCGCGGGAGTGTGCGCTGGGGTCTCATCAACATCCTGAGATGTGCGAGACACGACCTCGCTTGTCCGAGCAGTACCCGATTTCCGTCCCTTTCGGCCTCCTTTCTTCTTCCCTTTCCCGGCCTCAGTAGCCTCTTTCTGTCGGGCGGCTTCTTCCCACGGTTTCTCTCCACGCGCAATGGCTGCTACCAATTCCTGGTGATCCTCGGGGCGACACTGTTCGCAGAAGTATTGTGGAGGTTCATAGTCTTCCGGAAGACCCATGCAACTGTTATGCTGCCACGCCGAGCAGTTGTCGCAGCAGATCATGGCCCGAGGAACATCTTCCTCCTCTTCGTAGGTGCCGCAGACACAGCGGATGATTTCTTCACTCTCATCTTGCTCTGCGGCCTTGGCCTTGTTGGCCTTTCCTTTGCCCTTTTTCTTCGTGGGGACGCCCTCGGCGATATCGCGATCTTTGGAGTATTGGCCTTTGGTTGCGCGACCTGAACGTCGAGGTTCTTCTGTGACTGCGTCAGTAAAGCGCAACAGACGTGGCGCGCAGCGAGTGCGGCTAAGATAACGGTAATGCTTACCAGCCATGGCGACGACAACGACGAGTCGCTAGCTGCTACAATGTACACGAGACACGCAGGATGTGGCCGCTTGTCATCAACCACGTCTAATATCGCGATCTACGACAAGTTTGGGGTAGTAGAGACAGTGTCCACGAGACCAGTGGAAATGCCTTCAGATTCGAGTAGACTAGAGATCTGTGCCAACGTAACCCCGCCACAGTCCTATGGCAGATAGCGCGCGATGAACAACGAAGTGAACGAGTGGCCCGAGTTAAAAGTTGTGATGAGAATATGGAGATAGGAGAGAGGAGTGTGATGCCGTGCAGGCGGGCGATCGTGAAAGTGGCAGCAACTCCTCAAAGTCTGAGCTGCGACACCACCAACACCACCGCCAAGGAAGCGGAGGCGCAGTGAAGTACGAGCAAGGTACGAGGGACCCGGTACTAGCCACTTACTTCTATGTAAAAGCGGCGACCATTCCGGTTGACGTAACCGAACTAGGCGCTGCAAGATCCACCAGTTCTTGAATCTTGTGGTTTGATCGCCTCGGTGACAAGTTTGAGGCCTTGGATGTTGTTTTCTCCCGAAGCACGCAGGTCGTCTTCTTCACCTCCTCCAGCGTCTTTCATTGAGGGACTGAACAGAAGTCCGGGGGTGCTCTGTACAACCATGGCCGACGTCCGAGCTCTCCTCGCCGCAGAGCGGCAGGCTCGTAGAATCTCTCACCCTCACCTCTCCTATACTAAATCCGGTATGCTAATCTGTACGGTCTGCAACCTGAACGTCAAGTCCGAGGCCCTCTGGGAAGGGCACCTCAAGAGCGCAAATCACAGGAGAAGCGCCGCCCAAGCCGCTGCGCAAGAGAACGCCACTGCAAACGTCGGCACCAATGCAGGCAAGGGAGTTAAGAGGAAGATTGAAGATGTTGACGATGAGACATCGGAAGAGCGTGACGAAGCGGACCTCGATGCGCGGAAGAAGCCCAAGTCGCGGCCAGAGAGTATTGCTATCCTGGAGAGAGGAGAACCAGGAGAACCAGACAGCATACAGACAAGAGCGCTGCCTGCACAAGGGGAGGGTGCTGGACGGAAAGCAGAGCAGCCGACACCACCTGCACCGGCAGCGGACAATGCTCCACCGCCGCCGAATGGCTCGTCCCAGCCACCTACAGTAGATGAAGACGAATGGGCCGCCTTCGAGCGCGAGGTTGCACCATTAGCCGCAGCCACACCGAACTACTCCTCGGCGACAATCACTGCAGCACCGGTCACAACCGCTCAGCTCAAAACCCAGGAAGACGAAGACAGGCGGAGGAAGCTAGAGATTGAAGCGGAGGACGAAAAGGAGGACGAAGAGAGAAGGATAGAAGAAGAATTCGATCTCATGGAGCAAATGGAAGAGCGGATTCGACGACTGCGAGAGAAGAGGGATGCACTCAGAAGCGGTGTCATGGCTGGAAGGGATACGGGGCAGGGCGTGAATGCGATAGCTGCTGACACTGCTGGACAGGATGCAGCCGAAAGTCGCGTTAACAGACTAGACGACGAGGGTGAAGAAGATGAGGAAGAGGAAGAAGATGAGTGGTATTCGTGAAACTCATAATGTTGCCAGACTAGGAGCATGCGATATTGGCATTCAAAATCAATCACTTGCTGGCCACCCTTGTGCAAGAGCTCTATAATATCTGGTCATGATAATCCTCAAATGAAAACCTGGGAAGCGAGCAAAAATCAAGTCAAGTCTTCGCCCATGACATCCTCTATCTCGACAACACCCGTCACCTCGTTGTGCTCGACAATCCCGAGTAAAGTGCCTCGCTTGAGGAATTCTTTGCCGCGACCGGATCCCTCGTCCCTCATCTGGTGAATCCATCTTTTGCACTCTTCGACTGTGGTTGAGCTCAGAACGGATATCCAGTCTGTCTTCTCGACCTCCACTCTGCCACACTCATCCGCCACAGCCGAAATAGATGCAGAGGGATCTCGTAGGTTCTGAATTCTCCTTGGACCTATCATATGAGTCTGAGAGGTCCGGACGAAACCGCGGGGTGACCTTACGGCGGCCACAAGCACATCCAAGCACAAGAGCGGACGGCTTGATTGTGCCACCGCAATTGGGACTTGCGACACTGCAGTCGCCAGGTCAGACATTCTGGGCGTGTTAGGAGCGGAGGTCTTCAAGGCAGCGCCAATTGCACCACCAGGATGATTTGCTGCAAAAATGGCCGGTGTCTGAAGACCAGCAGCGGCATGAAGTTCATCAGCGACCGCAAGGGCCAGGCTGTCGCCCAGTGCCAGGGTGATGGTTGTCGAGGTCGTTGGCGCTGACACCCCGAATGACGAGATCTCAGACTCATGAATGGTAGTCGGTAGAAGTATATTCGTCGAGCCCTGTCTTACCGGATGTGACAGCAAAGGACAAGTGGTTGGAGTCAGGTGTGCCGTCATGACGATCAGTGGGACACAGAATTCAACATGTGGAAGGAGGGCTAGGAGTTCGGGCGTCCTTCCAGAAAATGTAATCATGATAACCGTGTCATTGGGCCGAACGATTCCCAGGTCACCGTGGAGAGCCTCAACAGGGTGGAGAAATATTGCATGGATTCCCAGCGATACAAAAGTGGCGACAAGTTTCTTTGCAATATGACCAGACTTGCCAACGCCCGTGAAGATGGTCTTGCCATGCCGAGTCTCTGAAAGAATGATTTGTCGGATGGTCCGAAGAAGAGAATCCTGGACCTCCGCAGAATTGGTGTATAGTTCCTCGAGATGGGAGAGTGCCTGTCGCTCGGTGGCAAGCACGTGCAAAGCCTTCTTGATTGTTCGGCTGTCTGGCTTGAACGTCTTCTCGTCAAAGCTCGCCGGAATGTCCGGAGGCGTAATTGGTAAGGCCTCGATTTGCTCAGGAAGCGGACCATATAGTGGCATAGAAGGCGTGAGAGGCGTTGGGAGAGAGGCCTGCAGAGTGTAGGCCATTTTCAAGTGCAGGGCTCAGCCTTTCGTGTCGTGGAAAACAAAAGTAAAATGCCGAGGGCCAAATCTGCCACAGCCCGGTCTCAATAGAATTGGGGACAATTATTTGGTTCGGTTCGATGGTTGATTCAAGATATAATCCGTTGTGATGATGGTTCTGGAGTGCGAGTATCGAATCTCACCATCACCAGGGTCGTGGGTCAGCGATCGATAAAGCGTAGATCAGACGGCCACTCCGGATCGCGAACAGAGTATATTAATGACATGACGCCATAGACTTTGCAAAAGAGGCAGTAGAAAGGGGGAGGTGTGCACGACCTAGGGTGGACTTGCAGTCTGGGTGGGAAACAATGGACAAGTGACGAGGAGGAGGATATCAATTGTTTTTTCCCGATCGACTTATCGCTGTCATTGCGACAACGGAATGGAGGAGGAAGACCAGAATAGGGAAGGCTGGTGGGCCGGATTTTGGGCTCTTTTGGCCTCCCGACTCTGAAGTCTCGCCAGGTGTATTACCACTGGTGCGGCGCCCGTTTTGTGCCTATCAGCGAAGGAGTTTAATGAACAGGAAGCCTGGCTGAGGATCGGCAAGAAAAGAAGTGGGTTTCGGACAGAATCGATTTGTGTAGGTACTAGCTTGCAGAGAGAAAGAAAATGAAACGGCCCAAGTGAGATAAGGTTTTGCGGTGGTATGTATGTATCGAGAGATTGAGAGGGCGCGGCGTAGACAAGAAGGATTGGTCAGTTTCAAGAACAGACCGCTAGATAAAGTCAGTAGCACTCTGCGAGATACACAAGAACATGGGGGGGACGAGGAAGGATTGATGACTCGTACAATACCCAGTACCTGGTCTGGAGACTCGAGGTCGATGGCGCAATTGGAGAGTAGAAGGACGCAAGAAAGAAAGCTTTCAACTAGACGAGGCGCCAACACCACCACAACCTGTGCTGCTGCCGCCGCGAGCGGAAACAATTCTCTTGACGTTCTGTAAGTGGGGGCTGTTTGCGGTCCTTGCCCCTCCTAGCACCTACGAGTCCGCGCCTAAGTTTAGCTGCCTGGCAGTTACGTAGCGCCTAGAGTATTATGTATTATTACCTATTACCTGTAGCACCCACCCAGTCTGTACTGAGTACCTAAGTACCTAAGTAGGTAAGTAGGGGCGCTGCTCCTTTGATCCATCGTCGATTCTCCACTCAACTTGCTCACTTGGTTATTACCTCGTACTCAGTTATCAGCATCCAAGCTGAGTCCTTACCAAGCTGTCCCTGCACTTATGTCCTTCAATCCATCATTCCTCAGGTGCTTGCCCTGCCTTTGCTCCATGGAGCCTGGCACCAGATGGCCAATTCACCCCCCAAGCATCTTCCTGCGTCCGGATTCAGCGCCTTGCTGACGAGGATACGGTATCGAACCCAATCGCTTCGGCTACTCGCGCCATGTGCTTGATATGCCAGCAACCTTTAGCAGCTGCGAAACTAGGTGCTGATGACAAACCCGTGCTGGACCTTCCCCCCTCACAGTAGGTCTAGATGAGACCCTCTGACCGCTCGACCTTCCAAGCGACTGAGAAGCATGCAATCATGGGATGGGCGGCCGCAGCGGCTTGCACCTGAAGTTCAAGACCCCTGGTCGACGATGCATTCGCTTGGCCCCCCAACCAGATACACACAATGTTTGCGGTACCTGATCTGCGCTGTGTGCAACAACACTAAAATGCTGAGCTGGCAATAGGGACCGTGGGAACGAGTGGGAACGAGTGGGAACTAAGTGACCACAATCTTTCAACAAGACAACGCAGAACGAGGTACATATGTGAGCCCTCCCACCCTTACCTAGAACTCCCCAGTCGCTGCCATCAATAACCCGAGTTGCCCGAACCAGCCTTTCACCTGCCATTTTCGCCGTGTTACCAGGTTTAACGCGCGTAGTACATTCCAGGCATGCCGCTGCTGTGCTCGCGATCGACTGCACGACTTAGCGATGGTGTCCGATAAGACACATGGCGATAATTGGATGGTTAACTCCCCCATCATGACTCAATCTAGGGTTGGACGCAGGAGGCACATTGTGGTCTACGATGTATTTCACCAGATATATGTATATATATATATATATATCGCATAACATAAAACATCCAGAACATGCTGCAGAGCCTTGACAACACAGCCTGATGACTGTCTTACTGGCCCGATCATGAAGACTTTCCTATATCGATTGGCAACAAGCAAGCGTATTCGGCGCCACCTCAGGCATCTCATTTATTTCGCAGTCCTTCAACTGGAACTCGGCAAAGCTAAATTTCATTGCTGAAGGCCTGCCATATTCTTATCAACGAATATGTATTTCTATACAAGATTGTCCTGTGATCCTTCTCTTTTTCTCCCTCTTTCCTTTCTGCTCGAGCCACGCTTTCATATTTGCAGAAGTACAGAATTCCAAAAAAAAAAGCGTTCGTCCTTGATATACGCCCATGGCAATAGTATAGCTCGACCGCGCAATCCGACCGTTGGCCATGGTGGGTAGTATTCCTGTGACTTGGCCGCTCCGCCCCAGGGCTTGCAGATTTCTCTTTCTGGAAATATCATTCCCCCGGCGACGCAATCTCAGGGGAAGAGACTGAGGGTGTGATTTGTCGAACCGATAATCCGCCTGTAGGGTTTCAGAACTTGCGAATGTGAGTCTGACCATACCACGGATCCGATACAGAAAGAAAACGCATTTCAGCTGGAAATGTTTGACCAGTGCGTACCCGACCCAGTTTCGTCTGGAATATTCAATATGGACCACATATCACAGTCAGGGAAAGTCATCCAGAATCAAAGCCCCCTTATGAGGAACCGCTTTCATATGTTCCAGCGCCTTGACCTCTCTTCTCTTCGCAAATTCCAGTATAGGCTCGAAGTTTCGACATTTGTGTTCACGGAAGAAGTCAGGGAATTGTTTCGGTGGGTTGCCCACCCAGACGAAGGGGAGGAGGCCTGTGTCAGAGCTACACATGAGAGCCTGGCGAAGTGTGTCGAGACAGTGCCCTAATACAGACGCACGAGAGATGGTCAGTTGATTTGTGTTTCGGTCGCAATAGAACACCAAGGGATAAGGGGGCCCGTCGAAGTGAGAATAAAGAGACCATTCCCGACATACCAATATGGAGTTTGACTATGCGATCGCCGTCAGCGAATTCCCCTATGCTGTGGGACTGGTAGTATTCGTAATTGAACCAGAGGCCTCGGCGTAGAAGATTCTGGGTCTAGGTCAGCGATAGCTCCAGTATTGATGCGCTGGGATCTTCTCGGAGCGCGGAAACGTTGGCTTCCTTACCAAGCAGTGTATTTGATGCGTGACTTCCACAAATGCCACATAACCGGGGCCTCCATAGTCCTCCCCCACCATGACACGATCCAATTCTAAGCCGGACTTTTTGGCTTCGTCGACAGTCAGGACAACGCCTTTGACTAGAGGCAGGAGAAGGGTTAGAAACGACATTGAACCACATTCCGAAGTGCGATATGGGGGCGTGGAGGTACTCACGTTCAGTACCCAGTTCCTCCCAGGCTGCGTCAACTTCCGGACTCGCTGCTTGTCGATAAATGGATTCCTTGTAGAATGACGCGTTGAATCGCGTGCTGCTGTAATGGATGTTTACATCTTGCTCAACAGGGCCTGACACGTTCTGTTAGTGTACAACAAAGTTTGGAAAAGTGCAGGCCGAAAAGCTCACTCCAGTTCTGTGAAGTGTGAGCGGTGCACACCCTGTCTAATTGACTGTGCCGATAGACTCGAGCACCGTAAAAGGTGAATGCATTGGATACGACAAGAACCATCGCGCAAAAGGTCCACCACAAGAGCCTCTTAGAGTTCCAGACTGGCTTTTCACGAATAATAGATCTTTCCGTCGAATCGTCCTTGAGATCCAGCAAAAAGGGCACATTGGATTCTTCATATGAGTCCATGATTAATCGTCGAAGAGATGGTACCTTGCCTAGGATATCGCAGTCAGTACTTTGTTCGTGTGGTCAATTTCGACAGCGAAGTTCTCTGCAGAAGAAATGTCCAGGAGACAACTGAGTTCACAGTCTAGGGGAAGCTGCTCGGCTTCCCCCCGGTCGATGATACATGGCGAGCTTTTGATCTTTTTTTGGAACCGGCAAATGGCCATTCGATGAAAGAGGAAGAGAGATTCCCAGTAAGGTGTGGCGGTCATCCTAGTCGTGATCTGGAGAATGACCGGTGCCCCCCCACAACATGTTGATTATGGGTTAGAATACAGGCCGTTGTGGTTGGATCGTGCACGTGTTGGTATGTACGTAGTCCTTTGCATTCCTGAGATCGGATTCATCTGCGTATGGACATGAGATCATTCCCAGAAGTGCAGATGCCGACCCCGACTGTGTCGGTGTACAGCCGTGTCGAGCACATGAAGAATGTGGTGAAGGGCGAGTGCTCTGCTGCAAAGCCTTTTTCAGACTCCATAAAAACAATACATGACCTTCTCATAAGGACGTAGCCACCTTGACCATATTCCGTGGATTGGGAGTATGGAGTATGGGAGAAACTCGCATTGTAGCGCTTTTGGTATAAGTCCATTCACTGCGGCATCCTAGAGGCATTGTTCGAATCTGGATTTTGACTTATGCACTAGATAACTATTAGTCGAATGCAGAAGATGCATCAAGACACAGTCTTCCGGTATAAAGCTTTGTCTGGAGATTCATGAAGACAAAGTCAAATCCGAGAATAGAGAGAAAAGGAATACATGAAGAGAACGGGGTGAGATGTCCCCTCTGCCAGATGGTATTAGCGGTGGTGGTGGAGCTCCTTCAAAGCGGGCATCCCGCAAAAGTCCAGAAAGTAGCATCGGCAACCCGCCTCGCCGCCAATATCTTTTTTGACCCGATCAACGATCAACGATCTCAAACTGCGCTCGTGTTCTCCTGAACAATTACGCACCTCATCGCAGCTTTCATCCAACACGCCCATTTACAGAGAGTAATCTTACTCGGTATCAAGAGCTCTGACCGCTTTCCGCACCTCTCGATCGATGGGCTCAACACAATGCCTTCCGCTTCCCCCTCTCCCATCAAACGGCCCTCGCTAAACGAGCGCACGTCCTCGACCCATTCTCTGAGTTCCTCAGGCAGGCAAACAACCACCCACAAAGCCCACCGTCCCCACGTCGTCAATCGCCATTCAAGAAATGTCTCGCACGGAAAGGGACTCAGTAAACTAGGCAAGGTCCAATCTACCGCCAGCATCACTTCCGACTATCAGAACCATCACCAGCGGAAAAAGTCAGGGGGCACCTCACCTCCCCACAGCCCGAGAACGCCTCTGGTAAAACGCAACAGCTCCCATGTCACCTTGGTCAAGAATACCTCCTTCGGGAACCTGCGCAAAAATCAATCCGCCAACGCTCTGCCACGAAACGTCTCCCACGGGGCCCTGAAGAAGGTCGGATTAACGCCGGCAGTTAGACGGAAGAGCAAGGGAGAGAAAGATGGCGTGTTTCAACTTGGTGACCGATCTTCAGACGATGAAGAGGAGGGTGAATGGGAGGACTCAACCACACAGTCTCCCGAACTCACACGCAATAATTCCAAGACATCTACGCCAGTGAGGGCACATACGCCCAACGGTGAGGCAGCCCCTCGACGCCCTACAGACCCGGACATTAGCCATCCCGAAAAGACGTCCTCGCCTCCCCAAGCATCCTTAAAGACCAAAAATCGATCTGCGCCGAACCTCAAGAATGAGTTGGCCATATTGCAGTCGCAGAACCCTGCTGATCCTGCCCTGCTTCAACAATATCCTCGATCTTCTCGTGCCCCTCCGGCAATGTCGACTGTTTCTGCACACGTTGGACCTGGCCAGTTGGTGCGGAACGACTCGTCCAGATCCTTCACCCACATTTCGCATGCCGACGCTGCTTCGTCAACAGCGAACACGGGTCACACGGCCCTTACCCCTGCCTCCGGAAAACTTACTCCTTCGTCGTCCGGCCCCGTGTCCGGGCCCGTTTTGGTGTCCTCGTCTGTAGAAGGTGGTGTCTCACATTTCCTACCGACAGACACTCCAGCCGGCTCCGTCCGCCATATTGTAGACGACTCTGATGAAGACTCCCCGTCAAACTTTCTTTCCAACTACAAACCCCAACCGTCGGAATCCCCGGAGAAGGCCAGGACTCTGCACAAGGCAAGGATATCCCAGAATCCATCCCGGACGCAGCAGAAGCTTGAGCTGCAGAGAAGGGAGATCATGAGAGCAGGCGCGGCGACACCTACAACCCCTCCCCCGGCCGGCATGGGACTCCAACTAGGGTCTGGGACGGCGATGCATGGCCGTGCAGGATCCAGAAATAGAAATCGATCGCTAGCCGGGGAAATCAAAGCTGCGAAGCAGGATTATGAGAGTGCCGTCAAACAGTTGATGGTGGTTAGGAGGTTCCGCAGTCCACTCGTTGAAAGCATGAATCGACTCAAGGACAGCAATTCACTGCCTCAAGACGTTGGCTCCGTCGCCCCTAGTGGAGCATACTCTAAGAGCAGACCGCAAAGTCGGCGTGGACCCAGTGCGACGAATGTGAATGGACACACAAAGACTGGCGTCAGCCGGAGCTTGGAGGACCCAAAGCCGTCACCATTGATGTCACGCTCCAACAGCAGAGGCCATGGGGGTAGAGTCCATTTCCAGCGCCAGAGCAGCCATGATGATATCGAGGTGACACCGTCGCAGGGCAATCTTGATGGTGCCCAGGACGATGAGCATTTTGGACTTTCATCGGAGGAGGCGCTGATGCGGCGGATTTGGGACAGCCGGGAAGTGTATGACGCTGGCGAACCTGGATCGGCGTGAGGGTTCGTTGCTGGGTATTCCCGCCCTGGAAGAACGGGCGATGGGTTGCTTGTCTACCTTGGTGTTTCATGTTGATGTTTCTATTCTTCTGCGTTTGAGCGCATTATGACTTAGTAGTTACCGGTTCTGCCGTCCACAGTCGGACCTGATGGGGCAGTGTCTAGTAAAGGGAAGTGCTGCGACGGGATCACGGTTTGGCGGTTTATTGGGCACTCGAATTCGTTATCAACGACCTTCTACGTTCTTGATCATCGAGAGTCTTTCATCCAGCCTCCAAACAATTCGATTAACCCTGGCCCTGGGTCTATCTGGTCTGTATCCTCTCCGAGTCCCTTGAACTGGCCTAGACTTGATCGGGCAAGTAATATCGGCCTTGCCGTTTCCCGATGTACTTTTGCTCGCGTCTTTCCGAGAATTTCTCTCTTTGATTCGTCGCCCTCGGCCAACTCCTTCAACGCAATGTCGGCTACAAGCTTGGAATATCCTCCTGCTTGCCCCTCTTGTTCCCATTGTCAAGACATGATTGGGGACATTGCGGTGATGGAAAGTCATGCTTGACCGAGGGCCATGCAACACTTGGGCAGTTGGAAGGTTTGCGCGATCGATGCTGGGCCGCTTCGCCACTGTAAAGTCACCTTTCGTGCTTTTCTCACCCTTCTGCTGTCTCCATCATGCAGGGCATGGGCCGTCGATGTCCATCAGAGGCTCCTGGCACTCTGGTGGGTTGGGTTATACGAGGCTCTTGTGGTACCTTCACACATTGGCCCTTGCAGGGTCCTGGTAAGGCTATTAAAGGCGCCCGCTCATTCTGTCCTCATCTGTTCCGACAGACACCGCTACCTTCAGCAAGAGCTCTATTTCCACGGCTGTGAGATTGGTGCCGTGTGACGACCATCGTCACCTTTTTCATATCTGAACAGGCTCAGTCCAGGCTCCGGTCCTCACCATGGCAGCTCCATCACCTGCATACAGCTCCCAATCGTCCTCTGATGCGAGTCACCACGGCGCCAGTTCGCCCAGTCTCCCATACGATCCTCCTCTCACATTCTCCACCGTCATCGACCATGATCACAACACGATCAACAAAGTCGCTGGGCGCCTTCTTAGGGCCAAGGCACCCCAGGACCGTGCCCGCCTCCTGAAGGAAGTCACCTGGCGGCTCGTCCGGCACGACGTGTCGGAAGACATCGTCATGCGGCCCGCTTTCATCGAGCACCTTGGCGATGAGGGCGTGCACATGGCCGAACACGACCGGACAGACCACGAGAGAGCCCGCTCCAAACTGCTCGCACTGTTCCACGTTCCGCTCGAAGGGGACCAGTTCCTCGGCGCCCTGCGTGCACTCTTCGCGCAGCTATTGGAGCACATGAAGGTTGAGTCCGGACAGCAGATCCCGCACTTGGAACACATGCTGGATCCCGAGGAGAGCCAGCGGCTGGGCAGGGAGTATTTGAAGACCCAGCGCCTTACCCCGGACCTGCAGGTAGTCGACAAGTGCACAGGCGCGAGGAGGCGGGTGTGGAGCGACGTCGAGGACTTCGCTAGGACGGAGCTGCAGAGATTCAAGGAGATCTGGGACGAATTGAAGCTGAGCGACGACCAGATCGACGCCGAGGTTGAAGCATGCCACAGGAGGAGGCTTCATCGCGGAAAGTTGTAATTGAAGCCTCGTTGGGTTCGCTTTGGTGTCGAATGGCGTGCTACATGGCGGCGTTTTACCTGGCTCAGCGGTGGCGAACGGCGTCAGATCTAGGCACAACTTGTTCGTGCCGTCGAGGGAGGGATTTGCTATATCATTACTACTGACCATACAATACTCACTTCGCAGGTCAAGGCTAGAGATTAACGAATTAACGAATTTCTCTTCTCTCTTTTTCTCTCTCTCTTTCTTCACCTTAGAACTACATCAGATCCCACATCGACAGATGATTGACTAAGTCGCCTTCCTAGCGACTAAATTAAAAGGTTTCCTTCCACAGTTCATCCATCACCAATCTGGAATCAACTCATTGCTCTCCGAACTGTCCTCGTCCAGGACTTTCCTCGCGGCTTCCCTTCCCCAAACAGGCAGCCTCTCGACCTCCTCCTCCCTCCCTTCCTCGGCGGTCTTGAATGTCTTCGGAATGTATTTTGGATCCAGCAGTCCTACTTGCACGAGCACGGTCGCCTGATCCCAGTGGACGTGCTCGTGGAAAAGCTTGCCTCCACGCAGGCACACCACGCTGACCAGCACAACTTCCACCTTTTTGTTCGTCGGTGGCACGCCCGGCAGCATCCAGGGTATGTCGGTGGTGTGTGTGAATGAGACAAACATCTCGTCGACTACCCTGTCTACGCCAACGGTTCGGCTCAGCAGCCGTATCCGCATGTCTGGCGGGTTATTGGGGATGAAAAAGTCGGCGTAGAATCGGCGAAGCTGGTCGTGGCCGATCCCACCTGTCATGGTTGGGACGTGGTTCACGTATGGCTGAGGTACCATGGTCGCCATGGTCTTGTCGACGTCCTTTTCCCCAAACTCGAGTCGCGTGTGAGCCTCCCAGATTGTTTCAAGGTCGGGCCCCTCGATGTCAAAGGCTAAGCGAAGCAGACCTAGTGTTCGCGACCAGGCTAACGAGGCGCCAATCTTGTCGAATTCCTCGAGGTCGTGCTCGGCGAAGCCTGGTCGGGTGTTCTCGTAGCGATATGACGGGAAGCGTGTGCCCCATCTCTGCGAGGCGGCCAGGTGGATCAACACGTTCAAGGTCGGGGGGAAGCTGGTTGTGGTTTTCGGGACATGTCCTGGATAGTACGCGACAACAGCAACAAGCTTGGGCATGGGCTTCATACAAGCTTCCAGAACCAGAGTTGCAGCGTCGCCGTAGGCTGGAAAGAAAAAGACTGTCAGATCCTTGAAATTGAGTGGGTGTTGAAATCCTAGGGGGTCGGTTGTCGATAGAAGGTTCACACAAAATAGAAGTCGACGACATGTCTCGAGCGTAATGTGTATCCTGTTCTTCACTTACCTACGATGGCGTAGCGCTCCCCAAGCTCCAAGGGGTCTTGTAAGTGCTGGAGCTGTGCCATATAGGCCGCCTTGTCTCCCTCATATTGAAGATAGCTCAGCTGAAATCCTTCCTCTTGGAAATGAGATATGATTGTCGGGTCAAAGTCTTCAGTGTCACTTGTCAACACGAGTCGAGGCGTGGTCGTTGTCCAGCTCAGATGCACAGTTCGGCCACCTCCTCGCATCCTACGCCGGATTTGCTGCTTGAGTCGTCCAACATCGCCTGGGCGGGTGTCAACATCAATGATGGGCCTGCCACCGATTTCTACGCGGACCATGTTGTTCGAGGGTACACGGTGTGAAATTTACTACAAGAGAGGAGACTGGAAGAAGTAAATCGAAAGATCGAGGTAGAAATGCGGTGATTGACCTTCTTAAACTTGGTCAGTGCATCCCATTGTAGTCACTGCAAGTCGAATATGACGTATAGCATCGGCAACTTCCAGTCAGCCTTGTACACTACCTCTAGCCAATCATAGCAGGCCAGGCTGAAGATGTGGATGCGGGTGACTTTGACCGCGAATTTCTTTGTCGATCTGTCAAGGCATCGACGTGCTTTCTCCGAGTAATGGCTTTGTGCAGGAGATCGTTGTTTTTTCGCTCCGCGTACCGAAAACCTCTGCGATTCGCCTGCCAAAGACGCAAGAACTCCTCTGGTCGAGATAAATTCTTCCGCATATCGGAAGAAGTTCAGGATGCCCTTGCAACTGGCAAGCCAGTCGTTGCACTGGAGACTACGATTTACACGCATGGTACATTGTCCAGCCTAATACAGGATGTTCAAGGCTCACAAGTCATCAGGGTTCCCCTACCCTGAAAACGTTGCCCTATCCTCCCACCTGGAATCCCTAGTCCGTGTCAACGGCGGCGTGCCCGCAACCATCGGCATCCTCGAAGGCAAGGCTTGTGTTGGCATAGCTGCTGAAGAACTCATACAACTTGTGTCCACCGCCGGCAGTGAGAACACGTGGAAGATATCAAGACGGGATCTGGGTTTCATCGGGGGTCTAGGGCTTCGAGGTCAAAAGCTCAATGGTGGCACAACCATCGCTGGGACAATGGTCCTTGCATATTTAGCGGGCATCAAGGTCTTCGCAACAGGTGGCCTGGGAGGTGTTCATCGTGGAGGGGAGAATTCTATGGACATTTCCGCAGACTTGACAGAACTTGGGCGAACGCCTGTAGCGGTGATTTCAAGCGGTTGTAAGAGCTTCTTGGATATCCCGCGCACGTTGGAATATCTTGAGACGCAGGGGGTGGGCGTGGGCACCTTTGCGGATGGCAGACAAGGAGATGTCGACTTTCCCGCCTTCTTCTCCCGTGACAGCGGTGTCAAAAGCCCCAAGACAATTCAGGACGAGGCTGATGCCGCAGCTATTATCTATGCACAATACGGGTTTCCCGTCCATTCTGGATTGCTTTTTGCCAATCCGGTCCCAGAAAACTCGGCAATGGCAAAGGAAGAGATCGATTCAATTATTACTCAAGCAGTCGCCGAAGCCGAGCAGAAAGGCATTGGTGGGAGTGCCAACACTCCCTACATCTTGAAGCGGATTCGGGAACTAAGCAACGGAGGGAGTGTGCGGGCGAATGAGGCCTTGATTGAGGCGAATGTCGTCCGCGGGACTAAAGTCGCCGTCGAACTGGCGAAGCTTGAGAGACGGCGTGGAGCTGCGCCTCAGCGGTGAGCCGTGTTCGGCTTTTCACAGGGTAGACAGGGCACTTGCTGACATGATCTAGAGAGAATGCCAGCAAGGTCATCCGGGGTGGGAACTTAGCCACACCTACAATGAGCACTCAAAGTGCTCCGAATAGCCTAGCGGAACCGGTACACAGGTCTGTTGAACAGTCCTTTCAGCCGGTGGAAATACTTGTCGCCGGATCGCTCGCAAGTGATACAGTGTGTGACCATCGGCCGTTCAAAATCACACCGGACTCAACCACTCCAACGCTTCACACTTCGAATCCGTCCACCATTTCTCAGTCACCCGGCGGGGTCGGCCGTAATGTTGCCATGGCCGCCCATCTGGCAGGTGCAAGAGTCACACTGGCGAGTGTGGTGGCGGACGATCCGGCCGGGGCATCTCTTCTCGATCATGTTGAGAACAGCGGTCTTGGGACGACGGCTATACGACGGCTTTCTACTAATGACGGTGCGCGAACAGCACAGTATGTCGCCGTCAATGACACAAACAAAGATCTCATGGTTGCGATGGCAGATATGTCAATATTTGCTCTCCCGGAACTCGAATCGCCAGACTATTGGATGGCAAAGATGGATGAAAGCAAGCCGAAGTGGGTGGTTGTCGACGCAAACTGGTCTCCGCCCATTCTTTCGTCTATCTTGAAGGCTGCGAAAGCCCACCAGGCTTTTGTTGCGTTCGAACCTGTTTCTGTTGCAAAGGCTGCTCGTCTTTTCCACAAGGACAACTCTGCCATCATCAACGCTAACGTAGCGCCAAATCATGTTGTTAGCCTTGCGTCTCCGAACAGGCTCGAGTTAACAGCAATCTACAACTCGGCCAGAAACGCGCTGATGTTTGAATCAGAGCAGTGGTGGAACACAATCGACAGCCTTGGTCTCTCTGGCACGAGTTCTCGGGATCGATTGATCTCTGTCGCGGGTCATGAGTTAGTCGAACATGGGATCCCACAACAATGTATCCAGCTTCTTCCATTTATCCCAAATCTGGTGACAAAGCTCGGACATCGAGGGTGTCTCTTGGCTTGCCTGCTGCGGCGTGGGGATCCGAGACTCACACAGCCAGAGAACGCCCCATATGTGCTGTCGAGAAATTTGTCCCATGAGCCTGAGATAGGTGGCTTGTATATGCGGTTGATTCCACCATTCGTTGAAGTCGAACAGAACGAAATAGTGTCTGTCAATGGCATTGGTGACACAATGTTGGGTGTTATCGTCGCAGGCCTTGCTAAGGGTCGCACGCTTGAGGAGGTGCTGCCTATTGCACAACAGGCAGCGGTCCTCTCCCTGAAGTCTGCAGAGGCTGTATCACCCCATGTCCGGAATGTGCAGGCAAGGCTCAGGTGAGGCGTGAGGCTTTACGAGATCACCCCAAGGTCACCCTTGCCTTGTGCGCACGCCCGATCAAGGCTGAGACGTTGACGAGCCAATCCCGTCGCTTCCGTGTCACATGAAGCGAGGCTTGATGCCTTAGTCAGCAGCCGCTCTCCGATATCTTTCGATCTCTCCCAGCCACTGACTTCCCGGCTATTTCTCCCATCAGCCCATCCAATCCGTTGAAATACAGGGTCAAAGGCATTCTAGATTGCGCGTCATCATCGAAAGCATCGCAACGGCGTCGCAATGATTGGACTCCTCTCTATACTCCATATAGCATTTCTCCTGTTCCCATGGGCAGTGTGGACAAACCCGATTGTCCATAGCCTTAGCACAGATCCGGCGGATTCCGCGGCTTCAATTCAGCATCTCAATATGTCGGAGTCGATATCTCAGATAAATATTCTCGAGATGGGAAGCCAGATAGGTTCCATCGCCGCGCGACAAGCCTCCTGTCCCAACCCATCCACAAACTCACTTTGCCCGCAAAACTTCTGCTTCATCCTGCAACAGAACAGCGACAACACGGCGTGGGCAACGTGCTGCCCTACTGGCTGGGTGCTAAGGTTGAATTCGGCCGACTGGACAACGCAGAAATGCGTATTTAATGGTATATCGGAACCGCCGCTGCGACCGCTGAGCTGCGGCGGCAATGGGGGGATTTTCTCCGGATGGGCATGCGTCTATTCGAATCAGAATGTCAGCGCAGGTGCGAGGACGAAATGGTCGACAGTTCTTGTTACGGCAATCCCTCTCTTTTGGTTCGGACTGAGTTGGTGCTCGTAACCGGGGCACTCCGTTCCCGGTCCGGTCAACAAGCACGACTGTGAGGGCACAGCAGAGCACAGCAACGACAATGGCAGACATGGTTACGTGGCCACGACCGCCTAAGGCCACGACGACAGACCCCAACATGTATCCCGACGATGTACGAGCATCCTGGAGGATCTGCATGTTCTGAGCGCATTATGATTGCTGTTTACGATACCCATGACTCCATGACTCCACGACTCGAGGCTCCTAATGCACCACGAGTCTCCGACTCGCTTATGTAGAAGTATATTCAGACTAATGTTTCCCATTTTCCTTGCGACCTTCTCTCTTTCTGATAGTTGCAGAATGGTCTTGCGAGTCTTCGCGCACTGACCCACCCACGAGTCCAAGACCACCCACCCTCGGCGACCTCGGGGTCTACCCAGATTTCCAACCATGTCGCCGGTTTCCCCTTAGCGGGGTCCAGTCTCTGGCAATCCAGCAGGGGCCAAGAGGTTTCAAAAAATTTCACCAACTCGAACGGGCAATGGTGACGTGAGGAATCAAGCGGCTTTCGGCCTCGTCGAATTTACCAAGTGATGGATCCGATGGAGGGCGATTTCATTTCTAATGCAAGGGGGACGCAAAGGGGGGGGGTGGAAGAGGCCAAAAAGGACCGAGAACTGACCTACAAGGACTTGTAACAAGTACATTTAATAATGATGCTGAATAACGTGCCTCCTCGTGCTTGCTCCCCTCAATGGAGGGCAGTCCCCGATAATGGAAGAGCCCAGAAATAGAGGGGCAAAAATGTCACGATGTACCTGCTATGAAGAATAATCCGCGGTTAGCTTAGGTGGTCTTGTGCTTGGTGATTTCCCGGATATACGGTGGAAAAGATATCCTAGCCCTTTGGTAGGTATATATACACATATATAATCCGTCGCTTCCCGGCGCCACGGCATCTTGACACCAGTTGCGGAATTCGAACCAAACCAGGCTCACAATCGATCAGGCCAAAAGTCAAACAGCAGCAAGAAAGGACCAGTTTTAGCTAAGAACCTACGGAAAGCGAACACACGACGTCAACACATATACCAAGATGTGCATGAAGAGAACGTGTCCTACTTGTCGTAAGTCTCCTTCCCCATCCCTCTTCTCCTAGGCTCTTTTGATTCTCCAGAGCTTAGGGCAAACATTCAGCCCATTGCGCCCCATTATCTCCCCCGGGGCAAACATCCCCTGCGGACTCTTTCCGCCTTGGATTTCTTGGCACGACGACCCCTTGGAAGGGAAAGAAAACATGCACTAACTCGGGGTCCGAGCAGAGAAGACGACGTGGTGGGGATGCGGGAGACACATCCCCAGCGTCATGGACTCCGTACCCAAGGACGCCAGGTGCACCTGCAAGCCCACGGTCGAGGTCAATGGGAACGTGTACCCGCCCAAGCAGGGCGCGGGCCATCCTGAGTAGGCAGGCTGTGCATGCGTGGATTAAAGAAAGGACAATCAAAAGAAGGGATGGATGGAAGTTGAAGGAACAAGCAGGCAGACAGACGAACAGATGTCGGATATGGGGGAACAGGATTGCTGAGGGAGGTCCATTTCATCTCGTTGTCTGGAATCTTTGTCTTTTTCGGAAACACCCACGAGGGAGAGGCAAGGGCATACAAGATACCATTTCAGCATGTGTTCTCCATGCCTGCTTCGTTCCTCTCGATCTTCAGGTGAAGACGATACCACCGTCAATGACCATCGTCTGGCCCGTGACGAACTCCGCGTCTTTTGAGCACATGAACCCGCCAACAACATTGCCGACGTCCTCTGGCACACTCACGCGTCCCAACGCCGTCAAATCCGAGCTATACTTCTTGACCGACTCGCCCTTCTTCCTTCCCTCGATCTCGCCCAACTTCTCATCAATGAGGTCCCACATCGCCGTCCCAACAATCCCCGGAGCGTAGGCGTTCACGTTGATCTTGTGCTTGGCCATCTCCATTGCAAACACCTGTGTGAGTCCCCTGACTGCCCATTTCGACGCGCTGTAGTGCGACAGGAGCGGAAACGGCTTGAAAGCAACGATGCTCGCCGCACCAAGGATCTTGTATCCACTGCTCCCTTCGGGCACGGGTCCCTGGGATATCATCTGTCTCGCCGCGTGCGTATAACACAGCCACACTCCCATGAAGTTCACGTCGAACATTCTGCGGACGTCTGCGTCGGAAATGTCCAGTGCCGGAGCGACCTGCGCGATGCCGGCGTTCGCGACCATCACTGTCAGGGGACCAAGCTTTTCTACCGACTCTTTTATCATGGACTGCACTTCTTCCGAGGAGGTTACGTCGGCGACTACGCCGATGGCAGCGCCGGAGCCATGTTTGGAGTTGAGCTCGGAGACAAGTTTGTCGATGCCGGGTTTATTTGCCGAGACGTCGTTGATGCAGACGGCATAGCCTTCTGCTGCGAGGCGCCGAGCGATGGCTTCGCCGCTGGGAGGAAAGGAAGGGTTAGTGAGTGCTGATTGATACACCGGATGTAGAAGTATACTTGCATCCCGCGAGATGAGCCCGTCACGATTGCGGTCCGCTTGGCCATTTGTTCTGTCCGACAGATCTCGAGCTTCAACGGATGAAGGGTTGAGGTACTGTTTGATATTCTAGGCGACGTGATTCTTGAAAGGCTTCGAGTTGGTTGCAGGTCTGGAGCGCCCGGGCCTTACTCAGGCAACGAAAGATTTATGTTTACATCGTGCGACGTTACCAGTCTCGCTGCTGTCATCCCGAGGTCTTCTCCTCTTCGGACACGCGGAGTGTTGTGATAAACCTACCAGCGCGAGTTATCCATTGATTGTCCTCGAACCACTCGAAGGTGGAGTAGGGACATGCGTGAGCAACAGTAGGGCGAGCTTGGGCGAGGAGGAGAAAGAAGGAGTGGGAGAAAGTGCGGGGCAATAAGGACCGAACGCAGCTCGGGCGGGACGATTTCCGAGATATGTACTGGGTACGTCCTTTCAAGGTCCTCCATACGCCTCACTGGATGGTTTCACGGTGGACGAGTGGCACACTCCTGGTTGGTTCTGAGTAGTTGATGTTGTTGAATTTGTGGAGGGTCATCACAGGAGTGTACAGTAATCAGTGGGGGGCCACAGCAAGATGTTCTTATGTTGCCCTGCGAACTTCGTCTTGCTCGACAGCGCTGCTTCTTCCGCCGGCTCGGGGCAATAGCACCGAACTGTTTTTGCTTCCGCGGATTGGGCTGTCGAAGTCAGGCTCCCTAGGCCTCATCCTGGTCTTTCTCTCATTCGCCAAACGAGGACTTCGAGGCATGCCAACGCGTTGCTCGTCCAAACTCAATGCGGTTGTCGATGGATCCGCTGACACTCCGTTGATTCGTACTGACTGAGAAAGCCCTAAGAGCAATTGTGACCGGACAAGGAGGAAATATGTCCGAGAGACAGCTTGGTGGTACACAGACACAGAAGAATCATCATGTTGGTCATTTTGAGTAACAGGATCTGGGTTCTGAACGTGAGGAACGGGATCTGAACTGCCCACAAATCAATCCATAAATTTGCAAATTGGCAATCGATAGTGGTCGATGTTCCAGTATTTTCGGCGAACGCCCTGCCATTCCCGCGTCAAATCGGGGAGCTCAACGGTCTCCCATTCCACGTCGAAATCGGACTCAAACAAGTCAAACTCGACAACCTTCTGATACACGTCGTAGCTGACCTGTCTATCGGCGCCCATGCCGTTGAAGAAAGACCACCGGCCGTTCTGGTTCAGGAGGCTGATCACTTGCTCCGAAAAAAAGTCGCGAAATGTGCCATATGACTCTGCGAAGGTGTCGAAGTAGATGGCGTCAAAGGCCTCGCCTTCTGCGATGAGTTGCGGAAGCACAGTTTGCCATTTTCCTCTGTGAGCGACCACATTGGACTTCTCCATCCATCCATTCCTTTCCATGTTGCTGAGAACATCGGGATGAGCTTCCACAATATGGTGACTAGCTGGTTTGTTAGCATGGTTTTGAATGTGCGTATCGATGATGCCCATGCCGAAGCCGATGTTCAAGATCTTGAGTCCCGGTTCTGGGAGGAGAGCATTAGCAGACCGAAGCATAATGTCGCTTTCCCATGCCATCATGACACCGTTTTGTTGTTCATCCAGAAGTCTGTTGTCGCCGACTGATAGTGCTGAAGAGAGGTAGACAGAGCTTGAGACATGTTCCTGCAGGCCGTTGGCTTCCGAGTTGTCCTGGCCGTGCGACCCTTCTGCCCCGTGGACATCCTCGCCGTCTTCACCGCCGTGGAGTCTTTCGTACCCTTCCAGGCGATTGAGAACCATCTCGGCGCGGACTCCAGCATCCACCATAATTTGATAGAGATCATGCAGGCCCAGGCGGTAGGCAATACAGCCGGGGGTCTCATCATTCTTGTCTAGCTGGTTCCAGATCGCGCCATTCTCGAGCAAGAACTTGAGAAATCGAACACCACTCTCTTCACTATGTACGGGATGATCAGCGTCTCCGTTGACCTGTGTCACACAGGTAGATATTGCGGCATGCAGCGGTGAGAAGCCTGTGACCGAATCTTGGACATCGACAGCTTTGCAGTCCGGGAATGAATAATGATCGATACACCTTTCTAGTGCCCGTATGTCGTGGTTGGCGGAGGCGCGGATGATTTCCTGGACGTTGTCCACAAGGGCGCTACCGTTGTTGCCCGTCACTAGAGGTGTAGCCATCTTGACGTGGGTCGGCTCAGCAGCTCGTTTACCGGCAACCCATCTGATGTCCATCGAGCCATCGAGTTAATGGTGGACATGGCAAATTTGACATGGGCGAACGGAAAAATAGAAAATCCGAGGTCGGGCCAAGACCGGCTAAAGGCCTGCAGAAATCGCCATCGACCTGCCCTGGCAAACCAACTTGAAACTAACCTCAGCTTGGTTTGTCTTGCTTTCTAAGACTCTCACAGCCTCAATCCCATCGCGAGATGGCCATCCTGTCCATCTGGTGCCTTTTCGAGACTTAATAGGATAGTGGCCTTGCTGTCGAGGCTGCCCTTGATTCTACACTAAAAGCTTGAGTCCTCCGTCCATCCAGCCTTGGCCGTAAGACGTCTTCCGACAACGCCACGCGAGCGCAATACGACGGCCTCTGCCAAAATTCCAGGACTGGGGGCTGCAGTCTACTTTCCCTGGAAACATGAGGGCGTCTCTAACCAAACCATGTTTTTCCGTGTCATCAAATCGTGATGCAGAGTTCCCTGATATAGTAAAGGTCCTCTTTGAGCCTTTAGCCGGTTGGGGTCGCAGCTGTCGAGAGTTTTCACGCCGAATATCCACGATTAAGACAGTCAATATCATTGTACGGTGAAAACCGCGAGCCTGGTGATAGTGAAGCCGTGCTGGCTTTTTGGACGACAATTCCGTTGCCGACACCATCATATTTGAAGCAGCAAAGCTGCCCCACCTAGAAACACAGCAAAGTCCGGCAGCCCGGCATTCAACCACACCATCGATTGTCCGACCGCTTAGCTACTTCTCAGCGGCCAATTCCCCTTATCTCCCACTTTCGTCGCAAGGAGGATGGGCAAGCCGAAAGGTAAAAGCCTCAAATCGGCGACGAGTGACACTCCGCAAGAGTTACATTCCGAATCGGTTTCTGTTCCCAGGCCGACGAGCCCTCTGAAAGCAGCCGACGGCCATAATGTGGCCGGTTGGGCGGATGAGGACATCCGAACCTACAACGAACTGCTCAGCGAAAGAGCCAAACTGGAAAAGGAGAAAAACGAGCTGGAGCAGAGATCCTCCAGGCATCAAACGCAGAGAGCCCTCCTCGATGAGAACGCGACAGCTCTAGACAAGCTCTTCAAATCTCAATTAGGAGGTGACTTCAAATTTACGGGCCGGGGGACCTGCTGCTTGGACTTTGACGTGACAGGAGCGGAGAGGGCTGAGGGCGCTGACGCCTCTTGTAACCACGAAATCTGTTTGCGGGCAAAGACGGGCATCTCTTGGATGGAGATGGACACGATCAAATACTACCATGCAAGAATCATGGCCGAGAAATCGCAGAGAATGCAAAATGCACTGCGGAAGCAGAGAGATGTGGAATTAGTGCGGGTTAAGAAAGACGACGAGGAGGAAGCCGCCACAAGAGCTCGCAGGAACGCTCTTTTAGAAAAAGCTCGCAACAGCCTCCATTTCCTACCCGCACCAAAGGATGATAAAGGCAGTGCTGCCGGTCCTTTGGAGACATCGGCGTTAGATTTGCTCCCAATGGCTTCCAAAGATTTTCTTCTTGATCCCAAAAACAGCGCCATTTTGGAGGCCGCCAAGGAGAACGAGCACATCGTGCGCAGAATACGCGGCAGGCTGGACAAAATTCGACACGACGTAAATGCTGGAAGGGTCTCTCCTGCGGACGCCCGTGTGAAGCTGGACCAAGCCAATTCTGAGATGGCGGAAGCTGAGAGGAAAAACAATGAGTTCCGGCAGATGATTCTGGATGCCGAACCCGCTATTTCACAGCTTCAGCCTCCCCCTGCTGCAACAGGGACGCGCACAACTGCCAGCACCTCAGCAAGCTTGACGACGGTTCTTCAAAACACCTTGGCATCATCTAATGCCGATGCCTTTTCTCAAGCCCTCAGTGTGATGAAGGGTTTCTTCAGTGCCTCAGATCCGCATGACGTGCAAACCGCCATCACGGACTTGCGCAGCGTTCTGGAACTCAACGGTCCAATGTCCCCAGTCCTACAAAAATCCTTCAAGGCTCTCGAAGAGATGCTCGCTAAACCAAACGCCAAAGGCTTCACGGTCGACGTCACCACCGGTGACGGAAAGACGCGAACCTGCAATAACGTAGTCGAAGTCATGATGAACCTTCGATTGAAGATGCAAGCCTCTGACAATCCCTCCGCCGCTGCCGATCCCGACCTGAATCTGGATGAAGACACGATCAAAGCCAATCTGGAATGTATCAAGGTCGAAGATGCCGCAAAGAAGGACATGCAGAAGATGGTGGAGAAGATGGGTGGAGACACGGCCCTGAATGTGACCACGGCGCTCAAGAAGATCAAGGCAAAAGCTATTCTGAAATCGCCCATACCACCGCTCTCCGATATCGTCCTTGACGATGTGATTACCGATATCCTCTTTCAGCGATCGGTCAATGCTCTGGTTATTGAAGCCTCAAAGGGTGCGAGCCTGGCGCAGCTCTCTGGAAAGGTGACCTCACTTGTCATTTCGACTTCCCGAAACAGCCCGGGGAAATACTTGGCAACGCTGAGCATGACCAAAGATGCTATAACCAAGGGAAAGAAACCCCCACCTGAAGTACTTCTCGAGGCGGTGTCAAAGGTGGAAGTCTCCATGACACAGTTTGTCAAAGCATACGGGGAGAAAATAAAACAGATCGACGCTGAGGAAAAAGCGAATCCTAACCCCCCTCCCAAGCCTGATCTCCCCACTAAACATATTCTAGAAGGCACTCATGTGGATAAAAAGGCCTTTGAACTCTTCAAGAAGTTCTTCCGCACCCCAGCGGCAAATGATACCGCAGCATTGCGAGCCCGTTTCTGCGAATACCATCATCTGCATATTGAAGAGGGCATCTGGGACATGCTTCACGTCGTGCTGAATCATCAAACTTCGGGCAGATTCTGGTGGGCAAACTGGGAAGCCGAAAAGAAGTATTGCATTGAAAACATGCAAGTCGCCGCAGCTACACCTACGGCGAAGATTGCTGATACTGTCTTGCAACTTCAAGAGCTTGGCATTTGTCCTGCGAGAGCTGCTATTATACTTACACAGCGTATCGCATTACAGATGAGACAGGACTCCGAAGCCGCAAAAATCAACATAATGGCGCTAAGGGACATTTACGCAGATTGTGAATCTCTCAAGAACAAAGAATGGGCCCGTTCTTTCAACTTTATTGGACAAGCCATGGCAGATACCTTCGCGATGTTGATGTTTGAGTTAGTCGGCCAGATCAATTTCGAGATCGCAATCATGGCCGCAGACTTCCTGGCTTTCATATGCACATTCGTGCTGGGATCCATGGACGCCATACGAGCCGAACTTAATCTGCGTTACCTCGAGCAGTTCATCCTCAGTACTTTGATGGAAAGCCGGACCCCAATCAACAAGTGCCGAGATATCTTCTCCCGATACGTCCACATATGCCAAGATTCCTCGAGGTACAGATGCTCGCTGGAGCATAGATGTCAAGCGACATACTCCCGTTATGTCACCGAGAAATTCGCGTCACTCGTCCCCGCGCCACTGAAAGTAACCAAGAAAGGAAAGGACAGCCCAGAAAAGGCTGCATCGCCTTCAGTTAAACCCGGAACTGGGACCGGGCCACCGCGACATATCCACGTTCGAGTAACGGTCAATGCTTATTGGGACGTTGCAAAAAGTCTCACGCCGCACTTGAAATGCATCGAGGGTAACAAGAAGAAAAAGAAGAAGTGTTTTTGCAGTCGACCCGACCAGGAATTTGCCGAGCAAATCCAAGTTCTCAAGCACTCTCTCGACATCAACCTTGCTGAACTCGAGACCATGATCAAGAAAGGCTTGAAACCTCCGAAGGACCTGTGGGACGTGCTGGAGAAAAATGCTTTGGCCCTACATGAACGCCCTGTAACCTATGAAGGAAACCAAAGAAGAATAGCAGAACTGAGGGCGAAAGTAGGGACCGGTCGATTTGCGGAGATTCCTCCTCCCAAGGAACCAGCAGCCAAGGAACCAAATGACACGCAACGACAGCTTAGTCTCAAACAAGTTCCCGTCAATGTTCCCAGCATCCAGAACAACCCCTCGAACAACAACCCCGAGAAAGGAAACCTCGAGAAGGGTGCGACAGAGAGTTCTTCGGGACATCAAAATGATCTATCGAACTCGAGCGAACCCACAGCATCGTCGGCCGAGACTAAATCCGCTTCCACAGCCGATCAAGACGACGAATCCGACTGGGTAATGACGGAACGAGAACTTGAGATCAGAGACCAGTTGCTCACTTTCTCCGACAGCGTAGATATGATGCACTCATTTGCTTCAGTCATGCATCATGGCGTGAGTGATCTCGCTCTTGATGGCGTGGCGTGGCAAATTGAAGACATGCTCATCGGCCATGTTGAAATGGCTTGGATTATTGCAAAGGCTCAGGGCTACACTGGACTGCAAACTTGGATGGAGTACTATTACGCACAAACCATGCCCACCCCCTTAGGGGAGAACTTCAAAGTCAATGGCAGCGGCGATTATGGCAACGATGGAAGCCTAGTTGATGCGAGCGCAAGAAAGAAGACTATAGCCTTCGACATTATCAGCAAGATGGGCGGCGCGAAAGGCAAGCCGCAATCTCACATCATTGGCTCTACGCAGACAGCGGCAGCGAACTCAGCCGCCGTCAGTGCAACCCCAGCTCCTTCTGTCGTGCAACAAGCCGAACAAGCAGTCGCTGACATGGAGCGCCTCGGTCGAAATTTCCTCTCGCAGATGGAGATCGTCTCGAATCGCCGCAAGCGCATGCCGAAGCGCAAGTGGTAGCACGAAATCACGGCCTGCTTTAGTCCCATACCCACGACAGAATCAGGTCAGCGCAGCAAAACGCGGCTCGACTCTTTCACACTTGCTTTAAATCGAAGTTTCAAGGGCGTGCGGCGTTATGGGGTAAGGAGGAAAAGTGAAACAGCATGAGAAGATCTCATTGTTCTCCCAAGGCAACGCATTACGCGATGGTTGAGTTTCACAAAGGGTAACGGAAATGAATTCAAACAAATATGCAATCAATGCAGTGGCCAAGCTTGTTGGAACGCCCATCTCAAAGAGAAGAAAGAAGAAAAAGCACCAAAAAAAATATTTATGCTGCGAACTACTAAACACTGCTCTAATGCTCGATACGAAATACTCGGGTCTTGTCTTTTTTCGGGGCTCTACATAGGCCATGCTGGACAAGTATGCATGCATGGATCGAAGGGGGCGTCGTCGCTGGGTCAACGAATACTTCCTTTTCGGTATTGATTGCACATCATGTATGTATGTGTTCGAGTGGAAACTGAGGGTTCTTGTCTTTTCTCTCTCTCTCTCTCTCTCTCTTGGTCGCATTTCGGGACAACGCTATGTACGGAGATGCCATCAGACGGTGCAGAAGCAGGGCCGGGTCGAAAGGTGAAGAGAGGAAGATGGAAGGGGTTGGGTAACCGAGCTGGTGGCAGAACAGCATGTATGGCAAGGCTGTATATGAGTGTTTGGTGTGTATGTGACGGAGGAGAGAAGAGCAGGCTGTAGGTAGATATGGCTAGGAGCTGCCAGCACGGGTTACAGCAGATAGGTCAATAGGTCAGTCGTCGTTGCGTCCGAAATGGCAGACATGTGCAAGTTATTAGCAGTTTCTCCTTTTTGGTCTTTGTATCTCGTCGATTCCCTCCCACCCTTTTTCTGCACCAGGCGAGCGCGCAGGAAACCTCTTCAACTCAATGCTTCCAATGTATTTGTTCGCAAAAGGTATCCATCCCACGTTGAGGACCTCGCGCGTGCATAGATCCATTACATACCATGATGCCGACTCTAAAACGCCAATTGTCATTCCCGCCTTCCCTCACGACTGTCTTAGGACTCGCCCGAGAGATGTCGACAGCATCCTCAAAAAGCTTTTAGCTCGCGGAAACCACCAGGAGAAAAGTGTCAGTCGTTGACTCCAGTCTCGCCATGGCTGAGAGCCACGAGAACATGCCGTTTTCATTTCTCCTTCCATCTTTTCCCAGCGGCCCAGCCATGACTTATCTCTCCAGTCTTCAAATTCCCGCCGCGCCTGGCGCATCCTTGTCCGCCTTCAGACTCAGCAGCAACTCGCGCATTCTCTTCTTGGAACTTCCGTCGCCACCACCCGACTGTCCCTTCCCGCTCAGGTCAACCAACTTGGCAATTCTCTCCCAAGCCGTGCCTCCAGCAGTGGTATCTTCTCTCTTTGCTAGAAATTCCTCTGCCTCTTTCGCAGTCTGTGCCTTTTGCTTATCGACTTTCCGGTTGTAGGATTCGTAGAATGAGTCGATGTCCTTCTGTGCGGTGGAGATTGTCTCTTCCTTTTTGCGCTGGCTGGCTTCGTCGCGGCGGGCAATTTCGGCGTCCCGTTTGGCTCGCCATTCACGGATGGGTTCAGTGTCTTCATCTTGTACCGGAGCAGTGTAGTTTGTGTAGCCGCCAAAGGGGGTCGAATCAGTTATGGTGCCGCCCGGTGCGACGTTCTGTTCATTTTCTCTCGTGTCAGTCCAATGGCCACCCTTCTCTAACAGCATTGTTAGAGGTGCATACCTCGTTTCGTGTGTCAATGGCAGGGAATGAGCTTTCAAAGTCGTCTAAGTCTTGTTGCCCGTCACCGCCTGATGGCAGTACCGGGGCAGATGTGAACTCGCCGTCACCACCTAATAGATCGTCGTCACCGTCTTCGACAGTAGCAGCACCAGGTCTATCGTTGGCATTGAATAGTTCGGCGTCCTCTCCCAGCAACGCCCGTTCGCGTTCGAGAAAGCTGCCTTGGGCGGCCGGGTCGGGGCGGATATCTGTTTCACCTGTCTCGTTTGTTAGGGATTTGTGGCACACGAAGTCTATGATGTCGCGCGAATCAGATCTAAGCCTTACCTGCATCGATGTCTTCAATTGAAGGGAACCGGTCTGCCATGATGAAGAGAGACGCAGGGGCGGAGGCAGTGCGCGAGTGGGACGGAAGACTGCCCACTAAGCAAGATACAGATAATAAGTCACTGCGTGTCTGAGAGTGATTACAGAGCTAAGGAGCCGTAGGAAATGGCAGTGCAGTCGACAGTGGTAAAGCTGGCACTTTTTGTGAGATGCTTGTTTTGCGATGGAAAGTCGCAGGGAGAGACAATTGGCGTGGTGCGAAATCGGTCTGTCTGACGAGGCTGATGCAGTCGAAAAGCAGTCGAAAAGCAGCCAAAAGACCGGGCAAATAAGAGTGGTAGGCTTGTCTGACAGAATATGGCCAGTTCCTGGGACTTGCTGGGACTCTCTTTCCACAACTACTAACCAAGTGCTGTATGTACCTCGATGTACTGGGGAACGACACCCTTTCCAATAGATTGAGATTGTTGCCGGCAGTCGAATTGATGTCTCCCTTGTTCCCCGGAGTCTTGCCTCGTCTCTTCATGTCCCTGCAGATGAGGACGACCCCAAGGCGACCATGTCTTTGAATTCATGGCTTAATTGGTGCCTTGTCGCCCTTCAAGCCCATACGATTATGCGACATTGACATTGTGTGTCTGCTTACTCTCCGACATGGCGAGCGCCATCGCTCATTGGACTGTCATCAGGGCTTGGGTTCGATACCATTCTCTGCTTTCTGCACCTCACATATTGACCGACACAGCCACAGAAGGGGCCATTTGGCTTTGGATGCAAGTCAGCCTGAGGCACCAATAGCTTGTTCAGACACTCCTCCACCAGCCTGGTACGTCTTCGCCCCCTGTTTCTGGAGTTGCTGTGAAAGACAGTATCCGCAATTGGTTGGGTTTCGTGTATACTCGACTTCAGGATCATCCGGCAAGTCCATCAGGATTCGTTTACCGCAAGAATTCGACTTTCATCGCCTCCTTTCATTCCACGGAACCGTTTCAATGTCAATATTTGCTGCTGTCATTATGCAGGATCCCACTAAGCAAGACGCGCCTCGGCCCCAAAGGGAGTTTCTCCAGCAAACAACATCTTGGAGTGGCCCATGAGATTCAGCTGCTACAGACATTACTATACTATATAAAGATGGGAGCCTCGCTGATTGTGTGTATGACAGGATAATATGCGACACCGAGCGGCATTTCCAAAAGTCATGTTTGTCAGTTACACTCATCCTGCCCAACTGAGGGACCCGGACAAGCAACAGCAGGTTTCGTCTTTTGCAGCACGTCGACAGCAAACAAAGATGCGCAAGAAAAAGCCCGAGGGCAAGACGCGGGCTTCCGCAACCCGCTCATTCGAGCCACTCGTCTGGCGTGCTCTCGGGTATACGCAACGGCGCAAGCCCACATTTGAGCATAAAAGACCACAAACACCCACGGATCCGCAGGCGGACGCCAGCGACCTGGTTGCTCCATTACTCAGTAACTTGGGAGGATTGCGCGAGGATCCCTTCGGATCGTACCCAATCAAAGCCACCTATTTGGTGAAGTGGGCCGTCGATCAATGTACGTCAATTTCGTCAAGAGTGCCTCTAAGGGCGTATTGAGGTCGAAGACTAATTTTCATAGATGTACAAGATGTTGCGGTCAAAAGCAGGGAACTCTTCACTGAAGCAAATGGAGACAACTGGTTGATGACATATCGATTTGCCGTCTCTCTCCAATCTGAACTCCTCTTTGAATGCCTTGTATTATATACGCTCTGTCAATTACCCCCTTCCTGCAAGCCATTTCCTGGACTGCGCCGGATTCGCCTTCAGTATCGAGCAAGCATTTTGACAAAGCTACGCCAAAGGATATCCGATCCTCGGCTGTGTGCCGATGATGTTACTTTGCATGCTATTACCACTTTGCTCGGTTCTGATGTAAGTCCTTTCTGTGCGAGGATGCTTCAAAGCTGATCTTTCTCTTCAGTTTCACATGGCTGAGGATGATTACGTGGAAATGCATCGAGCTGGCTTGAGGCAAGTCATTGCCATGCGTGGTGGATTGGAGACAGGAAATTTCGATACAATGACGAAGTTTACAGTAACGTCGTAAGGGTACCCACAGGCGAGGGAATGAATCGCGCTAACCAAGGCAAAATGAAGAACCGAGTTTTTGTGTGATATGGCCATCAAAAGACGACAGACAACCAAATTAGAGCCCATCACTCCGGAATTGATTCTACAATATCCCAAACAATCTTTCCCTCTCGAGATTTCCAGCCTGACGGATAAGCTGCCGGACGGCTTTCGTGAACTAGCAGTTTCTTGCAAGATTTCTATCCAGACAATAAAGCTCCTGCACCAAGTCGCTTTAAGGGTGACCGGAGAACGTCTTGAAGCGCTTCCACACGTCTGGGGCCGGAGCGAGCAATTCGAATTGATGCGCGTCGTGGCCACGGCAAGTGTACCAAAATTGGAGCGACAAGTCTGCCTTCTGGTCCTCATTTTTGAACGGTCCTGGCTTGCGACGACTCCCGATTCCGTCGCACCACGAAGAATGTATGGGCGAGTAGGCCAGGTATTTCGAGACCGCTTGAGAGAAGTGACCCAGAATATGGCCGAGCTGGGGACAGACGTGGACAGCGACTTTATGATATGGGCAACAATGGTCATTGTGACGGCCACGGATGAAAGCAAGTTGGGTGAAGAAGAGAGAAAGGAGCTCATGGCACTGTTGTTCATGCTATGTCCGCAGATGAAGAGTTGGGATACAGCCATGGGGTCTCTAAGGAAGTATTACTGGAGCCAGGCCTTGATGACTCAGTGGCACTCGGAGTGGCTAGCAGCGAGATCTTGCAATATATAGAAGGATCATATAGACTGGGTCAGTGATGGTAAGTGACCATATCTATACTCTGTATCTGTAGTCTTGTACCCAGCAGTTGCTCCTGGCATCCAGCTCCATCAAGCATATATGTGTGTCACGTGCTGGGGGCCGTCATTTGAACCACAATTTGTCCGAAACAACAACAACTCCATCGACTTTGAGCTCAACTTTGTCCTCTCAACCTATCTAATATCATCATCAGCCACAGATAATTCCACAATTCGCGCCTTGAAGGTCTTTACGAGAAGGGCGGTTTCGGATTTGGGCGGCTACGACGGAATCTTTGCCGCTCTGTTGCAGAGCATTCTCCCTCTCTCCTCTCTCACACAGCCTGTCATAGCTCGTAGCATAACCTATCCCGATCGTGAATCCCCAATTCACTTCTGCCTGGGCCTTGCTTCATCCACGCGTAGAAGACAAGGACCTCAAAGGAACGGCTGCGCGCTCTCCATCTTACACACACGTCCACGGGTGCCGCATGGTGTAGGAAGAGGTACCACCCCGGACCAACATGTCGTACACCGACGAAGCTCTCAAGGCCAAGCTCTCGACCCTCAACGAGACGCAAGATAGTATCGTCTCGGTTTCACAATGGATCATGTTCCATAAGTACGTGCCTTCCCGAGCTGCCATGTCTCTTGCTATGGAAAACCATTCTGTCAATATCAACCACAGCTAACACTGTGTTATCCAGGAGACATGCGGATCGCATCGCAAACTACTGGCTCACCCGTCTCCGCGATTCACCGCCAGCAAAACGCCTTAACTTCATCTACTTGGTGAACGACATCGTCCAAAATGCCCGAGCACGGAAGCGCACCGAATTCCCGGACGCGTTTTCTCCCTTGATGGCCGAGGCCATCCAGACCGCCTATCGCTCCTCGCCACCCGAGATCCAAAGCAAAATCCGGCGAGTTGTCGATGTATGGCGAACGCGGAATGTTTTTGAGGTTCCGATCTTGGATGCCATCGATGCGCGAATTGACGAGATCGACAAGTCGAAGGGATCGGGAGGGAAGAAGACCCTCATGGGAAACTCACTGTTCGGTTCCTCTTCATCCTCAGGCGCAATGCCAAAGGAACTGGAGACCCTAGCGCCGTTACAGATCGCCGTGACCAAGGAAACCATTTCCGCTAGACCTGCCATCGACAACGCACAGAACGAGTACGCCAAACTCAACGATCCGGAAGCGGTGTTGCCTAGTCCGCCCGTCCACGCCGCGCGACTGTCGAGCCTGATCAAATCCCTTGCTGCGGCTGAATCGTCCGTGTCAGCCAGTATCAAGGCTAGAAAGGCTCTAATTGCGGATCTTGAGCGGATCTTGGAGATTAACAAGACAGCGCTGGCGAAGGAGGAAGAGACGTACTTGACGCTGGAGAGTCGGAGGGCTAGCACCGAAGCAAAGAAGCGAGAGGTCGAAGATGCCATTATTCGTGGTCTGTCGTCCGCTGAGACAGCTTCCTCATCCGAACATTCCGGTGTCACTAACCCCGGAGGTGTTTCGAGCGGCGGCGACATCCTAGGCAACGACATCGGCGCAAACAACGTCAGTAGTGAAACATCAGCTAGCCATTTCCTCGCCGAACGTCCTGAGATCGAAGAACTTACCGATGACGAGGGCGACTTTGTGACCGGAGGCATGTTCGATCAACCCCAATCCAACAACGCACAGTGGGATCAATCAGCTCCCGCCCCCGTTGCCACTGCATCCCCGGGCCTGGCGAGCTTTCGACCTAACAACCCCGCTGTCGCAGCAGCCCTGGCAGACTTCTCTAGCATTGGTGCAACACCAACACCAGACTATACGGCATTTCTACCCAGCAGCACCTCCAGCGCGGGTGGCCATACAAACGCACCTGCAATGCCTCGTGTCCGCTCTGCGAGTGGAGGACAAGGTGTCAATGGTTTCGGCGCCAAGAGACGGAAGATATCTCACGGTGAAGACGAGCAGGTTCCTGATCTAGGCGAGATGGGCATGGAAGGGTTCGGCCAAGCACAGAGCCAAAGTCGAGATCAAGGTCGAGATCAAGGCCCCGGAGTGGTGGGAGGACACGAGGCAAATCTTCGGGGCGACGACCTCTTGAAGAATCTAGACGAGGACGTGGATGAACTGTTGCGGCAGGAGGCTGCTAGAGGCAGTGAAAACGAAGTGCCAGGGATCTAGAATGTCCCCCCCGAGCGTTGTTGCGAGACTCAGTACTGCGAGCGATTGGACTGGGGAGTGGTACTGCCGCAGAGTCTAGTGGTCCTGAAGAAAACTGGCTATCGAGGTCCCGATGATGATGGTGGTGGTGGTGGTGATGACGAAGAAGAAGAAGAGCAAGACTGCGAGTGGAACACAGATTATCACTTCTGCGTTCCACTTTCTGGGTTTTCTTGAACGAGCGCGCCTTTCTTGGGGAGTGGGAGGCGGAAAAGCGAATGAGGAAACTTATGTATCATTACTCCGTATCATTGCTTCTTGCTAGGAGGCGGTATTTCCAATGGGATGGCAGAGCACGCACAGAGGAGCGAGAGAGAGATTTATATCTCGGGGAGAGAGGAACTGAGCTTCTTTTTTTTAGGCTCTTCGGTCAACGTGTGTGATTCCTTCGCTAAGTTTACGCATGTACAGCTTCCTTCGAGGCAACCACTTCTATTGTACACCGAACAGAGGGAGAGAAGAAGAAGAAGAAGAAGAAGAAGAAGAAGAAAACAGGTAGGCATCTCTTCTATTGCTCTCTAGTCACGTAGAGGAAGCCGTTCTCTCCCCCTCTGTGTGTGTATGTGGGCGCGGGACAAGTGTTGTAACAATCAAGAGACATTCCGATTAAGGAAGCTAAGTGTGTAGAAGAAGCCTCCCGCTCTCAGCCACATTTTGCTTTTCCAGCCTGGAGTCCAGCGATCCAGCGATCCTTCATCCACCTTGCAGGTCCACGGTTGTAATGAATAACTCCTGGCCAACCGACCAAATGTATGTTACCAGGACTGAAGCTGCCTCCCCGGTCCGCTGCTTCAAGCAGTGTTCGCTGAATGCCTGGCTCTTGGGATTGTTCTATTCCGGAACAATACTCAAAGGACGTTGCTGCTCGGAGCTCGAAAGTGACTGGAGATTACATGGCGAAGTCGGAATGACGGCCTCCTAGTCGCCGAAGCAGCTTGAATTGCCTAAGCATGGGCCAAGAAATCTCTTCCTGCATGTTTCCCAAGCAGGGAACGTTCCATCCTCGAGATTCAAGGTCTTTCGACCACGGATCGTGCAGAGACCGACCATTGTCTTGGAACTATCCTAGTGATCAAACATGTCTCACCGAGTCGGCCTCTTTAAAGGATGCGCCTCCGTATTCAGAACCCAGTCATCCAAGCTCACCAATGTCGGCTCGCTAAACACCAAGTAAAAGTACTTCAGCGTCTCGGCAAGCCAAAAGCTTTCCATGCGATCACTTTGCACTGGCTCGGCAACCCTCACATCATGGATGGCGGCGTGCGCAATGGGCGTTCTCGTGGCTTTCTCGATGGATTGGAACATTTTCCACGCGATATCTTGGTATCGTATGTCTCCCGTAATGCGGTACATGACAAACACGGACTCGATGGCTTCCGGGCGGAGGATGTATCGGTTGTCGCCATGGTCAGTGAACCCGGGAACAAGACGACGTTGCTCGGCAAGTGTCTTCCCGCGCTCAACGGAGCCCATGGATGCCGTTTCCTGGGTCACGCCATGTTTTCTGGATATGCCTTCATACCACTTCTCCTCCGTCCAGTTGCATTTTCCTGAAGGTGGGTCAATCGTGCCAATTTGGCATGCTATCATGTGGAAGGTTTCAGGCATCAATCCCGACGGCATTGCGTTGTAAGCCCACACGCAGCCGTCGATTAGTCGACGGGCAACATCCAATTCGTCAGGTCGAGAGAAGATTTTGGCGCCAATCCCGACCATGCCGCTGACGAAGCACGCTAGGTGTTGGCCCTGCGGCTCAATATTGGCGATGGGGATCGTCTCCAGAGCAGTAAGGGCCGCGTTGCCGCTGAAAAGAAGATCCTCACCCCCTGGCACCAAAGGGCGGAAGAAGAGATGCCTCTTTGCGGTATCAATGGCCTCTTCATACATGTGCTTGTATTTCTGGTCTCGGCCTCCCAACATCAGATACTGCTTCGGCAGATATTCATAAGTCGAGTCGGCCATGCCGCCCATTGTGAAATGGTTGTAGTCCCACGATATCTCCTTGGCGTTCACAATGGTGGGCCATAAACCAGGGATACGGGTGGTGTTCTGGGCCCATTCCATCTCCTCTGCGATCCTTTGGATGGCATCAAAGTATCTGAAGTCGGCGGTGAGTTGGCTCAGTCGGGTGAATTCGACAGTCAAGCTGCCAATTTCTGCGAGCAGTGTGTTGGTGCCAGGCTCGATCTCGCCACCTAGGGCCGTTTTCTTCCAATTCCACCGCGTCATAGGCATATGGAGGGGCGTATCAAAGGCCGAGTAGAGAATCTCGCCCAATTCCCTGGCTTTGTCGAGGAGGATGCTGTACTTTCCGTCTGTGAGGTCATAGGCGGCCAGAAGACCACCGAGGTAACGTATTGTCGTCTCAAAGACATTCAGTGTGTCGGCATCGTTGGTGGTGAAATCGATGCGTTTGACTTGCTCGACACAGAGGTCAAACTCATCCTTCAAACCCATGATGAGGAGCGTGTCCATCGTGTCGACAAGAGTAGCCCCCCATCCACCAAAACTTGAGCGGGATGCACCGCTGAGTGGAGCAACTTCATCTTGGCCCCAGGCATGTTTCTTGTATCCATTCCAGGCATGAACAAATGCTTCTTTGACCGCCGCTCTCCTTGTTTCTCGAGTAGTCTTAGCAGCCGCGGGTTCAGGATGTGATTCGAAGTCGAACTGGATCTTGGGAATCTGCTCGAGAGGGCCTATGGGGAGTTCCCGATAGCCTGCGACTGGATATCGCTCAGGGCGTTTGGTCCAGTGCAAGTTGGTGTTGTGATTTGACGGAGGAAAGGGGACTGCGGTGGGATCGCTAGGGTAGAGGTAAATGTAATAGACGAGACAGGCCAGAAAGAACGCTGGCAACAGCCAGAGTCGCCGTATCAGTATCATGCTGGTGCTCGTACTGCTGAGCAGTGATTGACGATCTCCATCTAGGCAGATACGCAGTCTATCAGATAGGGAGAGGGATGGAGATCCACAAATAGAAACAGCCCCAAATCAAATCTGGAGTTTTATGTAGGGGGGCCTTGTGTTCCTGTACGGAGAAGTCGGGCCACACCAGGCGAAGGACATGGTGCACGAGACCCTGACGAGACCTAAGGTTGTCGTTAAGATCGCAGTAGGTTTTAAGCTTAAGCCCCTGACTAAGAGGTGCCCCGCTTGCCCGCAGCCTGCCCGCAGGCACAGAACCCGTTCCCCGGATCAAGCTCTGTCGATTTTCGGTCTTCCGAAATGGACATCTTGTCAACGGCGCAAAGTCCCGTCTGCTCCCAACATGGCATTGACAGGAGTGTTCATTCTCCCTATAGCTCCTGGCCAGTCTTCGCCATCTTCGGCTCTCATCTCTCACATCTCGCGCTCATTTCCAGCCGAACCTCTTCCGCCCTTCCACCTTGACCACCGCCACTTCGTCGACACCTCCCATCTGCTCCCCAACTCTGACATATCCCAACGCAAGTCGGCCAGTATTCTGACTCTATCGCACACGCCTTCCAAGACATATGTCGCCATATCATCCCCGAAAGAGGACTCTCAGGCGGCTGAACACTTGGCGTCCCCCTCACTTACCACCATCACCATCCCTTCGAGCTCCGCAGACCCATTCACCCAACTCATCGGAACAAAGCTCCAACCACAATGGGCGCACCGGCAGTCCCTGGTCATAGACAACGGCACCGCACTATCCCTAGACGGTGGCGAGTGGACCATCCGTATCGGAGATCTAAAGACTCCCTCTCGACCAAACCAAGCTAGCTCCAACCTTAGAGGCATGGTCGTGGAGGTCTCCTTCGTTGGGTCCCCCGCCGACACAACGCACAATCAGAGTCCAGATGATGCTCCAAAAGGTGTTGATGGGAAGGTTGTGAGCAAAGAAGACGAGACCCTGTTACGTGGGTTGCTCGACTCGGTCACCGATGGCAGCGGAGTACCCTCGATCCACAACCTCGAAACTACTCGGTCTTTGATTCGACGCACGAAGGCTCACGCGACAGATATCGACACCGGGGACACCTCGCCGGACTGGGATCTGGCACATTTGTATTTGGACGTCCTTCGAGGATCAAGAGGGTGAACGGACACAAACACCTGGGGATCTTCGAATTTCTTCCTAGCCACTCGACCCCTGCAGGGCGCGGAGGAGAGCCTTCATCCACACAGCACAACACAGTACAGTATAGCATGGGAACGGTTGCAATCAACAAGTCTTGAACCTGCCCAGGACTCTTCTGAGCACGGCAACGCTTTGCCGACTACAACAACTCTCGACCTCTGCGCGCCCACACGACAACCTTCCTTCCGGCTCTTTACGCCGACCCGGCAATGTCCACATCTAAAGAGACAACGCGCCGTGAAAAGCCTTGAGGACCCGACTTGCATGCACGTTGCGGCAAAGCACGCCCTTGCGGCAAAATGGAATCGACCCTTCTTGACAGTTGAACCAAACGCACAGCGCGGATTCCGAGTGTATTCTAGATAGAGCTACGGTACGACGTTCCCACGAACCGCAAGACGGAAAAATAACACAAAGCACATCAAGAACTGTCAACAATCATTTATCTAGCTAAAATGGGGGCTATGAAATCCAGCATCGCACCATAGCCTTGGACCCCTAAGGGTTTTCGCCAGGCGCCCCAGCATCGTCATCATCATCTGCATACTTTTTGAAACGACCTATTCCCACATTTCTGAAAGGAAGGGGGGAAAAAAGGGAAATTAGGGGAATGCAAGCAAGTTACATTCGTCTGGAGTCAGTTTCGTGGACTCCGAGTACGTGGCCAGGCGAAAGGACCTAGATTACGTTACCTCCTCCCTTGATCTCCCCAGCCTCGTGCAGCCCTCGACCCTGCTCTGGCAGCCGTAGTATATCCCTAATGTACTCCTTACTCCCGTGAGGATGAGGCTGAGCCGACATTGAGCACTGGCCCACTCAACCGGGTCGCCTCGATATGTCCAAACCTGCATACGCAAACGAGTTTCTCGTTCGCGAGGACTTTGCTAGAAGTTACAGGATATCTTGCTCATGTCGATACCTCTATTCGTATTCGCATTTCATATTCATACTTCATATTACGTCTTAGCGTATATGTACTCGGCATATGCATATATCGTGAACATAACTCAGGCACACGATGCCGGTGTCGCACGCCGCTTGGGACAAAAGTCAACAGTACTCCCTCACCAAATAATTCTGCAAATCGCATAAAGCACACGAAGAGAACGCTGCTATAGGTCTAACCCGATGATGTTCTTTTCGCGCAGCCTTGAAAAACCCCCATGTCCATGTCTTCATGCCCAGATGGAAATTCACCTTTCTGTATGCTCCTGGCCTCACCGATGCCAGAAAACGCCGGACGCTATGCGCCGTGGTTCCTTTATAGTTGGTTGGATAAGAAACGAAAAACACTATGGCCGACGGCGTCATTCATGTTGCTTCGGAAGAGAGACGCCGGAAGTTTCCAGGGCCAGATGTCTCTTTTTTGGG